GGTCAACTGATACCCAAAGCATAGCCCAACAATGGTGTCCCTTGACAAAAGGAAAATTCTTATGCTGTGACGCAAACTATTGTATCTGACATTTTCAAACCAAATGTTGAAATTTCATCGCTCACCATGACAACAAAAAAGATTTTAAACAATGTAAATTAAAGCCGAATAGACCAGATAAGGACAATTACAAAAAAAAATGACTAAAGTGGAACGTGGCAATGACAGAGTTATGGGTATGACAGCTGGGGGAAACTGCTGTGGTTCCCCCCCCCCAAGCATGTGTTTACTCTACCTAATGGTTAATCTATGGCTGCAGTGACATATCTGCAGGAATTGACCACTAAGATGTGAATACTGTAATCAGCATTTATATGGCCAAATCCACTTGCAGAGAAGAGGGGAGCGAAGTCCCATGTTTTAAGGAAAAGTTTCACCAGACCCTCCAATAATATATTACAAAATAGCAGTGTGCTGCACCTGCCAAAAAGGCCAACACAGTGCTAGGCTGCATTAACAGAGGGATAGAATCAAGATCATGTGAAGTGTTAATACGCCTTTACAATGCCTTGGTAAGGCCACACTTGGAATACTGCATCCAGTTTTGGTCACCACGATGTAAAAAAGATATTGAGACTCTAGAAAGAGTACAGAGAAGAGCAACAAAGATGATTAGGGGACTGGAGGCTAAAGCATATAATGAACGGTTCTGGAATTGGGTATGTCTAGTTTAATGAAGAGAAGGACGAGGGGGGACATGATAGCAGTGTTCCAATATCTCAGGGGCTGCCACAAAGAAGAGGGAGTCAAGCTATTCTCCAAAGCACCTGAAGGCAGGACAAGAAGCAATGGATGGAAACTAATCAAGGAGAGAAGCAACCTAGAACTAAGGAAAAACTTCCTGACAGTAGAACAATTAACCAGTGGAACAACCTGCCTCCAGAAGTGGTGAATACTCCAACATGGAAGTTTTTAAGAAGAGACTGAACAGCCATTTGTCCGAAATGGTATAGAGTTTCCTGCCTGAGCAAGGGGTTGGACTAGATGACCTCCAAGGTCTCTTCCAACTTTATTATTACTATTATTATTATTAATACACTTCAACATTATTTACTCCTTAAATGCAGGCAGAATTTAAGTGTTTGCTCTCCTCAAGCTGCCTATCATAGTTCTGCATGAACAGCCACTAGCCTGATCTTTCCTAAAAGAGGCAACTCGTAAGAGTAACTCATGCAGAGAGGCCCCTATAAGCCTCCAAGCAGGGGTGTTAAACTGCTGGCCCGTGGGCTGGACGCGTCACAAGGAAACCTTCCCCACCCCATTGCTGGCAATGGGGAAAAAGCTCTGATACGTCGTGCGACGTCGCAAGTTTGACATGTCTGGAGAAGAAACAGTTTTCATTTCTAGCTGATTTGCCAATTGCATCTTAATGCAATTATATCATCCAACAGATGTTGCTTTTTCAGGCTACACAATCATGTTCCATTTACTCTGACTAGCAGGGGTCTTCAAACTTGGCCCTTTTATGACTTGTGGACTTCAACTCCCAGAATTCCTTAGCCAGGCACGTGTGCCTGCTGAGGAATTCTGGGAGTTGAAGTCCACAAGTCATAAAAGGGCCAAGTTTGAAGACTCTTGCTTTATAGCAAAATTGGGATATGAGTAGCTTCTCTTTCTGAAGCCCAAATTTAAAACACGATTTTTTAAAAAATGGTACGTTCTCATGAAGCAATCCTTCAAGGCAGCTTCTGCACACCCATCAGTCAGCAGTTACAATGGGCTCTGCAAGAGCTGAATTCCAGTTCTCTATTTGCCTCCAAGAATACTGAACCAAAGTCTCTCTGATTATTTGATTTTTATACCACATTTATTAATTTATAACTAATTCAAAGAGCAAACACACATAATACTCCTTCAATATTCCTTCTTCCTCGTATTTTTCCTACAACAATACTGTGAAGTGAATGGGAGTGAGAGAAACTGACTGGTCCAAAGTCAGCCAGCCAGCTTTCATGCCTAAGGCAGGACTAGAACTCAGTTTCCTGATTTCTAAGCCAGGACCTTAACTACTACACCAAACTGGCTCTCTTAGCCTTCCTCACAACAATGTTGTACTCTGTGTAAGGATGATTGGAGGAAATAATCCACAGAAATGAGTATCAAATCCTTTGACTCTGGCAAAATTCTGCTTATGCTGCTCTGCAGGGGATTAGGGAATAAGCAGAACGGAAAGAGGATAACTCATTTGTTTATTTATTCAATTTTTACAGCCAAGCAAAAAGATACCTTTGCCAAATCTTTGCTTTGCTGACTCACTAGGAAAAAAAAACCTTCAAGATCAAGCTTGTTTTGTGTAACATCCAGGAATTAGGAACAATGCAATTGGGATTCTAGATTCTAGCATGTGACTGAAGGGAAACAGAAATGAGTAACAGAAGGAAAGGTTGTAAAAAAACTCAGTCATGTGTTTTATCCAGGACCAGATATTCTACTGCAGTGACCAATCTCTCACGTCGCATCTAAGAAAAGGACAATGGTCCTTCTCTATAAAGATACCATGGAATCGTCATATTAATCACACATATTAAAATAGCAATGTACACTTATTTTAAGCTCATACATGCCCTATACATGCAAAGCATTTTTTTTTGCAAAAATATTTTCGTTTATTGAAAAAGTGTTAAAATACAAAACACCAAAATATTTAAAACAACAATAACAGGGGGAAAAAGGTTATGGAGATTCTCAAGTCATCCAGGTCAGGGGTTGTCCCAAAGGTGCTTTTTCACGAGGCAACTGGACTTTTTTTTTTATCTTTGAAGATGCTTCGCTTCTCATCCAAGAAGCTCTGAAGAAGCTTCTTCAAAGAGAAAAAAGGAAATCCAGTTGCCTCGTGAAAAAGTGCCTTTGGGACAACAGAAAAGAATAGATTCTAATGCGGGTTGCAGAAGACAACGGACAGTATCTGGTTCACAAGAATGGAACATTTAGCCTTGCATTTAGTCTGTAAGCAAGCAAAATACCTTTTAACTAAAAGGGCATTCCTCCAAGGCAAGTGCAAAGGATAAATAATGAAGAAACTAATTAAGATACAACTAAGATAAAAGCATTAAAAAATTAAATCAGTTTTGCATGTAAGCATTTTGGCACCTCTGGGCATGTGATGAGTTCCTTCCCATCAACCCAGGAGGCAGGTTTAAAAAAAATGGCTTTATTAATTCCAGCATTTTGGCTCGGCCTGGAAAAAAAATTCCTCATCAAGATTCTATTCGAATTGAGTCTATAGACTCACATTTGACAAAGGCAAGCCTTGTTTAAGACAAAGCACTATTCATTAATGGAAGCTACCATCACAAAGCGACAGTAGGCCTGTCTCCCATCATCTCTGCTCACCCCATCAGGGAGGCTGTGCTGTGGTCCCTTTCATTAACAATGTCATCCTGTTGGAACCAGGCATCATCCCTATTACAGTCCTTATCCTGTGGAGCTACATCTCTCCAGAGATCTGGATGGCTCCCACCTTATTCTTTTTGCAAGGCATTCAAAACCTGGCTCTTCCTCCAAACATTTGGGCTGGGAAGTTAACGTGAACTCCAACTCATGTTTTTACTGTGAAGCCTAGAACCGGCTGTTGACGACCTCAGACATTTATTGTTTGATCTGTCCGAACTGTTGGTTTTTAACTGCATAGGCCAGTTAGAATCACTGCTGTAAGATGGGCCACCATATAAATAATTTAAATGCATAAAGAAGAGGATTGGCAATAGTAACTTAAACCCTCAACAACTGAAGGAAACTAAGCTGTTACTTATCTCTACATTTGGAGAGAGCTCTGCTGTAATAGATAAGCAAGATATCGTTTAAAGCATCCGAGAATGTAGAGATCAGCTAATGCCCCACGAACACGTTAGCAAAGCATAACAGCAGTAACCAGCTTTCCTCAGCTGGTGCTCTCCCCTAGCAAGTTGCAACTAAGGATAGGTTATACCTGAACAGGGAGATTACACTTAGCTGGCATTATCAGAAGATAACAGAGCTGGACAAGACATTGGAGGTCTTCTACTCCAGGGGTCTCCAACCTTGGCCACTTTATGACTTGTGGACCAACTCCCAGAATTCCTCAGCCAGCCTTGGGGACCTCTGTTCTAGTCCATCCCTCTATTCAAGCAGAAGACCCTATAATATCTTAGATCCGTGACTTCGCCTAATATGCTTTGAAAAATTATTTTAGCCAACTGACAACATGGCAATGAAATGAATTGTGTCTCAGAGGAAAGCAGGATTTTGCTCTTAATAATAGTATATTAATCTATTGAAGACTAATGGATGTTCTCTCCAAATGGAACCTCTATGACAATACATTGTCCACAACAGATACAGGAAGCCAAGCAATTGGAGTGTCTTGACTGTCTTCATGCCACCAGCTGCCCAGAGTTAAAGCCCAGTTTTCTGATATACCCCTATTTCTATCCATAAGCCTGAGTTCCCATTTGTAATCAAACAGAATATTCATATTTAGAATTAAAAACTACATGAATAATGAGAATTGTTGCAAACCTTGTTTGTGCTCAAGCAGCATCCAACTGATCTCTTGTCATGATGTTGAAATACATGAATCTCCAGCAAATGATGCTTCATTTATTTGGAGAGATTCAAATCGCTATTAACTAACCCTGACAATTTGAAGATGTGTGGACTCCCAGAATTCCCGAGCCGGCATCTTCAAGCTGGCAAGATAAAACCGGGGCAGGGTTGTTCCTTTTATGCTCTACTCGTTTGTTTCACACCAGATAGCTTACGCTGGAAATCACCGATCCGGTGAAGTTACTTCATAGATCCTAAGCTTTTCTCCTCATTCCTGTTTATCCGCTTTCTCTTTCCTAACAGCTTACTCCAACTTAGCGCCACCTCTTCAAATTCCGGTCACCCTATCCCCCCCTCCCTGCGTCTAGCTGGGGCAAAGACCGTCCAGTTTTGTTTTGTTTTTTAGCTTGACTTACCAGCCAGATGCCACGATTTCCTACGCCCGTAGCGCCCACACCCGCCGGCCTGGTCCGCCTCGTAGCCCACCAGGGGCGTGCAGATACCGTCCGCCACCTGCCCCGCCAGCAGCAGCGCCCCCGCATGTTGGGTGCTGTAGCCCAGCACCGAATGGAAGTAGACTAGCAAGTAGGTGAACCACATCGAGGCGCATAAATCGTTCAGGAAATGGCCCAGCGAGTAACTCAGCCGGGCGCGAGCGGGCAGCGGCGGCGGGTCGTCCATCCTGCCGGGAGGCGAGGAGCGAGACGCGCCTCACAGCTCCGGGGCCTGGAGCCCGATGGCCCCAGCTGTGCGTAAAAGCGCACCGGCAGGGCGCATCAGCTGGAACGCGCGGGGGAGGCGCCCAGGTCCGGGCCAAGCGGGAAAAGCAAGGAGGGTCGTAGCTACTGAGGGGAACAGCCCAGCCATACGGCCGCAAAACCGCTTTTATCGGCTCCGGGGAAATCCCAGGTTGGTGGCCGGCGTCGTTACCACCTAGTCTGCACCGCGGCGCCCCCAACTGGCTCCGCCTTGGGGCAGATAGCCGCGCCTCCTCCAACGGCCTCGCGGATGGAGCCAATGGAGAGGCTGAACTGCGAAGAAGCCGCGCCTCAAAGGAGGACTCGGCTTTAGCCCTTCAGCCGGCTTCGTGTCCTTCGCTCCGCCTTTCGGTTTGGAGACTTCTCCAGTAAAAGCAAAATCGCCCCCTCCCCGGATGAATTGCATCAACGAGGACTCTGACTCGTCGTCAGCCGTTCAGTCGTGTCCGACCCTCAGCCACTCTGTGGATCAGCCCTCGCCATGCTCCGATTCCAGGGTCCCTGTTCTTTGAACCTCGAGTTGCCGGCTTCTCCGGAGAAAGCAAAAGTTTGCCTATGCTTGCACCTTCCACAGCTTTGGCCAGGTTTATGCTCTATTCGTGTGTTTTAGATTTGCACAGGAACCTTTTCGTTTGGATAGAGACCCCGGGGCAGCCAACTTGCTGCGGGCCAACTCACCGTGGGATTCCTTTAGTTTCTTTTATTTTTGTTGACGATCCAAATTATTTCATCTCTTGTATCAAAGAGAAAACATTCCTATGACTACCAGTTTTTGTAATGCTTTGAGGAATAATAAAAGGAACATTTGTCCCAGAGTGAGTTGGCCTTGTTGAATTGGCTCTGGTGTGTTGGCCACAATGAGTTGTCCTAGACCAGTGATTCTCAACCTGTGGGTCGGGACCCCATTTGGGGTCGAACGACCATTTCACGGGGGTCGCCAAGCAGTCCGGCATTTTTTTCCCTTTTCCTTAGCTGTGCTACTCCCGTTTATTCTATTGGCTTTTGAAAGCCAATAGAATGGACTCTCTTGAATAGAGTCTAATTCTATTGGCTTTCAAAAGCCAATAGGAATTGTCCAGGTTGTCTCTGCCCTGCTGAGCCCGCCAAAACTCCCATTCTGCAAACGGTGCTGCACCAGTTGAGTAGTCCTCGACTTACGACCGGTTGAGTAGTCCTCGACTTACGACCAGTTGGGGGTCGCGGCATTAAAAAGGTTGAGAACCACTGTCCTAGACCCCTACATATGTTGCTCAGTTAAAGTACTGTAGACTCCTATCTCAGCATCGCCATACAAATGGATCCTGGAGGTTGTAGTTCCGAGTATCTGAGGTCCCCATGGCCTTAAAGCTGGAAATAGACTCCTCATTTGGCCCCTGTGCAAATGGAGATGTTCTGAAAGGCACATGAGCGCAGACTCCATTGAAAAGTTGGTAATATTGTCAAATGGGCTTCATCTGAAGTCTTTAAATCTTTTTTCTCTTGAGGCCTCTTTTCACTTTTGAAAATTATTCAGCCCCCACCTAAGAGTTTTTGTTTGGATTATATTTGTAGATATTTACCAGACTATTAAAAATTACCATACTAGACATTGCACAAGAGCACATTCCACGCTCATGGGGCCTCCAGAGTTTCTGAAAATTGTGCAAGAATGTAATGTGCTTTCAAGAATAGTTGGTATTGGGTGTTGGTGAATGCTGCCACCCAAAAGGTTGTGGTGTGTCAGCTTTGATACACATGTCATAGGTTCACCATCACTGCACTAGGCAGACCAACTACCATTCTGAACATTCTCAGAAGTACTTCCTTTGCTATCAGTTGCAATGAGAACTCCTGTTGAAATATTGGAATCTAACTCAGATATCCTTAACAAAGATTGATTCCATGCATCTTACTGAAGCTGGCTCTGCTCCACTTTATGTTCAGTGAAATCTAACACAGGATCATACAGATCTAATTCCAGAGTGTGGAAATGTGTGAAGCCCTTGAAGACAATGCTGTGTTTCAAATGGGTCTCATGATACTTCGGCGTCAGTGAGTTGTTTTTACAACGCTTCTACTAACGCTTTTAACTTGGCTTGGAATCTTAGCCTTCATGCATGCTTGCTAGGGAAGAAAGGAATTTAAAAGCCACTGCGTCTTGTCCCGAGGTGCCTCTTCCAGTATTTCCCATCAGCATGGATATGATACTATAGAAGGTAGTCCCATTTCAAATTTCTAGTCCTTAGGAACTTGCTGAAAATAAGTTGCATCCAATTCAGCATGAACATGTATACCTGGCTTGCACGATGCCTTCCAATGCTAAAAGATGCAGATTGCAGCAAAGAGAAGAAAACTGATTTTCGGTTGTTCTTTTTCAGTCCGGATTTTTGCAGCCTGTCCTTTATTAGATAACCTTCATGCATTACGAGTAACACAGTAAACTGAAATGCGGTTTATTGTACTAATTATGTTGTGTGACTGTATTCCGTGTGATGTGTTGTACAAAGCAGCTGAGTTTTATTTAATACGTCATGGCTGAACCTATTGCTGTAGATATCCAAGAGGAAGGCAGGAAGGAAGGGCAAGTAAAATTGCACCCACAATCTGGTTTCTGCCAGATGTAGGTAATAACAACAACACAACAATAATGTTGGAAGGGACCGTGGAGGTCATCGAATCCAACCCCCTGCTCAGGCAGGAAACCTATACCATTTCGGACAAATGGCTGTCCAGTCTCTTCTTAAAAACTTCCAGTGTTGGAGCATTCATCGCTTCTGGAAGCAGGTTGTTCCACTGGTTAATTGTTCTGTCAGGTTGCTTCTCTCCTTGGTTAGTTTCCATCCGTTGCTTCTTGTCCTGCCTTCAGGCGCTTTGGAGAATAGCTTGACTCCATCTTCTTTGTGTCCTTGACTTACGACAGTAATTGAGCCCAGAATTATGATCATAACTCATGCCAGTCATTAAGCAGATCATCACATAATAGACCTAATTTTACAACAATTGTTTTTTTGGGGGGACGTTAAGCAAACATGTCTGCAACAAAGTGGACAGAGCCAGCTTCAATACTGCTGGAAAGCAGAAGTAAATGCTGGTTTCTGGCAAAAAAAGGTGTAAATTGTCATCATGTGGCCTGGGGATCTTCACTGAAGCACAGTGTTTATTTTAGGTGTTCATGATACCTTAGCAAAAAAGATTGCTTCATTCCCGCATCTTTTTGCACATGGCAGACATGCAGGTTTTTCTTATTTCACAAGCCCAACTTGGAACGTTTCTCAACATGGGCATCTTTTATCACAACGAACTATCTGTAGCTTTCAAAAAGTTCCAGAGAACTGTTTACCATCTCCCACAAAAAGAAAAAGAAAGAAAGAAAGAAAAAGAAAGAAAGAAAGAAAGAAAGAAAGAATAATGCAAAAGCTGAGCAACCTAGAACAAACAAATAGAGATGGATGACTGCAAGAAAGCAACTTACTTCGGACTGCTTCTGCAGAAGACTGTTTAATGAATTTATTTATTCATTCGTTCATCGGTTCATTCTTAAGGCGATGTGAATTTAGATGGCTTGATCTAACCTTAGGCCTGGATGCTAAACAATCAAGCCTGCTAGCTTGAATAGTGGCAGGCTCAGAAAACATGTACAGTATCCACAAATAAAGGAAATTGCAAACCACTCTTGCATTATCGCCAAGAGAACAGCGCAGACATATGCAGGTAATCCTCGACTTACGACCAAAACTGAACCCAAAATTGATGTTGCTAAGTTAGACATTTGTTAATTTGAGTTTTGCCTCATTTTATGACCTTTCTTGCCACAGTTATTAAGTGAATCACTGCAGTTGTTAAGTTAGTGATAGGGTTGTTAAGTGAATCTGGCTTCCCCTTTGACTTTGCTTGTCAGAAGTTCGCAAAAGTTGATCACGTGACCCCGGGACACTGCAACCGTCATAAATATAAGTCATTTGCCAAACATCTGGATTTTGATCACGTGACCGTGGGGATACTGCAATGGTCATAAGTGTGAAAGATGGCCATAAGTCGCTTTTTTCAGTGCCATTGTAACTTTGAACAGCCATGAAATGAACTGTTGTAAGTTGAGGACTACCTGTATTCACTTAATCACCAGTGGTAGCATTTGTAAGGCAGAATCAGAATGGTGAAGATGGTAAATGCAGAACTGTGATGTAAGGCCTCCTGCCTCTTTGTAATTAAGATGCCACGTCCACCATTGTGCCCATTTTGACCCTCTCATTTCCTTGGCAACTTCTGTTGCTATTATGAGCTAGCTTTGCTTTCATCTAATTTCAAGGGGTCACTGAGCAGGGATGTGCAGGTGATTAAAAAAAAAATAGCTGAATTTGGAAATTCTTGTCCAGGCTTTTTAGTAACTACTGAATTCAGTCATTGTAATGGCAGCTGGTCCTCTCCTTCCCTAGAGGCCTTTTACATGCTGTTATGATCCCCTATATCTTGGTGTCCGAATCCCCCTCTTCTGGATCCATTGCTTTGTTTTCGTAGACATTTTCCTCAGCGCTGTAGGGAGAAGAGAGAAAAACAAAACACTGTGGAGCTGAGGTAGTTCACTTAGCAGGCTTACCACAAACTACAAAGAGCAGGTGTGAAAAGCAGCAGAATGTTAGAATAGTTGGCCATGACAACCACAAGGGACAGACCCTGTGGCCCAACCATGATGCTGGTTTTGTCATCATCATCCTCATCATTTCAGCCATTGTCTATCCACTGCAGGATGAAAGCTTCTTCCGCATGTTTCAGCCCCTCCTGATTGCAAGGTGACTTTGCTCACAATGTAAGAATAACGCCAATAAATAGAAATGAACGAATCAAAATGCCAACCCAATTTGGGTAGGATATTCATTTTTACAGCAGCAATTCTCGCAAGTAATGACAGGTGTAATTTTTTCCAACGTTAGATCAGCTTTAATTTTTTGCATTAATTTGACGTAATTATCTTCTTTAATTGATGAACAACGTACAGAAATGATTAAATTTAGAAACTACTTGTATACCTAATTTAACCTCGAGGAATCTTTTTTGAATATCAGTCATATTTTTAGTGATAATCTTTGTTTTATTTTTGTTTATTTTAAAACCTGCACAATCTCCGTAATCTTCTAAAATTTCAAATAATTTCTGCCTGGAGTGTTCTGGATCTTCCAAAATAAATGCTAGATCATCTGCATAAGCCTGAAGTTTATATATTTCTTTCTTAATCTTAAATCCTCTAATCTGTTCTTCTTGCCTTACTGCTCTAGCAAGAATTTTTAGAGTATAAATAAACAGCAATGGCGAGAGAGGGCATCCCTGTCTAGTGCCTTCCTGTATGTTAAATCTATCTGTTGCCACCCTGTTTATTATAATCTGCGCATATTGTTTGGAATATATTGCAGTTATAACGTTTAAAAAATTTCCTCCTGCTTCCATTAATTTTAATTGTTGTATCATGAATTGCCAATTAACATTATCGAAAGCCTTTTGAGCATCCAAAAACAGACCTGCCACTTGCCGATCATTGTGTGATTCATAAAATTCTAGAATATCTAAGATTGTTCTCATATTCTGTTTAATCTGTCTGTTTGGTAAGAAGCCGTTTTGATCCGGGTGTATAAAATCTATTAGATATTTTTTAAATCTCTCCACCATTATTGAAGCAAAAATTTTGTAATCTGAATTCAATAAAGATATGGGTCTATAATTTTGTATCCATATTTTTTCCATATCTGCTTTTGGAATCAGTGTTATATTTGCCTCTAACCAGGACTTAGGTATTTTAGCTTCGGTAAGTACTGCATTAAAGACCTCTAAGAGATATTGATTAAAAACACTCTGCAAGTCTTTATATAGTTCAGCAGGTTTCCATCTGGGCTTGTCGCCTTATTAATTTTTTTGTCTATTTATAGCCCTAATTAATTCAGACATGCTTATTTCCTCATTTAACATAGATTTTTTCTCCTCTGGTATTTTGGGCAGCTCAGCCTTTACCAAATATTCTATTATCTGTTCCACGCTTCTTCCCTCATTACTCTTATATAAATTTTCGTAAAATCTTTGAGCAATACCCCTTTTCACAGTCTCCTCCCCCTGGATTTCTCCATTTTCATCTACCAAATTAGTAATCCATGATTTCACTTTCTGTTGTCTTAATTTATACGCTAGCCATCGTCCCGATTTATTTGCATGCTCAAAATTTTTTTTGATTAGCTGCCTGTAATTTTTGTGCATATTTTTCCAATTCCTCTAAGTCAGTGGTTCTCAACCTGTGGGTCGGGACCCCATTTGGGGTCAAATGACCATTTCACGGGGGTCACCAAACCACGCTGTCCGCCATTTTTTTCCCTTTTCCCTAGCTGTCCTACTCCCTCTTATTGGTGGCCACACCCACTTGGGGGTCACCACAACATGGGGAACTGTATTATGGGGTCATGGCATTAGAAAGGTTGAGAACCACTGCTCTAAGTTAAGTTTGTTTTTAATTAAATCCATTTTTATTTTCAATCCTTTATTTCCAGGATCTCTCTGGAGTAATATTTCAGCCTGTTTATAGTTTGCTTCAAGCCTCATCTTATATTGTTGTTTCTCTTTATTTTTCTTAGCCGTATACGAAATAATAATACGACTTTCAGAGTGGCCACGGGAAAAAAGTTCAGCCCAATACTTGAATATCCTCAGTTGCCCTCCACTTCCCAGACACTTGATCAGTGGGTGAGGGGATGGGAAGAAGTTTGGAAAAACACAAAAACTGCTTTAAAAAAGACTTTGAAACCTATAAAAAGCAGGCTGATAGGAAGAGGGCTCCCCAAAGAACATTCCAAGTTGGGGAGATGGTTTACTCGTCAACTAAGTATTTACGCCTCAAATTGCCCAGCAAGAAATTGGGACCAAAATTCTTGGGGCCTTTCCCCATAGTAAGGATCATCAACCCGGTCACAGTAGAACTAAAACTCCCATGACTTTTAGGGAAAATTCACCCAGTTTTCCATTGTAGCTCGTTGAAGCCTTATCGGGGCTCCATTTTAAGACCTCCCCCAAAGAAGGCACCTGGGCCCCTCGTAGTTGCAGGACAGGCCCACTATGAAGTGAAACGTATTCTTGATTCTAGAATCTTTAGAGGGAAATTGCAGTACCTAGTGCAATGGAAGGGATACCCGTTGTCTGAAGCCACCTGGGTGAAATCCAGTGAAGTGAAAGCTGACAGATTGGTCAAAAGGTTTCATGTTAAACACCCCAACAAACTGAAAAATAACCCTTAACCTATGCTTATGTTTACATTCCAGGATCTGTCCTTTTTTGTAAGGAGGGCCGGATGTCAAGACTGCTAATATTGGATGTTCTTGCTTGCCATATATGAAGAAGCAAACCTGTTTTATTTAGCCTGTATAGCACTTCTAGAGTTAAAGCAGATTGATGACTGTAAAATGAAGGAGTGTGTTATGCTTTGTTACGGGTGTTTGGGAAGGGAGGATTCAGTTTTTGACTTGATGTCATGGTTCCGAAAAAAAGCAGCTTTTCAAAGAGGCTTATTTACCTTAAATAATCCTTTATTTTCTGCATAGCTACGGCACATTCAAAGTTAAGCCAAAAACTGAATCCTCCCTCCCCCAAACACCCGTAACAAAGCATAACACACTCCTTCATTTTACAGTCATCAATCACATTCTCCAATTAATGTGAAGTGTGAAGTGCCCCTCCCGTTACAGCTGACCTTGGCAACACTGTGCTCAGACATTGTTATGGTTAACTAGCATATTTTCCCATCCACTAGGCTAGTATTATCTGCTTTAACTCTAGAAGTACTATACAGGCTAAATAAAACAGGTTTGCTTCTTCATATATGGCAAGCAAGAACATCCGATGTTAGCAGTCTTGACATCCGCGCCTTACAGGTAGTCCCTGACGTACGATCACAATTGGAATCAGAACTTTCATTTCCAAGTAAGGCAGTTGTTAAGTGAGTCATGCCCAATTTTATGGGGGGGGGGGTTGCCACGGTTTAAGTGAATCACTCCGGTTGTTAAGTGAATCACATGGTTGTTAAGCAAATACAGCTTCCCCCATTGACTTTGTTTGTTAGAAGCCAGCTGGGAAGGTCTCAAATGGCAATTGTGATTCTGGATTGCTGCAACTATTGTAAATACAATACACGCCTGTTGCCAAGTGCCAAAATTTTGATCACATGACCATAGGAGACATTACAACAGTCATAAGTGTGAGGACTTGTCATAAGTCACTTTTTTCAATGCCATTGTAACTTCGATCACTAAATAAATGGTTGTAAGTAAAGGATTACCTCTACATGCCCATGATTGGGTGGGAGGAGCATGAATAACCATGTTGACCAGCTCCACCATTAGAAACCCGAGACATAAAATGCCTTTTAAAAATCTATTGAAATAGTAATATTTACCTGCGCATGGTCTCTATGGTCTCCATCTGGTCCTTATCATTCTTTCTGCAAAAGGGGGACAATATTAATGAAGAATTAGGGGAGGATGAAAAGACAAGATAGAACCCACCACCCCTCGAAATATAAGACCCTTATTGTGCCACACCTTAATCACACAAAGAGAGATACAATCACACAATAATACTAATCAGAGGGAAACCTAGTGACCTTCATCCGTACAATGCTCTCAACTTGATTAGTTCTAACTTTGATTAGAGATGGATGAGAGCCTTGGGACAGCTTAGCTTTATTGTGTAAATTTGGCCCCTTTGATTAGCTTGTTGGTCAATGTTTTGAGCAAATCTGCAAAATGGTTTAATTGTGTAACTGAGAAGGGCGATTATGTGAAAATGACTGCTTTTTCGTATCTTTTCCAAATGGTGGGGTACAATCATATTGTTATAATTCCCATCTTAGCTTTTTTTTTTTTTGACACACACATACCCCTCCCCATGGGTGCAAGGTGGATGGACTCAGCTACAAAGTTGATGGGCATAGCATTAGACATTCTGAAGGACCTGGTTGGGGACAGATCTTTCTGGAGAAGGTCTATTAATGTGATTGCTAAGAGCTGGTGCTAATTTGAAGGCACAATAATCAGTTAATCAATGGTTGTCCCAGTTATGTGTTAAGTGGGACCTTAAAACATAAAGAAAGAGATCTGGAAAAGACATACTTTTGGAAGAAAAATATTCGATTGATGAGGTTTGCCACAAACATCACAAACAAGAAGACCATAACAGCAGTTAATCCCACCAGCCAGGGTTGCAAAGTAGTTGACCCATTGGTTGTTTCTTTCACAAGGCCTGTCAGAGTCAATACAAAAAAGATTTGAATTACCCTTACAGTCCAATTTCTCTATCAGACTCCCTTTTTAGGGCTTTGCAACAATTGAGGGCTCCCAAATCCAGCCTGCAAAGATATGTATAACCAGTAGATGGCAACAAAGAGGGTTTGTATCTCATTGCTGCCATCTTTGGCTCCTGGGAGATTTGCAGTCCAATTGTGGTAGCCCAAAAATTTGACCAAGGGCTTAGTGCTGGATGCTATAACATAACAATAGATTAACCACCGTTGTTCGTGTTCAGAGTGCATGTTTCCCATTGAACAGGGAGGAAAGTTGCATGGAGTCAGGGTTATAGTGATTAACAACTGACAGGGGCCACGCACTGGAGCAGTTACGTGTTTCACCAGCAGGGCCAATCTGGGGTTGTAGATGTTTCAGAGGGCATTGTTTAACTGGAGTTAATTAAAAGGTGTTTTTTTTTCCCCCATGGGTCCCAATGCAGTTGGAACACAATTCTTTCTATTGTCTGTGTATCTTGATTTCTTTGGGCCTATTGTTCCTTTCTTGTCAAACAAGTTATGTGGCTGCACCAATCTGATTTTTTTTGCTTCTGGATGTTCGGTGAAAACATTGACTGAATGTTGACTGAAGTAGGCATGATACAACAGATAGTCCTTCAGTTTTGACCGTAATGGAGCCTGCCCATCATGGACATAACTCATGATAATCATAAAGTGACTTGTGACTGATCTGATTGTGGGCTCATTTTGCGGTGACTGTTAAGCAAATGCCATGGGCATTAAGTGAATCCACGGTTTGCTAAGGGTGTGGTTTTGCCGGAAACTGAAAATAAAGGGCAATTTTCATCAGAACTGTCATAAAATGTGGTCACATGACCATAGGGCACTGCAAACAGACTGTCGGAACTTCAAACAGTTGTTAAGCAACATAAGCCAAGGACCAGCTGTATCTGTGTCAAAATGCAGCTTTCAGATTGGACAAAAAACTAGAGGATGGATCAGGTCCTTTTCCCTATCATCCTCAATACATTCTGCTGGTTTTCATCCCCTTTTATGCTTCCAAGAGTGCACAGTAGGGTCAAAAGAGTCAAGATGGTAACTGCAGCACTGTAATCAAAGCCTTGCCCATTTTTATGCATCAAAATATTATGGAGCTTTGATCCTGTCACAGTTGCCATCCTGATATTTTTGATGCCTACTTAATGTTCATGTGCACACATCTAGCAATGGTAACTTGGTTGGCCACCTGAAGTGCTCCAGAACAAGGAACACATTGTAAGATGTTAATAAAATAATTCCTTGTATGTGCCAAAATAGGAATATTTACTAAAATATACTGAAATGGACTATATGAATTTACAGTTTTTTTTTCTAAGCAGGTTGCTTCTAGAATTCATGGAGGGCATTCGGATTTCCTTCTTTCCTTCCTTCCTTCCTTCCCTCCCTCCCTCCCTCCCTCCCCGCTCTCCCCCTTCCTTCCCTCCCTCCCCTACTCCCCCCTCCCTCCCTCCATCCCCTCCCTTCCTTTCTTCCTTCTCCAATCATAATGATTTTGAAGGGGAAAAAAGGGAGGTGAGATTAACACAATCCAGTGAAAGCAATGCTCCTCAACTTCCAGCAGCAGGCTTAGATGGCAGTATAAGCTCTTTGAAAATCTTAGGAGAAAAGCATGGTCCAGATATACAGACACAACTGTGCCACTAGAATGGGGCCATCACTGAGAAGGCTCAACCACACAATTTCCAAAGATTGCTTTCTCTTGGCAGAGGGACCTTCAGAAGACCTCCCCTTCCTAATGTCGTTGGACAGGAATTCTGGAAATTGAAGTCCATACTTCTCAAAATTGCCAATCTTGTGAAACACTGATCTAAGCAACGTAGGTCTATGAACTAAGAAGAAACTTCCTGACAGAACAATTAACCAGTGGAACAACCTGCCTCCAGAAGAGGTGAATGATCCAACACTGGAAGTTTTTAAGAAGAGACTGGACAGCCATTTTTGTCTGAAATGGTATAGGGTTTCTTGCCTGAGCAGGGTCCCTTCTAACATCATCATCATCATCATCATCATCATCATCATCATTATTATCTCCCCTCACTGATTGTTCCTTGAAGCGACTAGTAGTCAGTGCAGCTCCTGTAGCTATGGGGTTATGTTAACAAATCTGAAAATTATGCAAGCTGCTATATGCTGCATCAGTTGAAGTTTACAAATAGTCTTCAAGGGTATTGCAGTAATCTAGATGAGACATAACGAGAGCAGGAACAACCATGATTCAAATTTCAGAAATGACCACAAATTGTAATGGCATGGGGGAATGACTTTGGAGACAGGAAGAAGAGCCATACTGGATAACCTGCAAATAAAGAGACCTCAGCCCAGGGGTGTGTAGGAAGCATTTCTGTAGGGGCCCTCTCTAGTTTTCTGAAGAATAATAGGAGAGGAAGGGAGAAATACTTTCAAGATTGCAAGATTCTGTTAATGTAACCCTACAATAAAAACAGTTAGTTTGACCTGATACATCTATCTACTATACATTTACAATAGTTCACAGGTAAGCCAACAACAAAGATAAAGATAGATGCTGTTATGTCCCGAGCCTTGCAAACGGGCTTGGGGCGTTTGCAGGCAGTCCCGGGCAGGTGCAAGCTGCCCGGGACCAGACAGGCTGTCGCCAGCGCCTGTGCGCATGTGCGGGTACTGGCGCGGGAAAAGTAACACATTGACCCGGGAGTTGCCTATATAAGAGGCTGGGAGTTTTTGGGCGTTGCTGAAGCCTTCATCTGTAAGCTGAACACAGAATAAAAGAAAACCTGAGAACTACAACTGCTTCTCGTGTCTTGCCTTTCGCGAAGGACTCAACACTGGCGACGAAGGTGGGATGCTTTGCACCGACTGAAAAGAAAAAGGTGTAAGCTTACCCAAGTGAGTCCTGAGCGGCGGAACGGCGTTGACTCGGCAGCTACCCGCCAATCCAGTGCGCATTCGGGGGTAGGCTGGCTGATAGACCCGTCTCCTGAAGATGGCAAAAATTGGAAGGCTTTCGGAGTTCGACGTCTCACATCCAGAGAGGTGGGAGTCCTACGTAGCCAGGGTGGAAAACTACCTCAAGGTGAACCAAGTGAGGGAAGATAGCTTGAAGGCTGCCACCCTGCTGTGTGTCTGCGGTCAAGACGCCTTCGAAATTGCGGAGAACCTCGCAGCACCTGTCCCATTAGAGTCTGTCAGCTACGCAGATCTAAAGAAGCTACTGAAGGAGCACTTCCAGCCTAAGATGTTCGTCATCGCATGGCGCCACACCTTCGAGCAGAGGGATCAACGATCCGGAGAATTGGCCAAAGAATACATCGCCGCATTAAGAAAGGCCGCCAAGCACTGCGAGTTCAAGGACCTCGAAGAACGACTGAGGGACCGATTCGTGTGTGGGCTAAGGCATCGAGAGTTACAACAGAGGCTTTTCGCCAAAGAGGACTTGTCCTTCCAAGATGCCTTGAGAGAAGTCACTGCAGAAGAAGCAGCAGGCGGCGCCATCAAGAACATGCGGCCGATCAGGAACAGTCCAGATGTTGCATCCGTGCACCAAGAAGAAGTCCAAGGGAACTCCGAGGAGGATCCGGATGAGGGAGCCGACCGTCTCCACTCCACGAAGGAAGGGAACCAGAAAGGAAGCTCTTCAGCTCCCCTCAAGTGCATCGGCTGTGGAGGTCGCCACAGGAGAACCGACTGCAAGTTCCGCTCCGCTATTTGCCGGGCGTGCGGAAAACAAGGACATATTGCAGCTGTGTGTCTGGGCCGACGAAAAGTACAACCTCAGGAAGAATTGCGCCTGAAAGGTACCAGGGTCCCCAGCCAGAATAGGGTAGGGTTTTGCGCTTCGCGAAGGAGCATCCTCAGGACAGGCACACACAAGCCCATTAAGAAAAAGCTGTCACTCAAGGTGAAGCTACAAGGGGTTCCGTTAACTATGGAACTAGACACGGGGTCCGCACTTTCAATCATCTCCTTACATACATTTAGGAAGATTTGTTCCGGCAGTGGAACTCAGGCCAAGTTAAGGCCTTCTGACATTGTGCTAACAGACTTTCAGAATTCGAGAGTGTGTGTTAAGGGGGAGGCCACCCTTAACGTTCAGTACAAGAATTTTGAAGGTCCACTAGATCTATTAGTAGTAGGGGGTGAACGAACGAGTCTCATAGGACTCGATTGGTTTGAGGCCTTGGGGTACACGTCACGGGGCTCAACAGCTTACAAACATTCGACTTGCAGGAAGTCTGCAAAGAATTCGCAGATGTCTTCAGCCCCCAGCTGGGCACATTCAAAGGACCCCCTTTGTCCTTAAAACTAGACCCCACTGTCACTCCAATTAGAATTAAAGCAAGAAGGGTCCCTTTTGCTTTAAAGAGTAAAATTGACACTGAGTTGGACAAACTGATCCAACAAGGAATTCTAGAACCTGTTGACTCCAGTCCTTGGGAGACCCCCATTGTCACGCCTCTAAAGGCAAATGGGGACATTCGCATTTGTGCCGATTACAAATGCACTCTGAATAAGGCATTACAGCAACATGCCTATCCTGTTCCTGTGGTCAGTCATATCCTGGCCTCTCTCAAGGGGGGGCGTGTTTTTGCAAAGCTTGACCTAGCTCAAGCGTATCAACAGCTGCCTGTTGATGATGATGCTGCTATAGCTCAGACTATTGTGACCCACAGAGGGGCCTTTAAGGTTAAAAAGGCTACAGTTTGGAGTGAATGTCGCTCCTGGGATTTTCCAAAGCGTAATGGAAAACACACTACGGGGTATACCGGGGGTTTGCCCCTACTTTGATGATGTCTTAATTGCAGGAGACTCCACACACATTCTAGCTGAACGGCTAAGGGCTGTTTTATTAAGATTCAGGAAGACAGGCCTCAAGCTTAAGAAGGACAAATGCAAAATAGGGGTGCCTTCTACTGAATTTTTGGGGTTCAAAATTGATGCTGCTGGGATTCACCCTGCTGAATCCAAACTAACTGCCATTTTAGAAGCACCTAGGCCAAAGTCTAAGGCCGAACTTCAGGCCTTCCTGGGCCTCCTGAATTTTTACAATTCTTTTCTTCCACATAAAGCTAGTGTAGCTGAGCCTCTTCACAGGCTATTAGATAAACAAGCAGTGTGGCAGTGGTCACAAACACATGAGACTAGTTTCAATGAGGTCCAGGCCTTGCTCACTTCTAACAGTGTACTTGCACACTTCAATGAGTCCCTTCCTGTGTGCATTGCTTGTGATGCTTCCCCTTACGGGGTCGGAGCTGTCCTGAGCCACCTCAGGTCTGATGGAACTCAGGTTCCTGTTGCATATTACTCCAGAACATTGTCTTCTGCTGAGCGCAACTACGCTCAGATAGACAGGGAGGCTTTAGCTGTTGTTGCTGGAATTAAAAAATTCCATGATTTTTTATATGGCAGGCATTTCACGGTCTTCACTGACCATAAGCCTCTGCTGGGACTGTTTACCACATGTAAGCAAACTCCCCAAATCATTTCACCTAGAATGCTCAGGTGGTCTATTTTTTTGTCTGCATATAATTTTTCCTTATTTCACAAGCCTGGGAAAGAGATGGGCCATGCTGATGGCCTCAGTAGATTGCCCCTGCCAGTAATAGAAGCTGACCCTGCGCCAGCTGTTAACATTCTATCCATCCAAGTCTTGCCAGAGTCTCCTCTGAATGCCAGGGATGTAGCCGCTGAATCGGGCACAGATCACACACTTTCATGTGTCCTTTCTTGGGTTTTGTCTGGATGGCCTGAGCACTGTCCTAGTCCTGAGTTTCAGAGTTTCTGGTCTAAAAGGAACGAGTTGTCCACTTCTCAGGGTTGTCTGCTTTGGGGAAACAGAGTTGTCATTCCCACCTCAATGAGGACTAGGATCTTAGGTTCCCTCCACGAGGGTCATCCTGGCATTGTTCGCATGAAGGCCCTTGCGCGCAGCCACTTGTGGTGGCCTGGTCTAGACAAGGACATTGAGGCTAAGGTGCATGCATGCCACCTGTGCCAACGCTCTCGCCCAGAGATGCCCCAAGCTCCTGTGCATAGATGGGAGGAAACACAGTCCCCATGGTCTAGGGTGCACATTGACTACGCTGGGCCCTTTCAGGGCCAATTCTTCTTGGTCCTCATTGACAGCCATTCAAAATGGCTTGAGGTTGTACCTGTCTCATCCACCACCACTGCAAAGACTATTCAGGTACTGAGGGGGATTTTTGCTGCACACGGGCTCCCAGATGTCATTGTGTCTGACAACGGCCCTCAATTTACTTCCTCCGAATTCCAAGCTTTCTTGCAGGCCAACATGATTCGTCATGCCACTTCTGCACCCTTCCACCCGTCCACCAACGGTATGGCTGAACGCATGGTTCGCATCACCAAGGACGCCTTGAAGAAACTCACCTATGGGGACTGGCATCACAGGTTGGCTGACTTTCTCCTTTCTTATCGCACGACACCATCCACTTCTACAGGGAGAAGCCCAGCTGAACTTCGCTGGGGGCGCAAACTGACTACGAAGCTTGACCGGTTGCATCCGGACAGACTGCCTTTATCTACCTCACACCCTAGGGCACCTAGACAACTACTAGTGGGTGCCCCGGTTTGGACTCGCAATTACGGGCCTGGTCATATATGGGTCCCCGCTTCTATTTCCAGGGTCACAGGTCCTCTGTCCTACGAGGTCTCCCTGGACAACGGTCATGTCCTGCGTCGGCACATTGACCAACTCCGCCCTAGGCGGGACCTTCCTACTGAGACTCCTGGGTCTTTTCCAGGGGGGGAGGGGGACCCCCTTGAGCAAAGGGAAGGGCACGAGCTGCTGCCCATCACCAATGATGGAGCCACAAACGGCACATTCCAAGATTCCGCGAGTGCCCCAAACAGGAATTCTAAGGGCCTATCCAACCACCAGGCATTCACGCCTACTCCAGCCAGGGAGTCACCCCGGGGGTACAATCACTATTCATCTGCACAGCACAGTACTCCAGTCAGGGAGGATACCCGGGAGCATCCAAATAAATCATACCCCGCAAGAGAGCTGGCACATAATCCCCAGAGTTGGCCTGACCTTACCCCAAGTCCTACAGGGGGTCAAACATACAGGGAGGTGGTCGAGGAACCAAGTCCCGACCACAACAACTCTAGCCCAAATCAGGGAGCAACTGAGTTTTGGGAAGGTACAGAAACCCACACGAGCCCGGACACAGAACGGGGTTTAGGGGATGGACAACCTCCTGACAGGTCTTGGACGGACCTAGGAGGTTCTACAGAGACGCCCAGCAGTGGCTATCACTTCAAGGGGCCCGAGGGCCTACAATTAGGCGGGTCAACCAGGTCACAAAGTGACAGAAGCCCTGGCCTGACGAGCCCGGTGGGCAAGCAAGCAGGCCAGGCATTGGGGCACAGTCCTTGGAAGGCACCAAGGCATGATAAGGAGAACAGGCTCACGTCACCCCTCAGTCGGGGACCACCTGTCAGAAACCCAGAGCTGAGAAGGTCACAGAGAGCAAGGAAATCGCCTAAGTACTTAGAGGATTACATAACATTGCTGGCTAAACAAAAGCCAGTAAACAGTAGGAGCACTGGGGAGTAGAACATTGCATTAAGAAATGATTGTATGTTGGTAGTAGTTTTAGCCCGGGGGAAAGGGGTGTTATGTCCTGAGCCTTGCAAACGGGCTCGGGGCATTTGCAGGCAGTCCCGGGCAGGTGCAAGCTGCCCGGGACCAGACAGGCTGTCGCCAGCGCCTGTGCGCATGCGCGGGTGCTGGCACGGAAAAAGTAACACATTGACCCGGGAGTTGCCTATATAAGAGGCTGGGAGCTTTTGGGCGTTGCTGAAGCCTTCATCTGTAAGCTGAACACAGCATAAAAGAAAACCTGAGAACTACAACTGCTTCTCGTGTCTTGCCTTTCGCGAAGGACTCAACAGATGCATCAGGTCAAACTGGTTGCAAATAGACATAGAAGTTTAAATATTCTGAGGCTGGTCTGCAAGGGGAAAAAGCTATTATCGTTGCAACATTATTTATCTGTATTCAACTAGGGCAGGGTTAGGCAACCTTGGCTCTTTTATGACTCATGGACTTCAACTCCCAGAATTCCTGAGCTAGCATGGCTCAGCTTGGAAACCTCTCCCTTTCCCCACAGCATGGCTGGCTCAGGAATTCTGGGAATTGAAGTCCACGAGTCATAAAAGAGCCAAAGTTGCCTACCCCTGAACTAGGGGGAATAATATCTATGTGTCTTTGTTTTTCATTTTTAATGCCCATTAAACAATTTTAATGTCTTTGTTCAATTGTGTTTTGTTTTTGGAAAATATTCTTTTTTGTTTTGTTTTGGAGTTTGTATTTTAACTTTTTGAATAAAAATAAAAAGTTAGAGAAAAGAAGTAGCATTTAATTCATTTATATGTCCTATTTCTAAACCTCCCATCCCCTTCATAATTGCATTCTAATATTCTAGTAAACTAGTATTCCTTGTTGTGCTCCTTGCCTGGTCTATCTCAAAGGGCTAACATAAATGGTACACAAGAAATAATTGTGTGCTCCTTCTGGCCATGGCCTTCTCTGGCTGTTGTAATCTAATGACCATCTGGAGCTTTACAGGTCAGCGATCTCTTCAAAAGTTGGAAAGTTTAACACCAGCTGTAACTGGTATTCAAATTGAATTTCTTTCTTGCTCTTAATTTTCCCAGAGTTTAATTTAATCATTTTAAATGATTACATTAATTAATTAAAGATTTATTCACAAAATGTGGAAATGGTTCAGACTGTTGATAATTTAAGCTACAAAGCCATGTTACTTGAAAATGTGATATGGGAACTGTATCCTGTTTGAAGGCTCCTGTTCTTTTTAACTTAATCTTTATTTAATTTTATTTACGTATAGTGAAGAGAATATAAAATCAGAGTAATTATCTAGGAACTTGGATGGGGTAATAGACAATCATTACATCTTTGTTGCAAATAATCACTGTATTTAATAATGTAATGATTAATGTAATAATCTAAAACCTACTGAATGAAAGTCATCTTTTGCATTCCTGTGATATTGCCATTTTTTACTGTTCAACTTTTTTATTGGAATAATTTTTCAACCAATTTGACATTCTATGAAAACAATCCAATCCCTTCTGATTTCTCAAGGATTTCCAGCTCTGTAAAACCCGTCAACTCTGTAAGCTCTAAAGAGCCATTTAGGTTTTTAAAAAAATATTTAAGGCCAGTTTTGAATCTAATACAGTAGCTTCAGTTGTGCTTTTTCCTGTTTCAATTTTAAGAATCATTCTAAAACAACAGCTTTATAAGACAACTGCATACAATAATACGTGGTTATTTTAGCAAACCAAGGGTTTTTATGACCATCTCTCCAGCTGATGAATTGGTTTTTATTGAATTGGATGGAATTCCATTTGATAATTGCAATTAAATATATGATTTGTTTTAAAATTTGACTGGACATCTGTTTGTTTTTAATCCAAAATTACATTTTTGAGGAACTGCATGCCTCTCAGAGCTAGCTGATTGAAGTGGCTTCTAAGATCTGTATATAAATTAATACAAGGTTCCTGACACAAATGAGGCCTTATATAGCTGCCCCCAAATCCTCCCCAGCATGGCCCTCAGATTTTCCCACCCATTTGCGGTTTCCCCTGAAAGCAATGCTGTTCCATACCTTGGCCATGAGAACAGGGAGTGAAAACAATTCCTACAAACACCGTCAAGCAGAAGAACAAGTTCATTGTTGTTGTTTTTCAGCCTGGAAGCCTTGTGCGGAGTATAATCATGTATTCCTTGCCTGGGCACTTTTGTTACTACTACTTTAGAAGGAAGGGATGGTTTATTTTCCTTGCAACTTGGAGTATGGACTTGGAACCAGAGGGCACTTGATAATGACTCCTCATTAGGACTTTATGAACTGATACCAAGCTGCGGTGCCTTGATATGAGAAAAATGTATTACCAGTTAGATCAATGGAAAGGCATGTGACACTCTGGGGATGGCAGAACATCCAGAGTGGCTTAAACATCAGGAGACAAATGAGAAAAAGCAACGGAGGTGTCAGAGATTAAAAATATGCTGATTGAGCCATCAAGGATAATTTTTTATTTGGAGAAAGGTCGGAAGGGAGGGAGGGGGGACAGTATATTAAGGCTTCCCATGCAAAATCAAATCAGATCTTCCTTGAGTATATGCAGAGGGCATTTCCTTAATATCAAGAGGAGAAATGATAAAATTCTTGGAAATAATAATAATGATGATGTTAGAAGGGATCCTGGAGGTCATCTAGTCCAACCCCCTGCTCAGGTAGGAAACCCTATACCATTTCAGACAAATGGCTGTCCAGTATCTTCTTAAAAACTTCCAGTGATGGAGCATGCACAGCTTCTGGAGGCAGGTAGTTCCACTGATTAATTGTTGTCAGAAAATTTCTCCTTAGTTCTAGGACCTAGGTTGCTTCTCTCGATTAGTTTCTATGCATTGTTTCTTGCCCTGCCTTCAGGTGATTTGGAGAATAGCTTGACTCCCTCTTCTTTGTGGCAGCCCGTGATATTGGAACATATCATGTCCCCCACTTGTCCTTCTCTTCATTAAACTAGACATACCCAATTCCTGCAACCGTTCCTTATATGTTTTAGCCTCCAGTCCCCTAATCATCTTTGTTGCTCTTCTCTGTACTCTTTCTAGAGTCTCAACATCTTTTTTACATCGTGGTGACCAAAACTGGGTGCAGTATTCCAAGTGTGGCCTTACCAAGGCATTGAAGAGTGGTATTAATACTTCACGTGATCTTGATTCTATCCCTCTGTTAATGCAGCCTAGCACTGTGTTGGCCTTTTTGGCAGCTGCAGCACACTGCTGGCTCATATTTAAGTGATTGTATAAGTATGTCAAAGGATAAATTAAAGAAGAATGTCATTTTATTAGAGGGAAAGAAGCTGAAATTTCTTTTCTTAGTGTTCAGACCAGTAGCCTTTCCATTATGGTTGTAAGTTGAGGACTATCTGTTGTAAACTGTCCAGAGTTTTGGTATTAAGATGGGTGACCATATAGATATTTTAGGTATATTAGTTTCTTTTTACATTTAAAAGAGCCTGGAAAACAAAGACATCTGAAAATATAAAACTGAATCTGAAAAACAGGATATTCATAATCAAGGAAATGAAAGAACGCAAAAGCCCAGTTCCTCATTGCAGTGAAATCTGGTTGTTGCAGGAAAATGTGAAGAAAATATACTTTGCATGAACGCTTGTAGTTTTGAAATTCTGAAAAGTAGCAAGAACATCCAATGAATGCAGAAGATGAACAGGAGAAAGTCCTCTATTTTCCTTCATCTGGCATTTGCCCCCCCCCCCAAGGATCAGCCATGGATTTGCTATAGCTCAGTGATTCTCAACCTTTCTAATGCCGTGACCCCATAATACAGTTCCCCATGTTGTGGTGACCCCCAAGTGGGTGTGGCCACCAATAAGAGGGAGTAGGACAGCTAGGGAAAAGGGAAAAAAATGGCAGACAGCATGGTTTGGTGACCCTCGTGAAATGGTCATTCGACCCCAAATGGGGTCCCGACCCACAGGTTGAGAACCACTGCTATAGCTATATTTGACCTGTGATGTTTTTCAACTTTATAGAAGACAAGGAAGTTTCAAATCTAATGAATAAATTAAACTAATGGGGTCAAAAGACCGACTGAATCAGTTTGGCAGTACTTGGTGCTTTAAAATCCAACAGTCATTGAGCATTCTGATGCTATTTCAAGCAACATGGGCCAGATTATAATATAGCCCAGGGGTAGACAACCTTGGCTCTTTTATGACTCGTGGACTTCAATTCCCAGAATTCCTGAGCCAGCCATGCTGGCTCAGGAATTCTGGGAGTTGAAGTCCACGAGTCATAAAAGAGCCAAGGTTGCCTACCCTTGTACCTAAACCATATTTCTCAACCTCAGCAACTTTAAGATGTGTGGACTTCAACTCCCAGAATTCCTTGGCCAATCTTGCCTGGGGAACTACTATCCTAAATTATTCTATTTTGGCTCCTCCCCAACATTTTAGGCCACACTCCTCAAACTTCCGGAGTTCCATTCCAACTTCCCCTTTATCTCTCAGGCTCCACCCCTTAGGCCTCTTGATCTGTTCCAGCGTCTCCTACTCCGTCCCAAACAGATACAGCAATTATTCTTTAGAACAAACTGTCCATACTTCTGTTTTTAGTTTCTTTCATCAGATACCTCCCACTGAAGCAAATCCAATTTACTATCTTTCTCCTCGCCTGTTAAAAAACAAAATGCAGTCATCAGGAGCATTATAGGTCAAAGGGTGCAAGAGCATTATAGGTCAAAGGGTGCAGTTAATTAATTACTTGTACATAGGCAGGATTGGGCATGGTCAGTGACACACTAACTTCATTAGAGTGGAAAAGAATGAGTTTTGTTGTGCATTTAGGCGACTTAACTTTGCCACACTTTTGTGCAAAAATATAAATAGAGCCAGTTTAGTCTAATGGTTAAGGCCCCAAGCTAGAATCCAGAAGACTGTAAGTTCTAGTCCTGCCTTAAGCATGAAAACCAGCTGGATGACCTTGAGTCAGTTACTCTCTCTCAGCCCAACTGACCACACAGGGCTGTTGTGGGAAAAATAGGAAGACAATGTATTATGTGTGTTTGATGCCTTGTGTTATTTATAAAAATAATAAATGTGGGACATATTAAAAAAATCTAAACCCCTCAATATATCATATTAAAGTTTTAAACATTAGCAGTTTTGCTACTCAATCTCAGGAGCACAAGTTCAGATTGTTCAGGGCACCACCAATACGAGAACTGGGTTGTGGCAGGGACATTAAAAATCAAGATGGTGGCTTTGATCGTATGGTTGCAGCACACACACACAGACGGTTAGACACATTGCTTTCTCTTATTTTATTTTTCTGATCGGGCTCTTCCCTTACTTCAAAATTGTCTGATTGTGAGGGCTTAACTCAGGGCTCCAAATTAATGTCTGAACAAATAGAGCAGATGCAGGAGGGCTTCTAACTTTGTTCGTTATAAATGGTCCATGAATGCCTGCATATCTGTGCAGTATGCACAAAGCAAACTTCGATGCATTTATCGACTAAATTATAGGCTATCAAACAACTTTGGATGGCTTTTCAAATTTAAAACAACAATAAATACAAAACAACTCTGACAGGCAAAAAAAAGTTTTGCTCCATTCAAGAAGCAAAATCACCCCTCTAAATTCCACAAACCTTCCATAATCCATCCATCCCACTCCAGGCCAGTGGGAAATTAATTTAGTTTATATCCTTCTCTGAAGAGTTTTATCAGCTCACATGTCATGGAGCTAAAGGCCATGTTTTCCATGCCCGGCTAACAGATGAAATCCACTGTGTTCCCATTAGTTTGATCTTGAAGATCTACTTCATTGAAAGCACTGGATTTCTTCTGCCAATGGGGCACATTCCAATTTCGACTATATGCAGCAAAATGCACTTTGCCAAAAGTTAGGCAGTCTGCGTGTCAAGTTAAGGAATAAAACCAGCAGAAAGTGAAATTCGGCTCAAGAATCAGGTGCCTCTCTATATGTGTGGAAATAGCCCATTTAAAGAACATATGATTTGCTTAGTAAAAATAAATTCAAACTCTACTAAAATGGTAAATTAACTCATGACTCCAAATTAATGTCTGAACAAATAGATCAATTGTAAGAAAAACCCTTCACAGCTTGTAAGTGAAATGTCATCCCCTCAGGAACTGAGTTTAAAATAGTTCAGACATGGATCTTAATTCCCTGATGTTTTGCCCCATGCCCAAGTAGATCTCAGGAGAAAATATTTATCTTTTGCAGTGGAACAGAAAAGCCTTGCTCTAAATTTGGAAGTTTAACTTCTAACCTAGTGTCTTATTCTTTGTGATAGGGAGAAATCCAATAAGCATTACTGCAATGGGGTACCTTTGAAGAGATTCAGAAGCTTCAACTGGTGCAGACCACAGGTAGTAAAGGGTGTTGCTTATTTGGCACACATAACACCACTATCCATGCACTGCATTGGTTGCCAATGTGCTTCTGGGTGTAATTCAAGGTGCCAGTTGTCACCTTTAAAGCCCTTCATAGTTTGGGATTGTGCTACTGGAGGGGCATTCTCTCCCCCGTTGTTTCTGTTTATTTCTGCAATCACTGGATCAGTGGAATTAAGGAGAAACAAGTAGTCAATGGAACAGCTTGCCTGTTGTGAGTGCTCCATCGCTGGTGGTTTTCAAAAAAAGATTTGATAACCATTTGTCCAGCATGGATTAAGGATTCTGCCTAGGACGGGGTTGGACTAGAAGACCTCCAAGGTCTCTTCCAACCCTATGACTCTATGATTCACCGGAGACAGAAGTGGGCTTCATTTGTCTTGGTGCTTTGTAAGTTGTGCAAGGCTAGCCCACAGCATGAGAAAGAGCTCTTTTAAGGGCAGCTAATAAAAATAGCAACTAGTTTTCATGGGAAAAGGATTTTTTTCTCCTGCAAAACATTTCCATTATCAACATAATTCAAAGTCCTTAATAATGGCTGTGGCATCCCCCTTCCACCAAGCAGAGAAAAAGAAATAAATTAATGACTGACGCATGAAGGTTTCGTCCACACGGTCTCCTTCCAGCACTCTTATGGAAACCACAGACAACAAATGACACTGAAATGGCTAATAAAAGTGTGGGAGGCCAGCTAAGAGAAGTCCTGCTTCAGCTGAGGGTCTTCAGCTTGCTCAGACTGTCAGCGTACTGGAAATCAGCGCTGTTCTCATAATCGTACATGTCCAGCGCCACCTCGCAGCTCTCCCGGACTACTCGCTCTTCATCCTTGGCAAACGCCTCCAGGGTGGTCAGGCAGGACTCCTTAGCGATGGAGCCCAAAGCCTCCGCACACTCGTGGCGCACCATGGGGTTCTCTGCCACGTCCTCCAAGGATGCCGTCAGCTGTGGAATGCTGGCCTCCTGCTGCATCTGGCCCAGAACATAGGCAATCTCATGGCGGAAGAGGGCACTGCCACACCGGAGGCCTGGGGAAAGAGAGAAGTCGCCTGGATTAAGAGGGGAGAAGAGAACCGGCCTGGCAGCATAAAGGTGGTGGAATCTGACATTGGAATGCAGAAGGGAGGGGCTGTTTCCCAGGGAGGCAGATCAGCATTGAGTTCCATCTGACAGCTATGCAGCCTGTGCTTTGCTTCTTGAGCCTGGCAAGGTTAATGTCAGGCCCAAGGAACCAAGAATGCTTAATTGCTCAGAGTAGTTTCTTTACTGCTCTATTAATTTTAATATTATTCTAATCATTTTATTAATTATTTTAATATTAACAATAAATACGTTTGTCCACAGGAGTCTTGCCAGACTAAAGCCTACTTTGCATGGTCCTCGACTTCGTTTGGTGACTGTTCGAAGTTACAACGGCACTAAAAAAAAAGTGATTTATGACCATTTTCCAGAGGTAGGATCATTGCAGCATCTCCATGGTCAAAATCTGGACACTTGGCAACCGGCTCATATTTGTGACGATTTACAGTGTCCGGGGGTCACCTTTTGTGACCGTCTGATAAGCAAAGTCAATAGGGAAGCTAGATTCACCTTACAACTGTGTCACTAACTTAACAACTGCAGTAACCTGCTTACCAACTGTGGCAAGAAAGGTCATACAATGGGGCAAAACTCATTTAACAATGGTCTCACTTAGCAATGGTAATTTTAGGCTCCATTGTGGTCATACGTCGAGGACTGCCTGTTATCAGATAAGTACTGTGATGAAAGATTTGGGCATGATCTCTTCTGGGCTTCTTTCTGCAAACTCAGAACTCAGTGTTGATCTGCCTCTCAACTCCCTGGGGAAGAGCCCCTCCCTCCTGCATCCCAGCATCAAAATTCCACCAGAATGGCTCAGGATTGGCTCTTCTGATGGCAGCGACTCAGGGATACAGGAAAAGAAAAACTTTCACGTGTTTATTTTGAGGCAGGCCCCCTGGGTGCATATAACCAGTGACTTGTCGTGGGGAATGTTCTTTCCTTGAAGGGAGAGGTGCTTCCTCACTCAGAAATCAAATCCACCTCTCCAACTGGGCAGAGGACGGATCCCCACAGCTTCCATTTCATTACCTGGGCTTGGATCCTCTCAGCTGGAGATATCAAGGACTGAACCCCAAGCCCACTAAATATAAACATCCTCTGCCAATGAATAATGGTAAGGTGTTAGATTTTAATTCCAAAGGTTGCACAGGTATAAATATATATCTAAGGAGAAAGTACTACGCATACAACCCTCTTTGACTATTTCTCAAATCTCCCATAGAAGGGTGACGGGCCAACTGCACTGAGCTTGAAAACCCATGTCTGAGCCATGAATGGCGTATTGAGGAAGTCTTGAAGTATGTCCAGGGTTAGTCCCTGAGTCATAATCTCTTCCAAGACTATGGGTTCCCAGGGGTTGTAGGGAGCCAAGTCTGCTGAGTGGGAATACCTCCAGGGGCTGCAGATAGGGTCAAGATGGATTTTTGAGGATGTTGGACAGAAGTGAAATTCCAAATAAAGAATCACATGCACACTTCCGCATGTTTACTCGGAATTAGGACCTGCTATGTTCAGGGAGGTCTTACTCCAGATAACAGCAGAAAAGACCACTGGGCTGCCTAAAATATCTTCTACATAAAACAAACAGAGCTTCTTCAGAGTTGTACCTTGTCCCCTGCCAGAGAAGGGTTAAAAAAAAAAAATTCATTTGAGCACACATGCTTCAATCGGCACAGCAAATGTGCTTTGAGAGAGGCTGCATTTAACTGCAAAAATCCCTGAAATTGGTCCTAATTTGCAAATTACACATACCGCTGTATGAATTTTTAGTAGCATTAATTTCTTGTTCATTATTTGTATTTCAAATAAAATAGGTGAGGGGGAGAGAATAAAAATGGTTTGCCTGCTGTTGTTGGCACATCCTTAGACCATTTCCCCTTGTATGATTTAAAACGTCTTCCTAATGCAGTGTTTCTCAACCTTGACCATTTTAAGGCATGTGGACTTCAACTCCCAGAATTCCACAGCCAGCAATGCTGGCTGTGGAATTCTGGGAGTTGAAGTCCACATGCCTTAAAATGGTCAAGGTTGAGAAACACTGTCCTAATGTCACCCAGCCATCCTTGGAAAGATATAAAGCCCATCCTCAATACTGTCATTTTGATACAATGTTGGTTCATTGACTCTAGAAGTTGCTCTTAGGCATTAGTGAAGCCATGCCCTAAGAAAGTGGTTTTCAAACTTTTTCCTTCATTAGCCAAAACCACTTACCTGAAAGTCCTTTAACCCAACATACGTAGAAACACTTTAAGGCAGTGGTTCTCAACCTGTGGTTTGGGGACCCTGGGGCCCACAATGTCATCATAGGGGGTCTGCAAAGGCTTGACAAAATCTTATGGTTTAAATCTCGAGTTAAATCTTGGTGGTCTGTGGCCATGGTCCATGGCCACAAAAGGGGGTATTTAAAGGGGGTCTATGGTGAAGAAAAGGTCGAGAACCACTGCTTTAAGGAAATATTCCTGTTGTAAAGGTCGAGAACCACTGCTTTAAGGAAATATTCCTGTTGTGATTGGGTCGTGGGTTCATGTGTCCATCACCCTAAAAAAAAGCCACTTTTATTTAGATAATTTACACAGGTTTGGGAAGCACTACCCTAAGAGCTGCACATTAGATACATAAAGAATCTCCAACGTAAGTAACAATTTCACAAATGGCACAGTATAATTAGGGGTATTCAGCATTTGATTCATTCATGATGCATATTGGAAAATGGATTCTACGCCCCACCCTTTGAAGGAAAATCACAGCCCAGGAAAATTTTCTGGTCCAGATTCTTGATCCAGGCTTAGAAAGTCAGCTACTTACCATCAGCAAGTGCCAAGACAGCAGCTTCTCCTCCCATGTTTCGTAACGCAAACATAGCTTGATAGCGCTCAAAGAGTGACCGTGACTCATCCAGCAGGGTGAGCCTCAACTTCCCCACATCCTTCTCCTCAGCAGGAGGTGCTGGATCCACAGAGCAGTAAGGGTTAACGGCAGAATTTGTCTTGTGCTCCTGAAACCATTCCAGTCTCTTCACAGCCAGCTGACACGTCTCTGCTACCTACACAGGAGAACAAATGGACAGATAAAGGTAGTTTTTGCCATGGTTTAGAAGTCTTCATGGAAAGACAAGGACTAGGATGCCAATGGTAAAGTTGCAAGCTGGTTCTCAATTAATGAAAAAGATCTCCAGTGGGAGGTAATACAACTCCAGTGGGAGGTAAAGTTTACAACTTTCCCCTAAATGTAGGATTAAAAAGTATTAATAAATAATATACCTAAAATTAAACAGGAAGATATTCCAGAATAAGTTGTTTTTTAAAAATACAATTCACTTTCTCATGCTTCTAACAGATTTGAAAGTCAGTCCAAAGTTCTCACTTAAGGCTCAAATAATGAAGACTCAGGTCCCTCGAGATATTTCTGAGAAAAGTAGAAGAAGAAAAGAAAAAAGGAGGATAACCAGCAGCAAGGTGGATGGACTCAAGTTACCATGATGGATGGGAGAGCTGAAGAGCCAGGTTGGGGACACGTAATCCTGCAGAAGGTGGTTATTATGAGTCAACACCAACATAATCAATTTAAAACAATTCTGTTTCAAATGTTCATAATTCTACTTCGGGACCTCACTTCAAATTATTCCATTCAGCAATTTTGACAGGAGTTATAGGGGTGAGGCGATGGCTCAGTGGTTAAGGTGCTGGGCTTGTCGGCTGGAAAGCCAACAGACCACATTTGAGAGTTGCACAACAGGATGAACTTCCATCCTTGCCCTAGCTCCTACCAACCTAACAGTTCAAAAGCATGCAAATGTGAGTAGATAAATAGGTATCACTTTGGTGGGGAAGTAATAGCACTCTGTGATGTCATGCTTGCCACATGACCACAGAAATGTCTTCGGACAGCACTGATTCAATGGCCCTTGAAATGGAGATGAACACTGCCTCCTATCGTCAGCAACAACTAGTGGAGTAAAATACACAGGGACTCCTTTTAGGAGTTATTAATTTTCCCCGTTCCCATATTCACCTCAACAACAGGATCTTCAGCATATTGTTTCAAGATATCAAGTACTTTTGGATTGCCAATAGCACCCAAAGCTTCACCTATGGAAAACAGAACAAAATAGGAGAATGAACACAGGTCAATGATGCCAGAATTATAGATTTTTTCAAACCAATTACAACATAATGTAAAGGTACAATCCACCACTGGTCTTGAAACAAATTTAACTATTCAAGGAAAGGAACACAATGCATATTTGTGGGGAAAAAAATTCTAGTAGTAGAATATAAAGTTTACACCCATGCTAAGCCAATAGGAATTATTGTGTGCCTTTTCTTCCTAAAAAGAATGATACGTAAAACAAAAAAATATTTAAAACCTTGCCCATCAATACTAAAAATACTAGACGAAACAACAGGTATTTAAAAGTATTTTGATCTTAAGGCAATGTAACGACGATTCAAATGGTTGTATTTTGAGTTCCCACAGAAAACTGGGTAACATTGGGACATGCCATGCTCTATTTGAGAGTGAACCACGATCGGATGCTCCCTAGAGATAGTTTTAACTGCAAGGCCTTTAAAATTGACCTTAGCTGCCAGTAGGTCACTATGAAAGGGAGCAAATATCAATGCTCTAGGCCAGGGGTTTCCAACCTTGGCAACATTAAGTCTTGTGGACTTCAACTCCCAGAATTCCTCAGCCAGCTTTGGGCTGAAGTTTACAAGTCTTAAAATTGCCACAATTGGAGACCCCTGCTCCAGGGCAATGTTTTTCAACACTTAAAAGTTGCCAAGGTTGATAAACACTGCTGCTGATGGTTTTAACTATTTTCACTTTTGAAAACTGAAATCGTCATCAGGGAAAGACAAGGACAAAAAATAAGCCAGTAAAGATAACTCAAGATTCAGTCATAATTTGTTAGGAGGGTCTTAGAACTGTCTGAAATGTCTCATTGTTCTTGACAAACAATTGCTTTTATAAGATTTTGTTTGTTAGTTACATTTGTTCTGAAGTGATCCAGGCTTTGGGACCAAATGATGAGAAGAAACCCAAATTTGCAGGGGATTTCCTTCACTGGCTTCATGTAGACCAGCCTTCCTAACCAGGTGCCATCCTGAAGATCAAGTCACAAAATCAACTTTAACCTAGCCAGCAAATAGCTCACTGGTTCTCACCTGCTTCATGTCGCACCATGGGTTCCTGGCATGTGTTCTGGAGCACATCAATGAGGACTGGAATGGCCCTCTCATCCTGCATCTGGCCAAGGCAGTATGCCAGCTCATGCTTCAGGAGAGCAGAGTCATCTTCAAAGGCTCGACTGATCCACTCAATGGCAGCTGGACCCCCCAAATTACGTAAGGTGAAAAGTGAGCGGAAGCGTGCCTTCAAGGATTGTTTGGGGTTCACCAGAATCTGGCCAATCAACTCAACTTCTTTCTCTGTCAACATTATTTAATGCTTTGCTGGTCTGAAGAGACAGAGGGGTGACTTTAAAAATCTGGAGAAACTACACAAAGGGGGAAAAAATGAAAATGTCTGAACAAATGTCATCTTGGAAGCAAATTTGATCTTGCATATATTTTAGAATGGAAAATAATAGCATTGCCATTTTTTAAAAAAAAAATCATATACCACTCAATAAAGTAAATTAGTAACATAAAAAATCCATTACATATCAGGGCAATGTGCCTATGTACATGATCAATCTGCAACAATAACTGCATACAGATGCTAAATATAGAAAAATACATGCAAATTAGCACAAACCCATTTTCCTCATGCTATCTGTCAATCTTTCTTATCTTCTCCCAATAAATTAAAAATACAGATATTACATGCATATTCATACATGCTGCTTATTCTTTTCTCTTGGAACTAAGAAATTTGCCCTCCAACTTCTCAGTAGTGCCATGTTGTAGTTGAGAACCCCCCAAATTTGTAGCCAATGTCAGACTGTATGATACAATAAAGAGAATCATTAATTTACTCAATGCCAGAATGATTGTATTTGAGAAAAATGAAGTGAACAATTGCATGTCGTAAATAAATGGTGAAAAACAAGAGGAAACAGATGAATTTGTGTACCTTGGTAGAATATTCACCAAAAATGGGGAAAATGGATGAGACTCGTGAATGCTGATAGGAAAGTCGTGGGTAGCATGTGGATGGTTCCAGGGGATGAATGTCAGAAGAAAAACAAAAGCTGTTAAGAATGTGCTTGTGGCCAATTTGGTATATGAACTGAGTAGGCCAGATGAAACAATATTAGAGCTGGATGTAATAAAATCCAATTAAATAGGCACTAAATCAGGGATCTTCAAACTTGGCCCTTTTATTACTTGTGGACTTCAACTCCCAGAATTCCTCGGCCAGCGTGTCTGGCTGAGGAATTCTGGGAGTTGAAGTCTATAAGTCATAAAAGGGCCAAGTTTGAAGAGCCCTGCACTAAATGAATGTAGGCTGAATACAAATAGGAGTGAGCTGCAGGAAAGAATTGCGAGATGGTCTGGTCAACCAAATGCAGTGTAAAATTGGGCAGAGGGGCAAGGAAAAACTGAGAAAGCGGAAGTTGGATAAATTGTAGAAAGAAGATTCAAAAACAGGTAATATTCGGTTCTTCCATTAGTCCTGCAGTAAAAGAGGCTCACCTGCCCCCTCCCGTTCTATTTCCATAGCAACACGGAACCGCAAAGTTTTCCCATTACCCCACTCACCGAACCCTCACACGCGTTCTTCAATAGCGCATGCGCACTCACCTCTGAGGGCGGGCTAAGGAACGGACGGAACCAAACGCAAACAGGAAGAGGAGACGCGAAGGAAAGCTGCTCCTTTCCTCCGTCCTGTATATATTCAAGTTCTTGTTAAATATCCCGGAAGAAAAAAGGATGAAAGATTTTTTTCCTAAAAGCAGCTGCTTCAAATGAAATACAGTATTCTTTTTTTTCTCCCCCTCCACGAAATCAAAGAGTCCGATGTGAGTAGAGCAAATAGAGCAGCATGCGCATTGGCTCCCAAAAAGCAAAAAAAGATGATTCCTCTATCAGTTCATAGGCTGATCGAAGGACGATAGACTTAAAGTTACAAACTCACACACAATTTTGGGATAGTGGGGTTGACTTGACCATGCTAGGGAATTCTGGGAGTTGATGTCCACAAGTCTTAAGTTTGCCAAGATCGGACAGCCCTGATTTATATGGTTGCTAGGAGTGTACGCCGCCACAAAAGGGAGCAAATGTTAACGCCCCATGGCAGCGTTTCTCAGCTTTGGCAACTTTAAAATGGACCTCCCTAATATAGATTTCTTCATGACAATCTGTCCCCAGCCTGGTCTTTCAGATCTTCCAACGGCACCTCTATCACCATTGTAACTGAGTCCATCTTCCTCGCTGCTGGTTGTCCTGTTCTTTTTCCTTGCACCTTTCCAGCATTAGAGCCCTCTGCAGGAGTTGAGTCTTTTGCACAAGGTGTCTGAAGTAAGATAATTTGAGCTTGGTTGTTTTGCTTTCTTGGCCATCCATGGTATTCTCAGCAGTTCTGAGTTCAAAGGCATCGGTGCTGTTCCTATCTTGCTTCTTCTACTTCTATACGGTGTCCCAGGAAATACTATAACTTGCATGATTCTGATTGTGTAAATATAGACACATTACAGCATTTGATCATCTTTTTCCAAGAATATTACAATATTGCTTGTAAAAACATAACTATCTTGGACAAAGTTGGCCTGCTGATTCTCTGAGACTCAAGGATACTACTAATACAGTATGGAAACCTCGAGGGTAGAGGGACTATGTAACCAGTTTCATCCCTTTTGAAAGTAGGGATGTTACCGGTTACTTTGTGGGACTTAAATAATCTACCAGGAGCTGAATCGACAGCCCTTGCACTATAAAAGATTATCCCAAATGTGCTTTTCCAAAAGGTAATGGAATTTTCATTACCCCCTTGAAAACATCTTGCTTTTCATCCAAGAAGCTTCGTCAGTGAAGAAGTTCTTCATCGAAGTTCAGTTTTTCTTCACTGAAGAAACTTCTTGGATGAGAAGCAAAAACATTTTCTAGGAAAAAAAAAAACCAAGAAAGTCCAATTGCCTTTTGGAAAATTACCTTTGGCCCAACTATGACCTCGATGATTGAGAATCTCCATAGTTATAAATAATTATGTACACCACTTTAGCTATAGAACGGGTGTCAAACTTGCAACGTTACGTGACCTGTCGTGGCATAGCGTGACTTTTTTTACCATTGCTGGCAATGGGGTGGGCACGGTTTCTTTATGATGCATCCGGACCGTGGGCCGGCAGTTTGACACCCCTGCTATAGAAGGACATGGCACTCAGTTAAGGGATATAGGTAATCCCTGATTTATGACCATAACTGAGCTCAGAATTACATTGTAAACAGCAATGTTGATTATGTTTCTGTGGGAATAGTTGTTCTTTTAACTTCTAGTCTCTTAAGGAATGATGTCCGCAGGATATTGCATGTAGAGAGGGTGGGGTTCACTTAAACAATTAGTATGTTAGGAGATTAGCCCATTCTCTGCACTGAGGTAGTTGTAGCTGTTCTTCATCTGGAATCACAATGCCTACTGTTGGAAGTCAGCCCCCCAGAGAAGGAAATATTAAAAGGGCAGAAAAATAATTTCCTCAAAGGATCTTACAGAGGCAGAAAAGCATGTCCAGTGTTTTTTCTAAATATCCCCAAGTCTCTCTCCCCCAAGCAGAAACCAGCTCTGTAGAAATGCAGATGTAAATAATCCAGGAAGGTTGGAGGCCCCCAGCTAGAAGATTAAGAAGACAAAGACACCTAAAATCTACATACCCCACCCAAAGTCTAAGACAGGACATAATAGGATTAAGCCACAGATGCCAAAGGGACACAGGTCAAAATACATGACACAGGAAATACAAAGCCTCAAATAGGAACGGGAAACAACTTCAAGAGCCCCAGAGGGTATAAAAACCCACTCCCTACATGTGCTCTCTCTTTTTTGTTCCAGAGCCATCTTTCTGTCTGGCTCTCCTCTTCAATAAACTGCAACCTTCTTTCTAAAGCAGTTGCCATGTTGTTTATTCCCGGCTTGGACTGAACCATGATGAAGACTTTTCCTTCAACACTACATTAGGCAGGTTTCAGAGGAAAGTATTGATTGAACTTTCTGCAAAGGGAGAGAACTGGTTATCAGCAGAAATAATAACAATAACAGCCATGAGATTTGTTTTTGATTTTTTAATGTCAGTTAATAAAATATTTGTATAGAGCCCCAAAATTTCAAAATAGTGCAAAACATCTCACTATCATGCATCCATTGTTGGTAAAACCATTGCTCAATCCACTTCAGGTATGTATGTACAGAACAGACAACATGAAAACATATTCCAACATGTGTGCTACACAAATAGAATTAACTTTATTTTATTGTTTGGGGTTTTAAAATTTATTCTGATCCATTTTGTTGTTAGTTTCAACTACATGCCAAAGAGAAACAGTTGAAGGAGGAACCAGTTTGGGGGGAAGATGGAGGGAGATGCCTACCCTTGGCTTCTTGTCATCTCACTGTGCAGGATAAGGGACAGTGTCAGCTCTGTTTGTGCCAAAGTATGCTGGAGACAGAAATGGGAATTTTTGCTTTACCTCCCCTGCAGTCTTAAAAGGGTTTCAAGACAAGGCTTTAATTGTGCGATTGTCCTGCCTTGTTCATAGAATTTTGCAGAAGATCCAGACAACTTTCATTTGTAACCTACATATTTTCCTGCTCTTGGTGCCATCTTGCCCCAGAAAAAAATCTGTTAAGGAGGGAAGAGATGAAATCACCTTGCCACGTGTTTTGATTTGCTAGCCACAATAGCTATTTGCCTGGATACAACTGTTGCCTAAGCTTTCTCTCTTTTTAATTTTTTCAAATACAATTTATATAAGTCTGGTGGATTGTGCATATGTCTGTGTGTAAACATTCAACTCAAAATCCTGATACTTTGGTCCCAAGCAAGTCATAAAAAATTAAACATTTTTGAAAAAGAGGAGGGACAAATGGGGGGGGGAAGAGTTCTGACTAATGGAGGAGTTAAGCTTGGAAGTAGATTTGTGCAGTGTTTGGAAGAGGTGAATATGAGGTTTCTGGAGAGAGGATGATGTCTTTCCTCTAGGTTTAGGTGGACATCACTGTCTTTATTTCAGGGCACTCTTGTATGTTCTCTAATGTAGCAATGACAGCCCACTACACATCCAAAGATTCTTGGAAATCTTTCAATTTCCAAATATTGGGGAGACCAGAGATCATAGGTGGAATTCCTTCTTTACATACAGAAGATCTCAAATACCATTCTTGATGCCTGCTTTTAACAAAATCCCATGGGGAAGGGGTGAGCTGACAATCAGGTGCAAATAATTAAGGGCAGAATAAAAAAATAATCTGCCTGATGTAAGGCATCTTTCTAGGAAGCCAAGATTGATATAACTGGTTTAGAGCTGCCCAACCGGTGAGAGTTGATCCATATCAGGTAGCAAACAAGGAAGGAGAACAATGAGCTGTATTTCGGTGGCAGAGGAGCAAACTGGGATGGGGGGGAGGCAGTTAAGCATGGAACTGGCAAATGACATCAACTAATGGGCTGCGTGATAAATTCAATCCATATGTCTGTAGGGCCATAGAAACATGTGGACAGAACTGGCCAAGCTGTTAGAATTGATGCAGCTTTCAGAAAGGGAGCCCTCTACAGATGTGACATCAATCGGGAGATTTAGGACAGTCATGATGATCAGTTAACTTTTCCAGTTAACTGGTCATCCTCCAGCAACTCCATAAACAACTGCTTTCTTACAGAATGTTGTTCTTTTGGATCTCATGTTTTTTTCCAAATATCTCCTCCCTTTAATGTTCTGCTTTTGTCCCTTTCTTGGAACCTCTCAAACCTTGAATTCTTTCCAAAATTACATACTATAGTCCCACACCTACAAGGCCTTGAGTTTTATCTTCTTACAGGTACTGAAACAAATACTGCATGAATACTCCACATTTTCACACCTCTCCCTCATTCCCTCTACGTTCACAAGAATAAACCAGCTTAGGTGTGTTATCTCAATAGAGGTAGTAATTATGACACACACCAGAAAACGAGTCGGGGCCAATCCTACTGACTGAATACTCCTTTCCTTGAGTAAAATAAGAGTTCTTGAGTTAGCACACATGCTCCACATTGTTGTTGCCAAGTTTGCAGAAAGGTTGCCTACAAATTCCCCTTGGCTGAATTCTTCCGCGTACCCTTGCATTTTGAAATACCTGGTTTTATTTCCACATAGAAATAAACTTGGGCATTTAGGACTGTCCATTTTTGCACTTCTAAGGTTCTTAACATTCTTACCACAATGTTCAGTCTTTTAATTGTCCACTGTTCTCCCATGCATTACTTTTATATGTTCATGTGTTAACAAACACCACAAAAAAGTCAATCATGTGATAATCATGATGGTAGCAAGAACATAGCGTGGTGTTTTACCAACGTTCAGAGATGATGTTCGTGAACATTAATAAAACCTCACCCAGTACTGTGATGCAGTAAAGATTTGAGGGTGGGGCAGAGTTTCAATGCATATACAAATAGTAACTCAAGTATTCGTATTTGTGCACGAGACAGGAATGGAATGCAATGGAACTGTAAAACTGTAGCAAAGTGCATGCTTCACTTATGGAATTAAATCTAGAACTTCTCAGAACTGAAGGAAAATAAAATGAGAAAAAAATATCCTAAAATAATAGAACAGAAAAAAGGAAGCCATAGCCCTTCAGATGATGGATTACATTCCTATCATGTCTGATTGCTGGCCTTCCTTGAAGGCCACAGCAATAGAAGAGTATCATGCTGATCCCAAGATGGTGAACTGCATAGCTGCCATCCTCTAGCCTTGCCTCGATGGGCTAATAATTGTGAATAGACTGGACGAACTTCAGATCAGCCTTTTGGGCGCTGTTAATCTTGATGCAACTTGGTGCTAGAATTGCAGGGAAGAATCTGATGATATTTCTTTAGTCCTGTTGAAGACAAAGAAAGCTACCTTTCCCAGTGCTATAGATTTGTAATTTATCCTTATTTCCACTTGGCACAGAGAATTCGCTTTTGTTTACAGTTGGTTGCTAGTTCAATCCCCAGCATTTTCAGTTCACAAATTAGGCAGCATATAGTGGGAAATATTTTTCTATATCTGAGACCTCAAAACAATGTTTCTCAACCTTGGCAACTTTAAGATGGATCGACTTCAGCTCCCAGCTAGGCATGCTGGCTGGGGAATTCTGGGAGTTGAAGTCCAGTCATCTTCCTGTTACTAAGGTTGAGAAACACTGCCTTAGATATCAGCTGCCAATTTAAACTGGAAATACTGGGTTGATTGACAAATAACCTGAAGGCAGCTTCTGATGCTTCTCAGGCAAAAATATGCCAGGAAAGGGGATGGCAGGAGTTTATGTCGAAATGCAGTCAGCAGCATCTTTGATTTTTTTTTTTTTTTTAGGATCCTTTGTAGAAACAAACTCTTTGTTCTCTCACCAATCTCTGCTTCATGGGGGAATTTGGCAATGCACATGTATTTGAGAAGGTATGCGTGTGATCCTTGGCAGCGGGAGCAAAGCTCCCAAATAAAAGAGTGAGGAGCAGGGAGGGCCAGGGTGAGGGAGAGAAAAGACAGCTCCGAAAACTCTATGGCTTTGACATGGCTGTATAAAAGAGGGAAGGGACCAGGAAGAGAAGGGAAGGCAATTCTAGCAGACTGTGGAAGGGAACAAGGGGGAGGGGGAAGTCAGGGGGGAGGCAGATTGGTCTTAGCTACTGCTGCCCTCCTCCGCTGAGCGCGTATCTGACTTCAATTTTACAAACTCCTTGGCCACCTCGTCATTGTTTCTCTGCGAAAGGATGCGCAGCACTGTCAGGCCCGTGTCATCCATGTGGATGCGCCGGCCCAGCGGCAGCCAGCAGGCACAGCTGCCCCGTTGCACGATGTCCTTCAACTGCAGGATGGCGATGCCCACTGTCCGGTCTTCCCGTGCAAAGCAGTAGTCTTTGACGCAGACTTGCAGCTCGTAGCACTCTGGGCCTGTCTCAGTGCCAAGGGTGCTGGAGGAAGAGGGGGAAAGCAGGAAAAAAATAAGGTCATTCACAACTGAAAATCCTTGCCTACATCTATGAAAAGGACACAGGGTCCACATTAGCTCAGAGCTCTCCTTGACCCACTATGCTGACCCATGTTTGGTCTTATTTTCACAGCTAGATTCCACACTGTTTCCCATAAACTATGATTAGAGAAAATTCTCTCTACCTGCCTCTCTATATCCTTCTGCCATGCCAGAATCTATTTCTTGCTAATGCTTTTGGAAATTGACACTTTTGATCCTTACAGTGTTCCTATTGATGCAGATTATTAACTAATTAATGCTTCAGATTGTTGCACTACGATACATTAGTAGGCAATGTATCAAGGTATTTGATTCTCAATCCATGCTGTATATGCAGCCAGCACTTGCAATGCAACTTTCAACATTATGGCTGCAAGCTACAATGTTGCCTCTTGCAATTTTATTCCCTTATACCAAGGCTGCAAATGCACCTTCCTCACAAAGCCTAGAATTGTGCTTTTTTTTTCACTTTCCCTTAGTCCATCTTTGCTGCTCAAAATGGTGCATGTTCATTCTACAACTGCACATTCTGGGTAACCACTTTCTAGTTTCACATTACCAGCTTGTAACTGCACCTGTCATATAGAGATTGGCCCATAGCACATACAGGTAGTCCTCGAGTTACATTTAGTGATTTTTTCAAAGTTACAATGGCATTTTAAAAAGTGTCTTACAACCAGTCCTCACACTTAAGGCCATCTCACCATCCCCACAGTCATGTGATCAAAATTCAGGCTCTTAGCAAGACAACTGCATTTATGTTACAATTATTGCAGTGTCCCGGGATCATGCCATAGCCATTTGTGACATTCCCAGCCGGCTTCCAAAAAGCAAAATCGGAAGGTAGTTAGGATAAAAGTGAGGTAAGGAAGAGTCTCACCCAAATCCTCCACGGTGCTTCGTTGTGCTTAGCTGTAATTTTGGCTTTTGGCTGGTGCAACTTAGTGATTGTCCATGTTAATGGCCGATCTTTTCTTCGGTCCTGAGCAGCTGCCTCGGATCAAACAGAGGGGCTGCTGCCCCTCCGCAATCTAGCGAGGGTCCTCCCCAATGGTGGTCACCCCTCCAGGGCAACTTTCGACCCTTTCCAGGGTCTTCCGAAGAAGGAAAACAAGACGGCGGAGAGAGAGCTATCCCTACACATCTGCTGGCGCGTGATCCGGAACCGGAAGCCGGATCACAATAATTACAACAATTCGTAATAAAATAATAAAGTAATAAAATCAGGCATGGCTCACTTAATGACCATCTTGCTTAACAATGGAAATTATGATCCCAATTGTGACTGTAAGTCAAGGAATACCTGTACTTTTACATCTTTAATACTCTACACGATTGTGTCATGCTTCAATTTAAAGTAGAAGTCTTCCTAGTGGGCATATGACCTTGGGAAATTATGCAAGTGCTTTAATGAGACAATGAAAAAGCACCTCTTTAAATCTAATTCAAGACATTGCACTTTCCTAATGATCCACCTGCGTATTCCTAGTCTTTAACTGCAGGAGAATGCAATTAATTTACTAGATAATGCTCCCTTTTTCTTTGCTGTGTCCCCTCCATGTCAAAAAAATTCTGAGGCCAGGGCACATTTTGCACAGAAAACTCTAGTGTTGTCTCTATTCCAGACAGGGAAATCAGAAACACTCACAACTGGATGCTCTCATTGTATTTGGGGGACCAGCTATTATTCTTGGACTTGGTAGCAAATTTCCTTTTCTTGTCACTGAGATGTGGCCCAATAATGTTGACTTCAATGAAAGGCCGGAAGATGCCCGATGTTTGCCACTTGAGATCATTGGCAGCCACCACTAAGGCAGAAAGCAGAGAGAGGAAAAACGATTATGGTGGTTGGAAATAATGTGGATTATTAGAGCAGAAGAAGTGTGGAATTGGCAACCTGTAATATTCTGGATTTTCTAACCTACAGTTGACTATGACCTTGACATATGTTAATTAAACTGTTGTTAATTCAATTGTTTTTCACATGTTGCCTAAAATCTAAACAGCGTACGCCACTTGCATTATTCAAAAAATTTCATTTATATCTATATGTACATCTTTGTGACAGCTCCGTATGATAAACCAATTGCTCTCATGCTCACTCAATACATATATATTTCCCCATTTGCCTTTGTGTGTATTTGGGTGCAGTCACAGGAAAAATGGAGGTTGCAAGCACAAAGGGAGAAGAAGGACAAAATGGCTATTCATCCATCATTTTGTCTCTGGATAGTATATATTTCTATCCTGCCCAAAAGTCAGAAATGAACCCTGCAATATAAACCAATGGAATAATCCAGGATTTTAATGAATTAACGTAGGGCAGTAATGTGCTGCCTTCCCTAGTAATCAATGACAAATATACACAGCCTTGACAAACTGAGGCTCTGTGTATTTCTATTGTAGCTAAAAAGTTATAGTTTATGGCATCTTTTCCAACTTGCCGTCGTCTATATGTGAACATTTCTATATTTTCCTTTTTTTTAAACCACCCCAATCTGAAGACTCTGGGCAATGTGGATAAAAGTAAAACGTCAGAATAAAAAACTAGCAGATGTGACTACCAAACAATAAAAAAAAGATAGAATAAGATTTAGCGGCTTCCCAAATATATTGGTTCAAGAAGCCCCAGGTAGTGTGGCTTTCTGCCACTTTGGGAAATGCTGGTCTCCTGGTGATCATCACTGACCTTTGACTGTTACTTTGTGTTCACTGGTGCCAGGATGGGTGAAAAACTCAACATGGACGGAGACTTCTCCCACAGGATCGTCTACTCCAGAGCCTGCATGGCAAAAGCAGGAGGGGAAGAGGTCCCAGAGTGGCCAGACAAGAAGAGAGCAGAGGAGATGACCATTAGCCTTTGCCAGACCAGGCGCCCTGTCCATCAACACCATGCAGGGACTCAGGGCTGCTGGTTCCCTTGGAGTGATTCTCATTTAGAGGCACCTCTGGCTTTGGGTCTTTTAACAATGAGCCCTTCCCTCTACTAGACTGATCAAGTTAAGGCTTCGCCTCTCACAAAAAAAGTTTTCCTGGAAAATTATTATTAAATAGTATTAATATCCCAAAATCTATCTGTTTTCTCTTCCTAGCATTTTCTTGCAAGTATAGGGTCTGCTTTTTTTTCAGATCAATTGAGTGATGATACTGAACATTAGCTGTGACAGGAATTGACTATCTGACTTATCATATCTATCCATCCATCCTCCCACCAGCCAACCAGCCAGCCAATCAATCTTGGACATTAAGGACCTCACAGTTCAATTCTAAGCTACAAATATTCCTTTATCAGAGTCAGTCAGTCAGTCAGTCAGTCAGTCAGTCTGTCTCTCTGTCTCTTTGTCTATCTATCTATTTTTCTTTTTTCTCATGCTCTCTCTCCCTCTCTCCTTCTCTTTCTCTCTGCATCCTTATATATTGTATATGGCCCCAAATCTTAGAAGACTCTAAGAGGTTTGCTCCTGGGCCATGAAACAAACAACAGCATCAACCTTACTTTTCAATCACAGTGGGCAGGACCTTCCCTTTTGAAGTTGTTCTACTCCCACCCCCCAACACCAGCCCAGCCCCCAGAAGCAGGAGATCAGCTCCTTGTTCAAACAGGCTTCTTCCACAAAGGAGCTTGACATGCAGCAAAGGCCAAAAGGAAAGGCAGGAACAGGTGGGTGGAACGAATCAGTCTGCACAGGCGCACAGGGCCAGCGGTGTGGTTAGATAGCATGGACAAGGTATCAGAGGGGAGGGGAAAAGGAGAGCTGGTCGCAACAGGGAGGCCACAGAGTTGGGAAAAGGAAGAACGGAGAGGGTTTCTGCAGCTTTCCCAGGGGTCAGACCCTCAGGAAAGGGGGCTAAGGCTGCGGATCTCAGAGCGAGGGAGAAACAAGATAGAATAGAATAGAATAGAATAACAGAGTTGGAAGAGTCCTTGCAGGTCATCTAGTGTAACCCTGTGCCCAAATAGGAGACCCAACACTGTTTCTGATTGATGGCAGTCCAGTCTCTTCTTGAAAGCCTCCAGTGATAAAGCTCCCTTAACTTCTGAGGGCAAGCTGTTCCATTGGTTGATTGTTCTCACTGTCAGAAAATTTCTCCTTATTTCTAGATTGAATCTCTCTTTGATCAGTTTCCACCCATTATTCCTTAGTCTGGTCTTCAGGTGCTTTGGAAAATAGGTTGATCCCCTCTTCTCTGTGACAGCCCCTCAAATATTGGAACACTGCTATCATGTCCCCCCTGATTCTTCTCTTCACTAGATTAGCCAGTTCCTGTAATCGTTCTTCATGCTTTAGCCTCCAGTCCCCTAATCGTCTTTGTTGACCCTCTCTGCACTCTTTCTGGTGTCTCAACATCTTTTTTATAGTGTGGAGACCAAAACTGGATGCAGTATTCTAGGTGTGGTCTTACTAAGGCTGTATAGAGTGGTATTACCAGTAGTACCATATGTCATCTTGATTGAATCCCTCTGTTAATGCAATTTAGGATTGCATTGGCTTTCTTGGCTGCCACAGTGTTGACTCATACTTCACTGATTGTCCACTAAGACGCCAAGATTCCTCTCACAGTTATAGCTATTAAGCTTAGTTTCACCCAATCTATATGTGTACTTTTGGTTTTTCTTGCCTAAGTATAAGATTTTACTTTTCTCTACACTGATTTTCATTTTGTTAGATAGGGTCCAGTATTCAAGTCTGTCAAAATCCATCTAGGGTGTTGGCTATTCGTGCCTGATGGGTCAACAAAGGTTTTCCTCCTTCTAAAATAGATTCTGTGACAAAAGCAGTTGTAACACCCAACTGGTTGGTAGTCTTTGGATAGTACCGGCCTGTTCTAGCACACACAGAAGTGGAAAATCATAGGTCCTCCCTGGGCATTTATGCTTTCTTGCTTGACTATCCTGGGGCAGCAATTTCCACTGCTGAACAGCATGTGCCATCAGGAAGTTCCTAGTGATGTATAATCAACATGACTTGCTCTCTCTGTGTGTGAACGTGAACACACAATCTGATTTTATGTCAGTCCTGGGCTCAAAAGTCAGAAAACTCTACCCTAGCTCATCAAGAACTGCAAGACAGGGGAACGGGCAATAATCTTGTGCTATGATTTGTCCTTAAAGTCCTCAGAATGTAGAGATAAAATGTTTCTGTGCATGGAGATTCTCTTTGATAATATTGAATATAGCTAATGTAGGGCTTAGCCCACATGCTAGGCACAGTTCTCGCTCCTCCTAAATCAGGGGTAGGCAACCTTGGCTCTTTTATGACTCGTGGACTTCAACTCCCAGAATTCCTGAGCCAGCATGGCTCAGCTTGGAAACCTGTCCCTTTTCCCTCAGCATGGCTGGCTCAGGATTTCTGGGAATTGACGTCCACGAGTCATAAAAGAACCAAGGTTGCCTACCCCTGTCCTAAGTCTTCATATATTTCAAGACTGCTGGCAGCTCCTGCCTTAGTCTTTTGTTCTCTGACTAAATGCATCTAAATGTTGGGAGTTTACTGTGTTATGATCACTATTCTTTCGTTCATTGGTAATGCCCTTTTTATGTTCTTTTTTATTGGCAATGTTCTTTTTGCATTGATGTTTTCATTTGTAATTTTATTTTTTATTGTCTTTATTTTATTGGATTTGACCAAAGGTGTTGGCAGAATAGATAGATTACTTTAAATCTGGTCCTTAAAGTTGGTCTAAACACATTTTGAATAACAATAGAAATCACAAAGTGAAGAGGAGGGCAAAAAATAGACAGTCTTTAGTAATTGCCTAGATCCGCAGCTTTTGCCCCCTGCATGCTTAAGATCTTTAAAAACCCATGCCTTTTGTTATCCATAAAAGGTCTAAAAAAACCCCACATACATACAACCACCTTCCTGATCATCCCAATTCCTATATCACATGCTCAGACTTGCTGGATCCACAAGGCTTAAAACCAACAGGTCATTTCCATGTGCTAAAGGCAAGCAGAGGATGGGCAAACTGCTGGAGCAACCCCCTATGGCGTCAAATCAAATCCTTCGCCCACCCTCCTCTTCCTCCTCCTCCTCCACCCCCACCACCCGCGATGTGCTTGCAGACAGGTATCATTCTGATGCATTCAGTGCACTTGCAAAAAGAGGCACAGCCTGAGGGTAACAGCACTTGGAACAGGGCTAGTTCAGAACATCCCTTGCTGGAAGAGAAAAGGAACATGGTCTTGGATTTGGCTGCAAGGCTGTCCCCCCTCCATTTCTCTTCCAGACCTCCCCTGGGATGGCATCCTGTGCTTCTGACTAGCCTTGACCAGTGTGATGGGATGAGGGGTGCATTTGAGGATGGGAAGGAGTGTCAGGACAATGGTATGACACGTACCCTTCTCTGGATAGGTTTCTTCACTAAGAGTAAATCTAATCCCTTTTCCACCATGAACTAGTAATGAGAAAAGGAAGGAAGGAAGGAAGGAAGGAAGGAAAAGATACAATATTGGAAGGAAAAGGAGAAGGAAGGAGAAGATGGTGGTTGAAAGGAAAAGAACAAGAACAAAAATGTGCAGGAGGACAAGAGAAGGTTGGAAGGGAGGAATGAAAACGGGCAGATGGTGGAGAGAAAAAGAAAAGAAAGATCAGCCCGCACATCTGCTTTAGAAGGCAGCTGGAGAAGCAAAAGGTAGGTTAGGGCAAATGCCAACTTGAATGCTAGAGAAGAAGGCAGAAAAAGGCTAAATAGGAGTTATTTAGTTATTGTACTAAATTTATTAGCCACCTTAATCTGCAAAGTTAACTTTAGGCTAAACCAGTGCTTCTCAAATAGTGGGGCGCCCCCCAGGGGGGGCGCGAGGCTCCATAAAGGGGGGCTCGTTTGACCTCGGCAAATACTGTCATATTGGATTTCTAGATCGGATCATCCAACTCACTCGCAAGCGGCAGCCCGACACGGAGGACAACATGACCGCCAACGCACCTGACACATGCAAAGGACCCGATTGGATAGACATGATGCTCTATCTTGATTGGCCAAACCCGCCTGTGTGACTTTTAGACCCGGAAATCGGTCCTCTGTACAGAAAAAAATTTTTTACAGTCGTGCGGGGGGTGCGAAATGTTTTCTTCTTCCTAGGGGGGCATGACAGAAAATAATTGAGAAGCACTGGGCTAAACCAACATTTCTGAACTTTGGCCATTTTAAGACTCCCCATACTGGCTGGGGAATTGTGGGACCTGAGGTCCACATATCTTAAAGTTGCCAAGGTTCAGAAATAGTGGGCTGAACTAATGTCCAAGATGCTGACTCCTGTGACAGCCCTGTAAAAAAAAAACAACAACCCATGTTTCTGGATGAACCAAAGATCCCATTTCTCCCCTGAAGTAGCAGTCAGCCATCTTCTTCTGCATGAGCCAGAGGCCGTGCTGCTATTACCACTGCCACTATTTTTTGGGGAGGAGGAGGGGGGGAATGAGTCACTGCACCAAGGCAGCTAGTGAAGCCATCACCAAAATGTTGGTCTGAGAGGTAATGAGAGTTTTCTCCTCCTCTCTCTTGGACAGGGTGAATATATTTCTTTTTAGGACCATGGGCTCGATGATTTGGGGGTGGCAGGTCACATCCAGCTCAAGGGCCCTAGGCAGCTAACCTCTGCTCTAAAGGGATGTTTGCATTTCCTGCAGAAACAAATCAGGTGCCTCCCAGCAGCACATGGAGCAAGAGAACAGCGGTCCTCTCATCTTGGCTGCCCAAAAGATTTAGTCATAGCTACTGAAATATCCTAATAAGTAGATATCAATAGGCTTGCTTTCCATTGGAATATACGCTGTAGAGCAGAGGTCCACTACCTTGGCTACTTTATGACTTGTGGACTTCAACTCCCAGCCATGCTGGCTGAGGAATTCTGGGAGTTGAAGTCCACAAGTCATAAAGTGGCCAGGTGGGGGGACCTCTGCTGTAGAGTCTGCTTCAAAACAACAGCAGAGGCCCTAATGGGAAGCTCTACGAAGGCAACTCCCTTTCCTTAATGTTTTCTCATGCAGCAGAGTGAGGGTGACTCAGGTGGACTGCTCCTGAATGTGGAAGTCCCATTTAGCCACCTAAAGAATCCAAGAAGGACTCTTGAAGATGAAAGTACACCAAGAGCATCATCTTTAATCTCCTTGGAAAAAGTCAGTGGCCTTACGCAATTCCCACCCACCTAACCTTAACCCCCGTTTCCTAGCAAGCGTCCGTGGACCCCCTCTCGGCCGCTTACCCTGAGCGGACTGCGTCTGGACAAAGGTTTTGATGAGCAAGTCTGTGGCTTGTGTGTAGAGCGAGAGGGCGTAGCGCAAGGATTGCAAATCTGGGCTTTTCTCCAAGAAGGTTTTTTTGAGACCAACTCCTCCTGCATGGAAGTATTGCTGATGGGGAAAAAGGGGGAAGAGAAAAGCAGGAAATCCAGTTAAAGTACCCACCCTGTACTTTCAAGACTCTCAACCATTGGCAGGAGGGATAGTTCAGTTTTCACAGTTCTCCTTCCATATGTCATATTGGGTTCCTCGACATACGGCCATTCGTTTAGTGACCGTTCAAAGTTAACACTGAAAAAGTGGCTTATGACCAATATTCCCAACTTACAACTGTTGCAGCATCCCCATGGCCTCCTGATCAGAATTCGGACGCTTGGCAACTGACTCGCATTTATGACGGTTGAAGTGTCCCGGGGTCATGTGATCCCCTTTTGTAATTTTCTGACAAGCAAAGTCAATGGGGAAGCTACTTAACCATCACATTACTAACTTAACAAGTGCAGTGATTCACTTGACAACTGTGGCAAAAAGGTTGTAAAATGGGGCAAAATTCACTTTACAACTGTCTCACTTAGCAAAAGAAATTTTGGGCTAAATTGTTGTCGTACGTTGCGGACTATCTGTAGCATATAATTAAACCAAACTGACTGGATTTAGGCAATGCCCAGTGTTACATACAAGTTAACAGAGGTTAACCTTAATAATAATAATAGTAATAATAATAGTAATAATAATAATAATAAAGTTGGAAGGGATCTTGGAGGTCATCTAGTCCAACCCCTGCTCAGGCAGGAAACCCTAGACCATTTCAGACAAATGTCTGTCCAGTCTCTTCTTAAAAATTTCCAGTGTTGGAGCATTCACCGCTTCTGGAGGCAGGTTGTTCCACTGGTTAATTGTTCTAACTGTCAGGAAGTTTCTCCTTAGTTCTAGGTTGTTTCTCTCCTTGATCAGTTTCCATCCACTGCTTCTCGTCCTGCCTTCAGGCGCCTTGGAGAATAGCTTGATTCCCTCTTCTTTGTGGCAGCCCCTGAGACATTGGAACACTGCTATCTTGTCCCCCCTCATCCTTCTCTTCATTAAACTAGACATACCCAATTCCAGCAACCGTTCCTTGTTATGTTTTAGCCTCCAGTCCCCTAATCCTCTTTGTTGCTCTTCTCTGTACTCTTTCTAGAGTCTCAACATCTTTTTTACATCGTGGTGACCAAAACTGGATGCAGTATTCCAAGTGTGGCCTTACCAAGGCATTCCAAAGTGGTATTAACACTTCATGTGATCTTGATTCTATCCCTCTGTTAATGCAGCCTAGCACTGTGTTGGCCTTAGACCTGTGTAAATTTAACTGTAAGATCTTCAACTCATCTCTAGCCATAGTACCACTTTTGCTTCATTTTCACTCATTTCAGTTATGGTAAACATCTATGGGTGTCAGTGACATTATCCTACTTTATAGTCCCAGGACAGCTAAGATTGGATCCAAAATGACCGTTTCCTCAAGGCCATTTAAGAAGCAGCAATTTGAACCCAGAACTTCCCAATGGTCTATCCACCGTACCATATTGATTCTAAAATGATAAATACTGAAAAATGGGAATTCCAATTAAACCCATATATACCCACTGACATTCAACTTATTCTCAGAATCTAAAACAGTCTTTCTCAAGTTTAGGAACTTTAAAATGGGTGGACATCAACTGCCAGAATTCCCCCAGCTTCTTCCCACGCTTAAGAAACACTTAATTTAGAATCTAGAACAGTGGTTCTCAACCTTTTTAATGCCGCGACCCCCAACTGGTCGTAAGTCGAGGACTACTCAACTGGTTGTAAGTCAAGGACTACTCAACTGGTGCAGCACCATTTGCAGAATGGGACTTTTGGCAGGCTCAGCAGGGAAGAGACAGCCTGGACAATTCCTATTGGCTTTTGAAAGCCAATAGAATTAGACTCTATTCAAGAGAGTCTATTCTATTGGCTTTCAAAAGCCAATAGAATAAAAGGGAGTAGCACAGCTAAGGAAAAGGGGAAAAAATGGCAGACTGCGTTGTTTGGCGACCCCAGTGAAATGGTCGTTCGACCCCAAATGGGGTCGTGACCCACAGGTTGAGAACCACTGATCTAGAATTTAGCTGGGATAAAAAATTAATCTAGAATTTAGCTGGGATAAAGAGTGGGGAGAACATAGAATTATTTACCTTGATGGTATCCAGTGCAAGTTCCACCACAGCACACTGTTTGGGTGTCAAACTCTTAGCTTCCTCACGTACCATGTGATCCTGGCAGGAAGAAGCCATGATGTGTAATAACTGTCTGCACAAGATAACCATAACTTCTGTTTTCTATACATCTCTAACCATGAGCCACCCTATGTATTCATTCTGAGGCTGCATTTGGAAACCTAGATCTTTAAGAAGGGCATTTGGGTGGTTTGACTGGGAAAGGAAGATTGATCAGGTTGTTTGGAGTCTCTTCCAAGTTCCCTCATAGTTCAATTCCTTGTTGGCTACCTTTCTTCTCAGAATCATTCTCTAACAGAGAGGAAAAAATACTGTAGCCAACAGGAACAAAAAGATTCCTCCTAAAACTTCCTCCTAAAAATAACAATGTCTCTCTGCCCCAGAAAAATGAAACACATTAGGATTCGCTCTTCTTTTCTTCCCCAACCCTTAATAATAATAATAGTAGTAGTAAAGTTGGAAGGGACCTTGGAGGTCATCTAGTCCAACCCCCTGCTCGGGCAGGAAACCCTACACCATTTCGGACAAGTGGCTATCCAGTCTCTTCTTAAAAACTTCCAGTGTTGGAGCATTTACTGCTTCTGGAGGCAGGCTGTTCCACTGATTAATTGTTCTCACTATCAGGAAGTTTCTCCTTAGTTCTAGGTTGCTTCTCTCCTTGATTAGTTTCCACCCGTTGCTTCTTGTCCTGCCTTCAGGTGCTTTGAAAAATACATTTACATTTGAAAATACACTTACATTTGAATTTAACAACTCAATAATATTCTCCGTTGTAAAATTAATTTTTATTTATTTATATAACCACCTTTATTATTTTTATAAATAACTCAAGGTGGCAAACATATCCAACACATTTTCCACCCAGTAGCAACCCTGCGAAGTGTTTGGGCTGAAAGAGAGTGACTGGCTCCAAGTCACCCAATCAGCTTTCATTACTAAGGCAGAACTAGAATTCACAGTCTCCTGGGGATTGGCCCAAAGTCACCCAGTGGGCTTTCAGGACTAAAACAGGACTTGACCTTACGGTCTCTTGCTTTATAGCGTGGCGCCTTAACAACTAGACCAAACTTGCTCATGAATGCAGAAGATGGGTTGATTAGAATCATAGGGGTGGAAGTGGCCTCAGAGGTCTTCTAGTCTAACCCCCTGCTCAAGGCAGGAGAGACCTTATACCAGGGGTAGGCAACCTTGGCTCTTTTATGACTCGTGGACTTCAACTCTCAGAATTCTTGAGCCAGCATGGCTCAGCTTGGAAACCTCTCCCTTTCCCCTCAGCATGACTGGCTCAGGAATTCTGGGAGTTGAAGTCCACGAGTCATAAAAGAGCCAAGGTTGCCTACCCCTGCCTTATACCATCCTGGTCAAATGGTCGCTCAGTCTATTTTTGAAAACCTCCAGTGATGGAGCACCCACCACTACAGGAGGCAAGCTATTCCACTGATTAATTGTTCAGTTAATAATTATTTCGTTAATTGTTCATGCCACAAACTAACCTTTGGTTTATTGAATTAATCTGGTTTACTGAGTTTCCATAATAATCCGAATCCTAAATGAATACACTGACTTAATTTATGCAACATAAGGGGGTCACAAATTTCAAAACAACATTTTGATCTAGTGGATTATCTGACCTTGTGCACTGTCTTACAGTCTGTAGTGTAGAGACCGGTGTTTCTTAACCTCGGCAGCTTTGGGTTCTTACCATTTCTATGATGTAATTGTCCCTTCCAATATGCTTGTAGCACAGAAGCTGGTCTTCTGTCTGACTGACTCTGACTTTGCTACTCTTTCCTTGCATTGCTTACCTTCAGTTTTGAAAGCTGCCCTAATTCCTTGGCTGCATTGAAGATCATCTGCGTACCCTGAAGAGCAGGAAGAATGAAAAGAAGAAAGGATATATAATAAAGAGAAGGAGGCAATTTCACAACCACTTTTTCAAATACTTTTTCATAATATAGGGTAAGAAAATCAGATGACATTCTATTCAGGGGAGCTTCACAGAAATGCCATTATAATATACTGTATAATTGATTTATTTTGCCAGACCTGGGAATTATATTATGGCTTTTTAATAAGGGACTGTCAAGTCAATTACAGCATAGATATTTTGTGTCACCTAAGGATTTAATGGTCCTATGATCATTTGGGCTACTGGAGCAAATTTTTAGATTTTTTTTTTCTCATTGGATAGTTGCTTTGTCTCTGAATAATCTACTTTTATTTCTAAGGAGAATATTATAAATTTGCAAACCTAACAAAGATGATTAGATATGTAAATACATACCTTCCAGTTTTCAGAAAACCTGTTGTTCCTTTTATTAGGTCTTCATAGTCTTTAAAGAACATTTTAAATGAAAATGCAGATTCCTTAACATAACATTTCCTGACTTAACATTATTCACAATTTTTACCTGAGTGGAAAAGAAAGAAACCTCTGAACTTTTCTTTCTGAATTAAAATGTCTTTGATTTTAATCTTATGACACCAAACCAGAGTCCTTGTTCATGATATATAGCTCATTGAAAGTTATCCAAAGTGACCCCAATTTTTAAACAGGGAAATAGATGAAATCATAGGCTGATCAGCTTAATGCCTCTTATGGGCAAACTAGTAAAAATGATAATCAAAGAAAAAAATAACGAAGCCCACAGAGAAACTGCATGGATTCTATATTTCACCAATTTTCTTAGAGAGTATCAACAGCCATGTGGATTAAGGTGACAGCCCTGACCCCCAGCAATCACTACTATATATTATTCAGTAATAGAACAATTCTGATATGATATGACCAAGTTCTGATCTTTTCTCACATGATTATGACAAATCTTTAGGGGGTTTTCTTCTTCTTTATAAAAAAAAATTACTGGCTACATACACAATTCAAAGTAATACGCTCCATATAGAATAGTCCTGACTCCTATACTTGAATAAATTTCCAAGAAAGAGCCTGAACCCTGAATAACATAGTTCATCCTCCTACATACATATTCAATTCCTTACAGTTGCAACATTAGTGATAACGTCATACACAGCTTCTTGAAGGCAGCCTATTTGCACTGGTGGAATATGCATACATTCTGCTGTAAATCACAAAATGCCTAGTAGAGGGCATTTGAACAGCCATAATTTATAAATCCAGATTTCCTAATAACAGACTCTCAATACTGCATCTTGTGGGTTCATTGATGAGTGGCTTTCCAGATTGTGTTTTGAATCATTGCCAGCCACAAAATCCAGCTCATGCCCCTTCACTATTTCAGAAGCCCACCCAGTCTCTGGAGCAAGAGTGGGCAACTCACAGACAATTCTACCCCATACTCCCCCCACAAAAGGACAAAAAAAATCCATTATATTCCACAAGGGTAGACTAGTTTCATTTGGATCTATTAATCCTTCTCTTTTCTATTTGTTTCACAGACATCCAATATAATCAATCATTTTTCCATCCATCCATCCAACCATCCATCCATCCATCCAACCATCCAACCATCCACCCATCCATCCCTCTAACCATCCACTTTACAATTTACTCATCTTACATTTCAAGTTGCCATTTTTTTATGGTTGTTATTATGCAAGTCCCTATGTATTGACCCCTACCCCAGCTTTGGTCAATTGAAGCCTTCATATACAGTAATGCATTTATTCTCAAGGAGAGGAACTATCCTTTTTTCTCCTAATCATGCACAAGGCTCTTTGGAAGTCTTTTCAGCTGATGACCAAGATACAAACATTTTATACAGCAACACAGAGAGTCCTCACCCCTTTTGAAAAGCCTCACTTGCTTGCAACAGTTCCTGCCCCATCTACTCAATCATTTCCCCACATATTTGGTTTTACATCTTCATCCCTCCCTCTCTGCCCCTATGGTCTGGATGTCTTCCACAGCCCTCCAAACCCAACCACCACCACCCCCGTGCCCTCCCTCTACCCACTCACATGCAGACAGTCAAGCAAGCAAGCTGAGCAAAAGATTTCAGAAGGAAAATATTGAATAATTGCTGGGGTTTTGGTTGGAAACAGAGACTAACAAACATGAGGTTTTAAAAGAGCAGCCAGTTCCAAGTAGCAAATTCTGGTAAGAAAGAAGGACAAGAGAGACAAACAGACAAAGGATTCAAATGACCACAGGAAAGAAAGACCGGCAGGTGGGAGATTTTCATGGGGAGGATAGGCAAGAAAACAAAATAGATGAAGCAGAACAAGAATTAAATGGAGAATCCTTACTTCAGTGTGACTGGGGAGCTTCACCCTAGTCTGTGGAAAGAACAGCACTATTTGTATGATTGCAGCATCTAGAAAACTTATGATAGCAATACAACACCCTCCCTTCCCCACAACCATGCTGACATCAGATGCCATCTCTGCAAAGACCGTGATGGCTGGGATAATAGGGTTACCGGCACACCTGGACAATATCAGATCTGGAGGAAAGCTATTTTTATGGTAAATGTCATGACCAGTTTATGGAGCATTGATATGCATTGCTATTTTAAATGGGTTAAACAGAAAATTAAGAAAGATTAAACTGGAGTTGTGATACTTTTCATAACGCATCCTCCAAAACGACTCTTTTGTTTGAATTTACACTAAAAACTTTAGATCTGATTTCCACCAGATTAATTATAATGAATTCATGGGGCTACTTTTGAAATTCCTCTCCTCCTTGAAGGTTTTCATTATTCTTTATTCATGATCCAAAATGGATCATTTATAGTCCATTGTTCTAAGTTTTAAAAATTTCCATCTGTATAGGACTCTTCTGTTAATCTCCTAATTTTCTGCTAAACTTCTCCTTTTGCATATCTAACCCAGCTCAGTCAGAATTTGGGTTGTAGCTCTCATTTAAAATATGATAAGAACTAATTTAATTTTTGAAATATAGGCAGGCTTAGTGACTTATATACTCCCTGGCCAAGGAGATTTTGCACCATAACATGCTGAGATCTCTGACCTAGGAAATCATCTAATTCAGGGCCAAAATTATGACAAAGCCAAAACATTTATCCTCCAAGATTTAAATAAGTGACAATGAATAGGAAGCAAATGATGTCTTCAATAAACACCCACTCATCCAATCTTGAGTCAAGATTTGAACAAACATGAATGGATCTTATTCACATTACTGCTTTTTGCTTTGAACATTTGGCTTGTGAAGAAGGGAACCTCCTGCTTTTTAATTCCTTTGAGGAAGGAATGGTGGACCTTGACAGAGATGTGCATGTTTCAGCAATGACTGGCAATTGGTTCAGACAAAGCATACTCTTATTTCCATATTACTCACAGAACACTTGGCTTATTGATCAGCTACCCCTCAACTTCTGCCTACCCTTTGATCTAAAGTTTCCACAAAAAGAGAGAGAGAGAGAGAGAGAGAGAGAGAGAGAGAGAGAGAGAGAGAGAGAGAGAGAGAGAGAGAGAGAGAGAGAGAGAGAGAGAGACTGAGTTCTCCACTGGAGAACTTAGTTCTATACCCAAACTACTATCAATATCATTATTCTTTTTCTAATGTTAAACCAAAATTTACACCTTTCACCTTAAGACCTGCATTCTTTTCTGCTTACATGATATCCCATCTCCTAGAAATAGATTTCTCGACTTTGATATTTGTTGTAACTACCGAAAAACACTTTAATTGATAGCATGAACAACATCCAACAACTCTTTAATATGAAGGAGCTAGATTATTTTATCTGAAGTTATTTTTTTTCAGAATATATATTTTCTGTCCAGAAAAGCTATTGTATATGTAGCTTTTGTTATTAATGTTAATATGTGTTGGATTTATGATTAACTGTTAATATGTATATGCAGCATTTATCAATAACAAACTATATTATCCTTAATTCCTGAATTACCCATCATTATTTCATTTTTTTTTAAATTTTATTTAAATTTTCAATACATATAATACTTTCCATACATTATATATAAAACTAAAAAAAGAGAAAAATACCTTTAGAATAAGACCTTAGGTGTTGCTCGTCTATCTCCCCCCGACTGCGTCCGCCCTCTCATTATTTCATTTTTGAACAGTCCTCTTTTGTGTTCTACTTCCAGGTGATTGAATGCCATACAGTTTCTGATCACTTGGCAGCCCCAAAAGAATAGGAGAGGGTCCAATAGTAGCCCCAGAACACAATCTAGTATGCTTGGATCTTAATTTTATGGTATGTTTTCAATTATCATTCCTACACATTCTCCTTTATTTATTTATTTCACATAATTTCTATTCTGTCAACTTCATTGGATTCTGGGAGGCTCACAACAGTATATAGCTCACTTATTGATTTATTAATAACCTTTCTGTGGTTTTTATAGTAAATTCAAAAAAATCCACCCTGCAATAATGAATTAATTCATTTACAGAAGAAAAAGATAACAAATCCAACAAAAAAATCCAACAAAATTAAAAATGCCATCAGAAGTTTGAACTTTGGGAAAATCTATCTATCTATCTGTCTGTCTGTCTGTCTATCTACCTATCTTTCCCAACCCTGGCAACTTTAAGATGCGTGGACGTCAACTCCCAGCCAGCATGGTTGGCTGGGGAATTCTGGGAGTTGAAGTCCATTCATTTTAAATTACTAAGGTTGAGAAACACTGTTCTATGGTATTTATTATATTTAGTTGGGAGTTGAACTGCTGAATTCAACAAGGCATATTTCTCAGCTGAGTCAAGATTTCATTGTGTATATTTTGTGTATATTGTACACACAGTATTCTGCCCTGAAATTCCCTGTATATATCCTGCCGTCCTTTTTCCCATATACCTTATACAATGAAAGAATATCTTGTAGTGAAACATACACTCAACTTCTTTTGTCTCTGGTTCAAATGGATTGTTGGATGGCTGGAATGCAAGACAAACTGTCCTGATTGTTTACCAGAGATATATGGAGGTAAACATCATATATAACAGTGGCATCTCCAAGTTAGTTGCTACCTCTATCCCCGTTATCTCTCCTCTATCAAATATAAGAGGATAAGAACTTTGGGGTAGCAATTTTGGAGTCCTACCTCCCTTAAACTGCTATCATAGCTCTAATGGAGAATGGCGTTCCAACTAATGCCTCTCACATCATCTGAGCTGCTGCTGCACACTATGGACACAAATATAGGTCCTCTAGAAGATGAAATCCATACTATTACACTAAACAGCCCCTTCCCAGACAATCAAAGACACACAATAGTATATATCTTAACAACATAAACCATGAAACACAATGATCGACCCTTATTGATGTCAAAGCCACAACTGACTTCTTGAACATTTCAGCTGGGCTGGGTGAGTCGGTGATAGATGCAGTGTCAGTTGGGTCTTTTGCTACAGACAGACAAAAGAGTGAGAATGGCTCATTACCTTCTCAGTCCCCTTCCCATGCTTTCTTAAGAGGGTTCCCTGTAGAAACAATATCACAAATTGATCAATATGGAAGGAGAGGAGAAACATGTCTTGGTGGGGGTATCACAAGGAAAAAGGAGTGAGGAAAGGAAGGAGAGATATTCAAGCTCCATTACTGTGGGATTATCTCTAGAGAACAGCATTGTCAGAAGATGTAGGCTAAACTTGGCACTGAATCTGCATTTTGCCCCCAAAGAATCACTTCTTCTCATCTGAACAACACCCCAAATTGGTCAGAAATAGATATACAATAGGTCACAAGAACTGACTTATGACATCTGGCCCTGGAGACAATCACGCTTGCTTGCATAGCTGAACTACTGCAATGCACTCAACACAAACCTGCTTGGGAAGACTACCCATAAATTGTAGTTAGTCTGAAATTCAGCAGCCTTCTTATTGAGGAATGAAGTCATCGGAGTCATGTAATGCCACTGTGGTCAACCATGAATTCTAATTACAATTTTGGTTTTGATCTATAACTCCCTTGGCCCCTGGATACACAACCCACCTGCTTTGTATTTTATAGCATTTAAGAGCATTTATTTTAGAAATTGTGTTAAGCATTTTGTGCGAACATAACTTTTGTGTGCATGCCCTTCTCCCTCCTTCCATCAGAATTTCAGATAAAGCACAGAAATTTAACAGGATTTGGAACTTTTTGTGGGAAGTGTTGCAGTGTTCCTTAGCAGGACAGATTTGTAGAAATCTATAGTCTAAAAGTTTCTCTAGGTATTTCCTTAGATACAACTTAATTAAAACAGTTCCCATTTCATCTGATGTCCTCTTGATATATTTAGCAGTAAACTACTTTTAATGCTTGCTAGCTTGGCTAGGAGATGGTGGGAACTGTAATCCAATATACCTGCAGAGCACCTGGCTAGAGAAGGCTGGATATACAGAATTATAGCTAAGGAAGGGATGGGCACATTAAATGCTTCGTGTAGGATCTGTTAAAGGAAATTAGAAGGTCAGGGCACTGAGAAGGGACAATGCTTTTATCTATCCCTACAGGAAATAATGTGAAAACACTGAAATAATAGTCTCCAAAAGAGGGCAGGATTAAACCTTAACTCTAACACCTGTGATATGCCTAGGTTAGTATAAAAAAAATGTACAGATGTGACCTCTTGACCAGATAGGCCTGGCAATATGGGTGGGCCCATGTCCTAAAATGTGTGTATGTGTTTGGGGGGATTTATTTGATGATTGTGTGCCCTTTCTTGATATGTCCCCTCAGTCTGTGTGCCTTGGAAGAGTTAGTAGCTAAGGACCCAAAGCATAAGACAAACTTACTTAACTTAATGTCTATTAGATGGACACCATTCAGAGATGGGCACCATGTTGGCTGGGAATGCTGGGCATTGCACAGCCACCAACATTGGAGGAAATCAGGTTGGGGATGGTAAGTCTCAGATATTAAATTTGAAAAGCTCACACTGACATGATGCAGTAGACATGTCCTCTTCTCATGATATGTCCCTACCTTTGGGCCATAGCAGAGTACTGTATTTGTAGCAAGGTGCCCACCAAAGATCACTTGGGATCTCTTGTCTTCTTCATCCAATATTCCCCCAAGTCTATATCCTCCCATATGCAAGGAACATTTTCACCAGACAAGTTGTTCCTTCACAACTCCAAAGAATGTAAGAGGAAGGGAGACTGAATTTGAAGAAAGCTCTTCTCAAAAATTGACTTCCTCACCCTTCCTGTGAAAGTCTCACAGGCAGACCTGAACACCTGATTCTTGTAACTTAATGGCAAGAGTAACCCTTCCCTCCTCCCAGATCCCCAGGAGACAACCCCATTATAGCTTCCGACATGGAGAAGTGAGGGACAGACTTTCCACCAAGACGTCATAGCTGGCGCGAAGCAGCTCAGCAACAAGGGGGAAGAGGGCACAGAGCAAGAAAAGGCAAAGGCATTGGGAAGGGGCAGGAGCAGGAAGAGAAGGCATGGGGACAAGGTAGGCAGCCACCACAGAACAACAGAAAAACCAGCTCAAGTTACTTTGGGTAGGAAAGATACTAGACGCAAGGCACATGGACAGGGCGGGAGAGAGAGACAAACATGAGAGACAGGGGTGACCTGCCGTACTTACAATCATCTGCCAAGGTGAGAGGAGCGGAGCAATTAGAAAGAATAACCATGAGTAGGCCATCACCTTCATATCCATTGTGTCCCCACCCAACTTATTCTCATCCCCACAACCTCCCACAAATACAACAGTCCCTCATGAAACACAACCAGAGAACTGATGGGAACATCCCTGTACAACACAGAAGTGTTGTCTCCTCTGTGAATATCACAGATATGAAGAATGACTGGCAGTTGTCATTCAAAAACCATGTTGATTTAAGGTCAGTTAGGTTAAGCTTGAAGTTCCTGTCCACACCTCCCTTAATTCAATCACACGATTCATCAGTTTAATGACAGGGACTCAACCTTCATGCTCATTTTAAATTAGAGTAGCGTTTTTAGAAAGACCATTTGAAAGCAGAACTACGTACTGAGAGGTATGTCCTCACCTGAGGCTCTCCTGGGGAAAATGAGCTAGTTAGAGGAAGGAGATGGTGGGACTTGGCTAGTCAACTCACAATGAAATTCTTGGCTTGCAAGATTTTACAACTGCGTATTCATCAGCTCAGCTTTAGAAAGAAGCTGTTAAAGTGAATTTTTTTCTAAGCATGTACAAAAAGGCTAACTTGTTCCTCGTGTATTTGTAGAGGCGCAACAAAAGTATATTCCTTAGCAATGTCTTAGTTCTTAGGTGCAAAGAACTTAAATATAAAGAAACTTTCAGTGAAAGTGAAATGAGAACAATGTGAATGAGATGAGCCAAAAGGGTATCTAGCTTTCATTCCATCCTTTTCTAATCTCTCACCTTCCAGCTGTTTTGGATTATACTTTCCAGCTTCTCTCACATCACAACACAACACATTCAAAAACCCAATCTGGCTGAGGATGAAGAAGTTACGGTCCATTGCAACATCAGACTAAGGAAGACTATTCTGTTCCAAGAAACATTTCTCCTATTCTTTGCTTCCCAAATCACCTACATCCTCCCAACCTGCAATTAGAAATCTTGAAGGATTCTAAGGGGGGTTGGAACATAAAGACTGTCCTGCCTGAGATGAAGAAAAAAAAGAGAAAATAGTATTTCCTCTTTAGTAATCCTGGCCCCATACTTCTCTCAATTATATCCTTTCAACAGGAAAGTTAAGATTCCCAAAATGTGGAAATTTAATTTATGCCCTGATTTTCCCTTAATTGCCAGTCTCAGAATTTCTCAAGATGTAACACACACACACACACACACACCAACCAACCAACTAACCCACAAAGTCTCTAGAAGTTGAGTTTGCCTAAGACAGTGTTTCTTAACACTGGTGGCTTGAAGATGTGTAGACTTCAACTCCCAGAATTTCCCTTGTTGGCTGAGGATTGCTGGGAGGAGAAATCCACACGTCTTCAAGTTGCTAAGTTTGAGAAACATTGAACCAGGAGAAGAATCATAAAACAACCCATTTTGATGGCGTCTAGGTAATGTATAACAAAATAAATTAGATTAAAAGAATAGAAAGTAAAGCAATCAAATTCTTATGGAGTCTTCTGGCAGTGTCCGCAGTCACCTAGGATCAAAGGCAGGACAGAAGAGCGCTATCTTTGCTTGCTTCTGAAAGGCAAGGAAGCAACTCTCTAGGGGCAGTTGCTGATACCAGTAGGTGCTGCAAGAATAGCTGTGCACTCCCTGGAGATAAATGATGGCGTATCCCTCCCCCTCTGTTGAGAGAGGGCTGTTCAGTTTTAATATAAATGGTCTCTTTGACCCTTATTTCAAACCAGTGGTCCTCTCTGTCCCAAATGTGGTTTGAAAGAGAGGTCAAAGAGGCTATCTATAAACAACCCTCTCTCAACAGAGGGGGAGGGATACAACTTCATTTATCTCCAGTCTACAACACAGTCCTTTCAGCAGTTCCAAGAAGGCTCCACACCCTTTTGCACCAATCAGGTGACCCTGAGGACACAGACAAAACTCCAAGTGGCCTCAATGACTCTCTAAAAGAATGCAAATGACCAGCTGTCTGCAAGGAGTATAAATCCTTCCATTCCCCACCATTCCAGTCAGAGTTGAAGAAGCTTCTTGAATGAGAAGCGGAACATCTTCAAAGAAAAACAAGAAAGTCCAGTTGCCTCTTGAAAAAGCACCTTTGGGACAACCATGATCTAGATGACTGAGAATCTCCATAGATAGCAACTGGGTCTTTCACTATAATGTCCATAGCTATAAACCATTGTTTTTAGTTAGAAGATGAGAGACCCCCAGAAAGGACACTACTACATGTAAGTTGTTGGGGTTTTTTTGCTTTCACTCCTTCTGTCCCATCTCTGCATCACTTATCTCCAAGTGTTCCCTAAATCAGAGCTCCAGAAGTCTTCACTCTTCTAAAGAGCTTCACTCTTCTAAAAAAAAAAAAAAAAGGAAGTTTGCCCACCTGTCTCCCCCGGGACATCTATTTGCATCTTAGAGAAAAAGCTAGCCTTTGATCCAGAAATGCTAGTTTTCTACAGTGAATTGTTTGTTTAATTATTTGAAGAAAGAAACATTTAGTCATGCCAGCTACCATCTGCAGTGTAAAGAACAACAATCCAGAAGTACATCTGTTGGTTTTGAAAATGACATCTCTGATGCAACTGTAGCTTCCACAGTGATATTTGGAGTTCTTTTCCTGAGTTAGGCTGGAAAACCTGCCCATACGAAACCTTGGTTATCCAACTGTGATATGGGAAGGCTGTAAGCAAACCACAAGAACTACTCCTAAACCCTCTTTCTGGTTCAGTCAATTTATATCCCATCTTAGCTCTTTAAAACAGGAGTTAAGAGAATTGGTTGAAGGGAACTTCATCCTGGCTACTACTGTAATTTAAGGACAGAATGGCCTGAGAAAAGTCTGGGACATCCCAAGATTTCCTTTGATTGATTCACAGAGATGGTCAAATTTAGCTCAGAAGAAGCAGAGTCAACACTGCACACACATGTAAAACTTGTACCCAAGACAGAATCCATGTTTCCAAAGGATCATATCTTTATCATCTGTCAAACGTAGAAGAGAATCATCTATAATGGAGAGCTATCAATATTTATGGAAGCTCACCTGAAATTTCAAACCTCATTTCCCAGGTTCGAAATTGCATGGAGAACTTCCATAGATCTAGGACCCTGCTGTAGAAAGCCCCCTCCAAGTATGTAGGGGAATGAGAACAGTATCCAAAGAAAGGAAGGGCAATGTTTGTGTCTGTATTTCCCATTCTTATAGGTTAGGAGATGAGTTAGGTCTAAAGAAAACTATAAGATCTTATTCCACAGAATTCTAATTGTAGTTTACTTCTATTTGTCTTCCAAAGAAGAGGCCATAAAAGGAGTTTGAATTCCTCCCACAAAGTTCTGACTTTTGACTTTTGCAGAAATAGACCTGAGGTTTTAGAGACATCGTAACAGTTATAGCATTTTGTTTATGTGAAACTCGCATCTGAACAATGAGGTCCAGAAATGTACCTAGTTCAAATCCAAGTGGAGAATCTTACCGAATCATGTGGCCAGTGCATATTTTCTGACAGAATATCAAGTCGCTTTTAAGCTGGCCCCTCACAGAAAATGTCTAGTTTTCCACATCCCCAGAATATTTGGAAGTTGGTTGCAGGGGCCAGAAGGAGGATATCATCCCATGCTAGCAGGACTCACCGTCTGGTCAGTTAGTGGAGGAAGTACAATTGTCTTCTCCATTGTATTCATGACAAGTTTCCAGAGTTCCTTTAGCACTCGTTTCAGGACAGTCTTCTCACAAATTTTGGCAAACAGAGTCAAGCTAGGATGAAAAAAGTTAACGCAACAAAGAAGAGGATGAGCATTTTAAGGTTAACAGCTGAATGAACATGACAATCTCCAATACTTTGGCCTGGGATAGGATGGACAAATTTGGGCTCAAGTATCATATGGGCTGCTCGGAGAGGGGTGATCAAGAAAATGCCTATTTATGTGCAGGCATTCACATGAACAAAGATTCCCCAAGCATCTTCTCTGTCCTAGAAATCACATGGCAGTTGAGATTGCTAGGAAGGGAGCTGAAGCCACCCGTATCCGCTTCTCTATTGATTTAGACTGCAAAAGTCCAAACAGTCATAGATTGCAGCAAAGAGATACAGTACAGGGAAGTATAGCTCTTTGTGATCATCTAAGGATCGGCTGGATTTTTATTTTGCAGGTATGGAAATTTCTGCCATGCTTAAGGTAGCAAAGTTGCAATCACTGCCAACTTCAGCCTGTTCCTGAAAAGTCCAGCAGTCACAGAGTCTTCTTAATGAAAAAGGCAAAATCTTGAAAGCATTTGCTTTTCTGCTGACTTCCCTCTTTATTTACTGAGCTATGTGGGAAGAAGTGCAGCCCCATAGAATATGCTCAGTAAGATAAACTGAATTTATGACCACAATTGGGACTGGAACTTCCTTTGCTAAGTAAGGCATTTATCAAGTGAGTCACATCACATTTTTTTTTTGCGCAGGTTGTTAAGTGAATCCACCTTCCCCCTATTGACTTTGCTTGTTGGCTGAGAAAGCGACAAGTGACAATCACGTGACCACGGGACACTGCAACCATCACAAATACACGCCAGTTGCCAAGCACCCGAATTTTGATCATGTGACTGTGGGGAGGCTGCAACGGTCCTAAGGGTGAGGATTGGTCATAGGTCATATTTTTCAGTGCTGTTGTAACTTTGAATGATCACTAAACCAATGGTTGTAAGTCAAGGACTACCTGCACAAAGCACAGACCACAAAGAAGACTCTATCATTGCTGGACCAAATCTCACTATGGAGATGCCTCTAAGTTTCTTTTAACTGAATTTTCTCCATGCGTATATAATTAAAGACATAACCTGCCTAGAAAACCAACACTGAGTAGGCAGACTGCATCTAACCTTCAAAAATTATATTCAGCAGCCAAATTATACATTAACAACTTGCCTGTGTAAAAATCGTTCTGTTACTCAAAGAATAATTGAAAGAGAATTGAATACAGTTTTTAACAAAGGTCAAGCAACAGGAAGTGATTTAATAAAGAAAAAATATGCAGGAAAAAAAGTAATTGAAATAACTAAAAAAATGAAATAGAAATGCAACAAATAAAGACTCAAAATCTGGTAGCTAAAATTTCTACCTTATACCCCTGGGTCTGCACTCACTTGCTATCCAGGAGGTCCATAATAGGCTGTAAGACGTTGTCAGCATCCTGAGCCACACTGCTGCAGGCACTGGCAGGCACGTTCCCGGTGCCTTTCACTTGACTCAGGATGTCTCCCATCTGCTTCACACAGTCCTCTATATGTGGCTGAAAACTGGAGAGAAACAGAAGCGCTCACCTGATGTTCTATTAAAGGAGAGACAAGACCAGCCTCCCTTAACCTGGCATCGTGCTCAGGTGTTCTGTTGGCAACTCCCATAATTTCTGGTTGGGAACTGTAGGCTTAACAGAGCTGGAAGATGCAAAATTGAGGAAGGCTGGGCCAGAAGTCTTGAACTAATGTCATAAGTCTTGTGCTTTCACTAGTAAATTGGCCTGGTCCAGTCCCCACTCCATTGTATACATCCAATATCAAGTGTTCTGCAAGAAAATCATCTCAAGTTAACATCCTATTGTCTTCCGAACTAGCCCTACCTGGTTGCAAATATTCGGCTCAGCTCATCCAAGACATTGTTGAGCTTCACCTGAAGTTCCTTGAGGATATCACTGGCTTCTGTGTCCAACTGAGAGGGGAGAAAAAAACAATGATTATGAGCAATAACCAAAATCACCCTGCTTAAATAATAGAAGCCAGCTTCCAGAATTTATCTTAAATGGGGTATGTATGCATGTCTGTATGTCTGTATGTATGTGTATTTGCTTATTTATTTACTTACAGGGGCTTAAATGCTTCACCCCAGTCTAAAGAGACTCCAATGTAAGTCTGTTATATGTATTTAGCTAGCAAAGGTATGATATCACAGAATGTTTGGTATCAACTGGTATGATATCACAGAATGTTTGGCTGTTCAGTGTATTAATGATATTGTCAACTTGGCTCAGATTAAAATCTTTCCAAGAAGTTTGTAGACAGCTGAGATCTGGTGTTAAAGAGATAGAAAAATCCTCTATCTTTCTGGAATACTATTTCTGCCCACTTGCAAGCTTCTGCTTACTTTATTAGATAGTTGATTATTCCTCAAATTAAAATTTTCGACACTACCCTGGAAATCCATTTAGCAATATTAATGTTTTAGATAAATAAATGTAACAAAAACACTGAAAGTGAGGAATAAATGGAGGGGAGTGGAAACAAAACGCTGATCAATAGAAAAATAAAGCAGATCACTGGGCTGAGAAGAACTAGTCAAGAGTTCTCTCACATGAGCTCTGGAAAGTAAACCATTCAAAATTTGCATTTTAGACACTTGAAATTGACATTTTTGTCAATTAAAAAGAAAAAAATTCCCATGAATTTCCCACCTTCTACTAGTTTGAGAATTGTATTCAATATTCAAGATGAGAAGGCAAAAAGAAAAAAAAGGGAAATCAAAGACTCCAGAATTGATTCAGTTTCTTTTGAATTTGTAATTTCAGGCACGTCAAGCTGGGCACAGTTTTCCATCAATACCCACCTTAATCAAACGAAAGAAAAGCCTTTCCCTTATTGATGAGAAATCAAATCTACCCTCCAGGTCTAATAGGTGAATAGGGAAGAGACCTTGCAGATCAACAGTGATGATGCCTGCAACAGATGACTAAGACCCATCATGTCTTTCTGTGCCTGTCTGGTCCACTTCCAGCCCAGGTGTCCAAGATAATTAGAAAATGCAAACCTCTTTCCCCCCCATAGCTTCAAACATCTTCTCCAGCTGGACACGCAACTGCTGTATGTTGTTCATCAGGATACAAGGCTGGAACAGAAGAAACACATGTATACAAACACATTTAAAGGCAGGTCTATCTCTGATCAACAAACATATGAACATTGTGGTTGAGATGGACATCAATTGTGATATGAAATGGAGCAACTCTTGCCCTGGAGGAGCAGAACCAGATTCAAGTTAGATTTCTGGAGGAATTTCCTGATGGTAAGAATTATCAAGCAATGGAATACTCTATCCTGTGAAGTGATAGGTTCCCTTTGCTGAAGGTCTTCAAACTGAGGCTACATTTGACAAACTGACATCTGATTTTAGCAGATCCTGCGTTAAAGAGCGCTTAGGGTAAATTACATCCAAGGTTCTCCCAGCTCTGTGATTCTAGGGCCTTTCAGTTTCAGGGACAATCTTGGTTAAGTCCCCTCACTTCTGTTAAACCAATATTGTTGGTCAACCCCCCTCAGTTCTATTAAACCAATACTAAGGGCAACTGCAATATAGGAAAGGGTAAAACTCTAAAACAATAAAGCAATCTCTCTGAAGCTGGTATTCACTTCCAGCAAAGAAAGCTGGAAAAGCCAATTATCCCCATTAATGTTCACCTCCTATACAACACTAACTTCAGTGAAACTTCTAAATAACTTTTAGCCAGCATCTACTTCTGTGCACTTTCTATACATGTTTTATACTCTATTCTAGTTCCTGCATATCTGCCCTCCAGATATTTGCATCGGAGGTTCAAATTCCATAGCAATGAATTTTCATACCTCAGGACCTCCTAATCCCAAAGGGGCAGTATGGTGCAAATAGAGGGTTAAGGATTTATTCGATGCCCCTCTATGTCTGGCTCAATATACTGTCCTTCTATTTTTCTTCTCTGGCATTCATAAACAAAACACATATTCTTGGATTCTCATCCTGTCAGAATAAAATTAGCTGTGCACTAAGTTTTCTTCCATTCTTATACTGCAGTGTTTCTCAACCTTAGCAATTTTAAGATGTGTGGACTTCACTTCCCAGAATTCCCCAGAGAAGGACAAGGGGGGGACATGATAGCAGTGTTCCAATATCTCAGGGGCTGCCACAAAGAAGAGGCAGTCAAGCTATTCTCCAAGGCGCCTGAAGGCAGGACAGGAAGCAACAGATGGAAACTAATCAAGGAGAGAAGCAACCTAGAACTTAGGAGAAACTTCCTGACAGTGAGAACAATTAACCAGTGGAACAACCGGCCTCCAGAAGTGGTGAATGCTCCAACACTGGAAGTTTTTAAGAAGAGACAGCCATTTGTCTGAAATGGTCTAGGGTTTCCTGCCTGAGCAGGGGGTTGGACTAGATGACCTCCAAGGTCACTTCCAACTTTATTATTATTATAGAATTATTACATCTTAAACTTACCAAGGCTGAGAAACCTTGCTATACTATAGTTTCTGTTAGAGTTATAAACCTGCTGCACTAATCATTGCTCAGGGTTGATTCTCACTCTTAGGAACATTCACAGATGGACATGCAGAACCTTTTAAACTCCAACATTTGAAGGCTACCAAGAGATGTCTCCAGTCATGAAGCTAAACCTACAAAGCTCCTTCAACTTTTCTTCACAAGCTTTGGTTTCCAAACTCTCTACTTTTCTGTTCACCTCCCTCTAATCGCAGTATGGTTTTGTCAACGTTCTTCTTACAGTGCAGCATCCAGAACTGAATGTAGCATTGCACTTCACCAGAGTGCAATGATTTGAATACTACATTTCTGTTGGTGCCATCTGAGATGATACTGTGCTGACTTTCTAATATATACAGGATATGAAAATGGAATCCATTTTAATGCTGGTAATTTATGACATCATTTTATAGCCAAAGAGATGTTTTTGGTGCTGACAGGTGTCCTGCCAATGGTATGGTCCACTTCCTTTAGCAACAGTAAGATGGATGGCATATAAATTTGATAAATAGATAAAAACAAATAAATAAACTCTCCACACCACCCCCAACCTGGAGCCCATCGGGTTCCTTGGGATGCCTGGTTCTGCAGGAAGATTTCAAAAGAAAAAGCATTTCAGAAACTGAAGGCATAAATGCAATACATCACCACTTTTTCTTTCTCCTTGGAGCAGTAGGAAGCAAAGCCTTTAGAGATGATCTCAGCATACTGCAGCAAGACATTGCTAATGGTCTGAAAAGCAAAGTCAATAAGAAAGAGAAGGAGAATTTGAGCAGACATTGTGATCAAATTGTGGCTTATTGGATTATGGCAGGGCCTTCCCCAATCTGACGCCCTTTGCATGGGCTGGATCACAATTTTCAGCATTATTCAGCCAGCAGATCCTGACTTTGTAAATGCATAGTCCACATGGTCAGTATCCCCTTTTGAACAGTAATTATAAAGATACTTCCAGGCAGACCATAAAAGCAGGATTGAAGATAAGGACACTCTCAGAGGTATATAAGAGTACTATATTATCTATTATACTTAATATCTAGAAAATGGTCTATTGCAGACATTGAATGGTATTTCTATAGCATACCTAAGATCCATCTACATCAGCCTTGATCTCCCCCAGATATGATGGGCTGCAGTTCCATTCCCCAGCTACAATCCTAATCTGGATTCCCCTAGCAGCTAAGTGGCCGTCTTCATAACTCTCTTGAGTCAAATAGACTGAGATAGTCCTTCTACGGCTGTGGAAACATTCTAGGACAGTGATAGCAAATCTTTTAAAGACCAAGTGCCAAACTGCACCCAAAACCTACTTATGTATCATCGGGTGCTGGGTGGGCGTGGCCCATTTGGTGGGTGGGCCAATTGGGTGGGTATGGCCAATTAAGTGGGTATGGCCCATTGGGTGGGCGTGGCTGCAGTGGTAACGGCAGATTGGGTGGGACTAAAAAGTTCAATCAATCAATTCCAACTTTGTGAGATCTTTTTTTTTTCCTGTGAGAAGTTGAAATTAATTGAACCTTTTTTTTTTTTTGCACATGGTGGCGGAGGCCTAAAGCGAAAAAGTTTTATAAAACCCAGCTAAAGGCCTAGGACTGGGGCAACAGTGCGTGTGCCCACAAAGAAGGCTCTGCGTGCCACCTGTGGCACGCGTGCCATAAGTTCGCCACCACGGTTCTAGGAAAAGGTGGAACAATAGGGTCAGGTTCAAAGGTGTTTTGACCTACCTTGCAATTGCTTTTAGTTCAAAAAGATTCCTTGGCTGGTCAACGTCTCTGATAATTTTTCCTTGCTATCATTGGCAAGGCAGAAATCAGAAGGATAAATCAGTAGTGACCATAGGAGGAAATTGCTCCTTACCTTGGCAAATCTTCTCATGTAATGGCCTACAATCTGTGGATCAGGGCACTCCAACTTCTTGATAATCTCAAAGCTTTGGTTGAGCTGGGAGAAGACATCAACCACAGAACAGGAGAAGAGGGCATGTTCTGAAGTTTGTTGGAACTGGAAGAAGACCCAAGAAGATTGAATGAGAAGCTAACTTCTATCAACTGAGTTAGAACATTTATCTTGCTAAACTCATTCTTGCCTATTGAAATGGAATTCTAGTGAATAACCAGATATTTATAAGATAATAATATTTTGCGAAGTTGTTGTGTGGATAAATGTTTGATATACTAGTTATGTCACACTGGTTCTTTCTAAAATATATCTCCCTCAAAAACTGCCACAAAGAGTTGTGTTCCAACAGAATTCATTTTGAGGCAGTTTTTATTATTATTATTATTATTATTATTATTATTATTATTGTTGTTGTTGTTGTTGTTGTTGTTGTTGTTATTGTTATTATTCTGGTGAAACCACATGCAAATCTTCAGACTGGTACATTACCCCATCTTTCTTGTCTCGTTCTAATGCTCCATGCAAGAAATCTCGTGACACTTCCTCGTTCTCATCCAGCCATTGGATAACAAAAGGTTCAAACCATCTAGAGAAACAAATGGAAAAAAAAGTGTAAGGTTGAAATCAAGAAAATCTATCTTGGCCAACTCAAGAGAATTTGAAAATAGTGATGGGTAAGAATTTAGTTCAATTTTTCATCAAAACTTACCAAGCTCTGCAAATCTCATTAAAAACAGGATGAAAATAATTCAGTTGTTTTTCCCTTTAATGAATGAGGGTTTTTTTTTAAAAAAGTAAGTTCTTTTGAAATTCTCCACCTAACATATTCCTTAACTGGCTTTAGGAGTATAAAATCTCTTAGTACAGTTTCTGAAGAAATCTAAAGAAATTGGTATAAATTTTCTAAAAATTAGAAAGGGGTGATCTCTGGAATTTTTCTCCTAAAATATTAGAGTTAGAAGAGGCAGTTGAGATGATGAGATCTAGCCCCCTGTTTAACGTAGAAATCCAAATGAATACATCCTGAGAGTTAGCTGACCAGCTTCTGCTTGATCGCAATTGTTCAGTCTCAAGAAAAGAACATTGTTGTGAAGATCAGTGGATGATGGGAGATAAAAGAGAACCAAATAAATAATTTGAATAATTTAAAGTGGGGCACTGAATGGCTAGGTCTGGAGAAATGGGTATAACCTGTAAAAGGCAGAACAGATGAGGCCTACCCTGAGATGCTCACAGGTATTTATTTATTTATTTATTTATGAGACTTATATACCGCTTTAAGTGCAAGCACTCTCTAAGCGGTGTACACCAGTAAGCAATGTATATATATATTTACATTGCCCCCAACAATCTGGGTCCTCATTTTACCTACCCCGGAAGGATGGAAGGCTGAGTCAACCTTGAGCCGGTGAGATTTGAACCGCTGACCTGCTGAACACAGTCAGCTAAAGTGGCCTGCAGTACTGCACTCTAACTGCTGCGCCACCTGGCTCTTATGGTTCCTACCTTTTAACAGCTGCTAAGCAAGAACTGAATTTCATATACCTGATTCTTCATTGTTATACTTTATACTGGTTATACTTTCTAGTTCATTTTTGTGGAAGTAGTGTTTTTTATTCTTTTAGTATATCTTTGAATGATGCTCAGATGGGTTCTGTTCAACACTACAAAAGTCAACTCAATATTCTTTTGCAAATAATGTACTTTGAAAATTTCTGAGCTTCCCAAACTACATGGAGGTAGATAGTTAAAATTCAGGAAGGTCAGAAATTTTTGAAGCCGGTTTATGGTAAGTAAGGCCAAGGTTTAAGCATGAGGAAACAACAAAGGCACTTACGCTGGGTATTCAGGAACCCGGCTCTTGAAGGAAGGAAGATCTGTGACATATTCATTGTACAACCATTTCACCTTAAAGTGCAGGTTCATATAGTCAGCACTCTTGCATAGCCGATGTTTGTCATGCTCTACATAGTAATAGAAGAGAATGAAAAAGAAAGAGATGATTCTTGCAACAGGCTTGCAGAGTCTGAGTTAACCAGGCAGAATTATCCAGAGATAAAAACAAGACCCAAAAGCAAACTGTGGGAGGAGATAGGAAAAAAGTGGGCATGGATGGGGAATGCACATAGCAATGGCCCAGGATGGAAATGAAATAAGGGTTTAAACCTGTGAATGAATTGAAAGGTGGATGGTCTCCCCTGAAAATGTTTTTATGTGCATTTAGCCTGGGTGTATTGTTTGGCACAATCCCAGTTTGTCCAGAAAGATCAGAAGCTCAAGTGAATCACTGATGAAGGGAAAAGACACATGAGAAATTAATTTCTCTCTAAGAATGAGCAGTGCATCCTCTTCTTAAGACCCCAAGAAGGCTCACCTTCCATTGCATACTTCATGTCCTGAGCAAAAAGGTTCCACATAACCTCTGCGCTGATCTTCCCAACATTCAGCTCTTGAGGGAATCTGTTAATAATTCAAAGGCAGAACCTCACTCTTCTGTCAACATGAAAAATACACTAAGATACCTGAATCCTGCTAAAGACGGGGAACTTAATGATTTGTGCCATTTTCTTTCCCCTCTTTTGAGCATTCTTGGTATGTACTCACTGGTTGAGGCAAGGTGTGTATGAGTTCTTATCTTCTTCAATGATCGATACTATCAAGGTTATAAGTTTGGACCAAAAGTCTAGATTCTTGATGCTGGGACCCTGTTCTTCTGGTGGCAGTTCACCCTTCTTGGTCTAGGATGATTGGATGGGAAGGAAGAAGGAAGGAAAAATACACATCAGTTTAGCAAACTCTTCTTTATGTCCCCTTGTAGAAACTAGAAGATCAAGGAGAGATGAAAATTGGTAGGGCATCATTAGATTAGAGGCCTTCCTCAAAGTGATATTTTTCATCACTTCTCCAGTCTCTATATTTCCCAGCAATGTGGCCAAAGTTAGCTATGATAGAGTGCCAGTCCACTCACAGGATCAGTTTGGTATTCACGACTATAGAGTTCATGGCAGTTGTTGAAGATGTATTCATAAGTTGAGTTGAGGCAGGCCTTCACACAATCCTTCACCACCTGACTGGCTCGTGGTGGACTCTGGAGCTCTTGGACCTGCATAAAAGAAGCAATAAGAAGGGTGCTAATTATTAGAAGCCATAAACTAACATAGTGCCTACTTTAAGAAGCATCAAACTAAAAGAGGCATAAAGGATGATTGGAAAATAAGTTTTAAAAGAAGAGATTGAGGAAACTGGTTATGTTTAGCCCAGAGGAAAAAAACATGTGAGGGGGATATGAAATATCTGAAAGAGTATCGCCCAGAAACAGATCAAAACCTGTTAACCTTCAACTCAATATGTAGGACACACAATACGGAAAAGCAAATTTCACTTAAATGTGAAGAAAAGCTTTTTAGAATTAAGAACAGTTTGGCAAGGAGCATTTTCTCTAGGGAAGTGGTAGACTCCCTTTCATTGGATTTTTCAAACAGAAAGTGAATAGTCACCCCTTCCAATTCTACAATCCTATTATTTTAATTACCAACAACACCTCTTGACCCAACAGGCTCATTCTTTGTAAAGCTTCTGTGACTCTGGATTGAGACCAGAGTCACAAGAGATCTGAATTTGGTTGGGCTGTTTCTGGAGCTTTGAAACAATGGGACGGGCTATTCTTACACAACTCTAAACCAGATTAAATCACACAACAAGTAGTACCAGAAATTAAAGAAGCACAAAATGACATTTCCTTCTCTCTTTCCAGGATTGGTGTGTGTGTGTGTGGGGGGGGAGGAATTGGAAATTTACCTTCATCCGAAAGAAAGTGATGCTGGTCAAGAGGTCCACTGTTGATTTAAGGTCCTGCAGTCTTTCAGGACTGCTAGCAGGGAAATTATTCTGAGAAACAGGAGAAATAGCAGCAATCATTTGATATTTCTTCATTCATCTGTCAACTTACATACTCCCTACCACTGCCTTTAATCTGCTTGTATAAATCTTTCTAGCTCCTTTATGGACTACTTTCTGGCAATAAAGAGCCAAGGTGGCGCAGCAATTAGAGTGCAGTACTGCAGGCCACTTTAGCTGACTGTGTTCAGCAGGTCAGCGGTTCAGATCTCACCGGCTCAAGGTTGACTCAGCCTTCCATCCTTCCGAGGTAGGTAAAATGAGGACCCAGATTGTTGGGGGCAATATAAATATATATATACATTGCTTACTGGTGTACACCGCTTAGAGAGTGCTTGCACTTAAAGCGGTATATAAGTCTCATAAATAAATAAAATAAATAAATAAATACTATTGTTCTTAACAAGACAATCCTGTATATATCAACAGAAAATAAGAATGAAAAAAACACATTTGGTTTTCATTGTAATGGAAATTACTTGTGTTGGAGGTGTTTGAATTGTTGGAGGTAAAAGATCTCCCCATATATACTGGCGAGCTTCATTTACTATCAAATCAATGAGATATTCTCCACCCCCATGCATGTGACATGCTTAAAATGCTACTGTAAAAAATCTTCACAGCAAATTGAATTGACCCTGAGTAACAACAGGAGAAAGCATTTTTCAGGATTCTTTCATTTCTTCCTCTTCTTGGATTGTTTTGCACTTGAGTTTAGGTTTTAGGTTTCTTTTATTTCACATTTATTATTTTTTATAAATACCTCAAGGTGGCAAATATACCTAATACCCCTTCCTTCTCCTGTTTTCCCCACAACAACAATCCTACTGTATGAGATGAGTTGGGCTGAGAATGTAACTGGCCCAAAGTCACTCAGCTGGCTTTCATACTTAAAGAGGAACTAGAACTCACAGTCCCTGGTTTCTAGCCTAGTGCCTTCACCACTAGACTAAACTTGATCTCTCACCTTGTCACGCTGGAAACGGAATTTATCTTTGTTCAAGATCATTTTCTGTACTTTCTACAAATGGCCTGCATAGCATGGATTATCTTTCAATCCATCTCTCTCTGATAGTCTTTGGCTGCCATACCAGACTGGGCAATCCATCAGTGAAGAGGTATGACTTGGTGGGTTCTAGGAAGTGTGCCTCCTTTGTCAAGGCCCCTATTTTATGGAACAGCTTCCCCTCTGAGATATGGACAGGTTTGACTTCTGGAAGGCCATAAAGACCTGGTGATTCCTCCAGACATTGAGGCCATGAAGTTAGCAGAATAAAGAATAACACAGCTCTGGTGCATATGTGGGTCTGCTTTTCAGATTGTTATTGAAATTTGAGTAAGGCAGTTCAACTAGATTTTTCTTTAATGGAATTGTGAGTTTGGTTTTGATTTATCTTTCTCCACCACCCAGAGTGCCTTTGGAGATAGGCAGATATATAAACACGCTGAATGAATGAATGAATGAATGAATGAATGAATGAATGAACGAACCAGAAAAGTGGGAGCAAGTTTAACGTTCTGACACTGTGCTCCTTGTTATCTACATAAACAAAAGGGGACTAAAAACTTGTTTCTATTCATACAACGACAGATGAAAATTCAACAAGCCAGCCTTTCGTTATCTCAAAGAATCTTCCTGTTTCCTGTTCTAAGCAAATGCCCCTCCTTACCCGATACATTGAGAGATCGATCCTCAGGGAATTGTGTAGCTGGTCCAGCAGTTTGACAAACCGTTCTTTCTGCAAAAAGAGAGAGCCCCAAAAGCAGGTAAATGAAGTTAAAATAGAGAGACTTTGAACCCCCTCCCTCCATGTCCCACCGTTGGTCTTGACCTTGTTCAGGCTTTGTCAAGTTAATATAATCAAGATTAAGAAGTCATTCTTGAACTTTAGGGCAGGGAATTGGTTGAATGATGCAGAGCTAAAAGACACCTACAAATAATCTTATTTGGCCTATCTTCTTTTGAACATTGGTTGGAAGAATCCTACTACCTCCCACACTTCCCTCCAAATTGCCCTTACCATCTTCTTTTCACGAGGAGTACTCCAGATTGAGACACAATTATAGTTTTGTTGCAGACTTACAGAGAAAGAGTAGGATGTCCACATTTTGGAGTAAATGGCAATCCACTGGAAATCCCAGTCCTTTCTTTATGGAATCCTGGTTTAGCTGCTTATGCCTTGATCCAAGAAATTGGATCTGTGAACTTGGCAAAACCTATGCATCGGATCTGCTTTTATCAGAGAACAAACCCACTTAACTATCTGACCTTAAAGATGCTGTTATAAATGCCCACTGCTACAGTAATAAGCTCTAGAACTTGGTTCTGGTTTTTGCAGAGAGAAAAAGGAAAATCAGATTTGATTCTTTAATCCAGGGATGGGTAAACTGTAGCCCCAAATTTCTTTTTTGCTATCTGGGACCCTAAGAAAGATTGCCCATTCTGGTCCTAATTTCCTATATCTAACTAGGATTGGTTCAACCTATTGGGGTGTATCAAGCAAGATTTCCTGATCAAGATGCTTCTGCCATCATTACTACCGCAGTTCCCAAAGATTCTTGAGCAAAGCAGAGGAGACAAGGGACTTAGCATTGGTGCGACATTGCATGCAAAGAGCAAAACAGTCCTGTAGAAAATAACCACCCCTTAGGGCACCCCAATCTTTCCCAATCCAATTACATGGGCTAACTCCCATCCTTTTAACTGCATTTCCCTGCCCCTCTTCTACAATTCCATCTCTGGCTTTCCAAGGCCTAGTCCTGGCTGATGTTCTGTTTCTTAATAGCACTGGGCACTCACAACTACACATGGTATGAAACGTTTGCCAAATTGCCAGGCTGATATCAAACAAACTCTCTCTTGGCTACCAGGCTACAGTCACATTTGCTATTCTTTTTAACATGGCACAGTGATATTAAGAAACCAGACCTATGCCTGCCATTAAGATAAGCAAGACTCATGTGGAGAAAAAAGTGTATGTTAGAATTGTGTTGTAAGTGTGTAGATGCTGACAGTTTTTGTATCAGGGATCTTTGTCAGTGGAATTTCACCCATGTACTACTTGGGGATCCCAAGGAACATTTTTAAATGTTATAAGGAAAGCAATTTTGATGCAACTGCATTCCCCTGCAGAAGTGTTATTTTTAGGTATGTTTCTCTGCTACAGATTTATTTTCTTATTATTCAATAAAACACATTTATAAGCTACTGGGGAAGGGAAAACCTAAATGCAAGAATTCAGGTAGTCCTCACTTAACAATCAAGATAGAATTATGAAAAGTCTTTGTGGTCATTAAATGGATCACCACGTGATCTAATGTGATTTGATGATCATTTTTACCACCATTATAAAGTGAGCTGCTGCAGACATTATGTGGTCGTTACATGAATCCATTCTACAAATGGGGATATTTTTTATCAGAAACTGACAAAAGCATTGCAAATCATTTTCATTTGAGTGTTGAATGCTGCAACTGGTCGTAAGTATAAGCAGGCTGCAAAGCACTCAAAATGCAATCACATAACTGTGGGAGTGTGGGACGGCACTTGTAACTTCAAGGATGAGTCATAAGTAACTTTTGGGGAGTTGGTTACAATGAATAGAACAGAACAGAATGGAATATTCTTTACTGACCAAGTGTGATAGGACACACAAGGAATTTGTCTCTGGTGCATAAGCTCTCAGTGTACATGGAAACAACAAAGTAATATGATCATAAGATACTAATTGGAGCAGGTAGTAGGGAAGATGAGAAGGATAATAATACTACAGCCCCACTACATGGATAAATATCCTTAGACATAAGACAGTGCTGTGGGAATTAGGTGTTCAGCAGAGTGATGGCACAAAGGAAAAAAACTACCGTATCTTGGTATCAAGTTGTTTTGGCATGCAATGCCCTATAACTGCATCCCAAGGGGAGGAGTTGAAACAATTTATGTACAGGATGAGAGGGGTCTGTAGATATTTTCTGAGGCCTCTTTCTGAGCTATGCAGTATACAGATCCTCAATGGAAAGAAGGCTGGTTGCAATTGTTGTTTTTTTCCTGCAGGCCTATCCGTTGAAGTCTGTACCTGTCCTGTTTGATTTCTGTGCCAAACCAGACAGCTACAGAAGTACAATGTTGAATGATGGTTAAGCAAGCAATTGTTAAATGAGGACTACCTGTACAGTGGCTGCATGATAAATCATTTTATGTAATGTTTGATTTGACACATAAGTATACTGCGGAGAATCAGTACAGTATAAGAGAAAAATAATCTTGATTCAACGGCGGGGCTTTCTGGCACAGTTTAAAATGATTTTTGTGTGTGTGGAAATTGCATTTGGATTTATTTTATGTGTCATTTTACTTATGAAAAATGATGAGGCTTAAATATATCACCTCAGATATACATATACTGTAAGTGTCCTGCAGTGACAAAACCTAAAGAAACTGAAACCTGAAGTAAATTATCCATGAAATTAGGACTGTAAAAAACAAAAACAAAACAAAAAGTTAGAGTAATAGACTCTTCAGGTATCAATTTCATTCAACAACTAAAACCAAAACATTTAAATGTACCAAAATAATAGCAACAATAATCAATAATTTTGCACCAGCTAAAGAACTGGCAGCTGTGATTTCGTGCTGTAGTGTATATAATAATATTTTCTAACTGCCTTTTTAAAGCAAAGATGTAGGAAGAAATTCAAACAGAGAGCATTTCAAAAGCATCTCAGATTTTAACTTCTTTCATTGGTTCAGAAACTGGCTCGGCTCAGCTTCTTAAATGAATCTGTTCCTTACTAGGCCTAGTGCTGGAAAATATGGACTAGCCAATGTCAACGGAAGCAGGGATCTCTGCAGAGGGGTCAAAAAAGTCAATATGGCAGCCCTGCCCTTGCAGCTGAAACCCAGCCTCTTTTTTACATGCATCACAACCGCCATCATCACTTTTTGGGAATTCCCTGCAGCGGACACCCTGACACACTAATCCAGTGATGGCGAACCTTTTAGAGACCGAGTGCCAAACTGCAACCCAAAACCCACTTATTTATCACAAAGTGCCAGGGCTGCATCAGCATTGTGGTACCCTCAGGGTGGGCAGGGGGCATGGCCCTCTGGGTGGGCGTGGTTGCAATGGTCACGGCAGACTGGATGAGCATGGCCAGAGCCAGTCCCTCACCATCCCGGGGGGGGGGGCAACGCAACTTGCTCGCTCACTTCCTGCCCTGTCGCTTCCAAACGCCATGTGCTTGCTAAATCTGGTGAACTCTGCTGGGGCAACGGTGCGAGTGCCACAGAGAGGGCTCTGAGTGCCACCTCTGGCACGCGTGCCGTAGGTTCACCACCACTGCACTAATCAATCATTTCATTTCAATGCCCTTGAGAAACTCCTCCTTGGATGAAATAATTAAGGAATTTTAAGGGAACCAGAATTGCTTTTGGAATATCTGACATGATGTCTTTACTCCATCTATAAATTATTATTATTTTTAGTGTTGTAAAGAATGTCTTTTGTGCATAGTGATGGTCTTGTGTGTGTCTGCTACAATCTCCATTGAAAAATATACAGCTACTTTCCTAAAGTCTCCTAACTGGCCCCTTATACTTGCTTCACAGCGCTCCCAAACTCCCTCTTCCCCCCCCAACCTGGTCTCTGCCATCATGCATTTCTGGTTCTCCCCTTCCAGGTCATTGTTCCCACCCCCTCCACCCCCCTCCTTCCCTCCCTCCTTCCTCCCCCACCCCTGTCCTGCCTCTTCCTCTAGCCCTAAGGCACAAGAGACAACGAGAAGCGATCCTTGCAAAAAAAAGAGCACAGATGCGCATCCGGCAAACATAGGCTCCGTAGCACGCCTTAGCACCGGCCACGGCACACAGAGGGTTAAAGCGACACAGTCTGGTTTTTTGGGGGGGAGGGAAACACCCAATTTTTAGGCTCTCTGAGAGGAAAAAAGAAGAAAGAAACAAGATTTGTACACAACCTAACATTTGCTTTATCAAAACAATACGACTTTTTGCAGCGGTGACTCAGACACATAAATGGAAAGAGGCCCACACAGACCTTAACCAGAGGACACAACTGGCTATATAAAGAAGCACATCCAGAGGCTTGTTAAGACACATCTCTGTCACAATGAAAAGAGGTCGGGTTCCCTTTCTTCCCACTCCATCCAAAATGTGCGAACTTCGTTGTTTGGGCTCGATTAATCCATAATACTGTAGTTTCAAGTTCAGTGACAGAAACTGTTGATTTAGAGCAAGCGTCTCCAAACTTGGCAACTTGAAGGCTTGTGGACTTTAACTGAGAATTCCCCAGCTAGCATGGCTGGCTGAGGACTTCTGGGAATTGAAATCCACAAGTCTTGAAGTTACCAAGTTTAGACACCCCTCATTCAGGGAGCATGACAAGGTCAGATGAAGCCATGAAGTTAGAAGCCACTGGCTTCAAACGGTGTGTGAACAAGCCTCTGTTAGCTGACTTTTTAAAAGTGCACAAGAGAGAGAAGATACATCTTAGAAACGCTGTTAAGGTAAAAAAAAAACATAATGGCATTTGTCATCTGAAAGAGACCACAGTTCAAGGTCACTTTCCCCAGGGCAAACGTGTAAGGACCTCACTGGATAAATCCACTGCCCCCCCCCCCACACACACACCAGAACCTACAAGTAGAGGGCCTAGTTGGGGTCCTAATCTTCTGAAGCAGGACTTCAGATGCAGAGTGGAAATCTGAACCCCTTTTGAGGGAAAGTTTACTCCTAGCTGCTCTGCTTTATAAAGGCTTTCTAGTTTTCAGATTACAAAGGTATATTACATCAAAGCTTATTAAAGCTATGTATCTGTAATCAAAGAATATGTGCTAGAGATGACATGAACTTGGCTTCACTGGACAACTGATGCCTCTTCTGATTGGCAGATGCTTCCCAAGAGCTCAGCCAAAGAGGGTCTTTTCAAAGACTTGGGAGATGTGAAGCCTCATGACCCAGTGGGTTAATAGAGAGGCAGCCATCTTGTCCAAGGCTGCAGTAGACATTGTGTATGTGTTTGTATTACTTTGCTCACATTATGCAGTTGTGGGGCCATAGTGTTCCATTGAATGGGCAGTAAGCAAACTCAACAAGCAAGAGTTGAGTGGACCAGCTTCAACCCTGTGCCTTCTAACTTAGCCTCCAGTCTGTAGACGTCGTGGAAGCTGCTCTGTTACCCACACTAAAGTGAGATTCGGCAGCCGTTCCATCTAGCTTCAGTGTGGGAGCATCCTGATCTTCAACAGAAGAATGTTTCACTGTAGGTTTGCTTCCAAGGGAGTCCTTTCAGGATGCCCTGGATTTACGCCTCTGAGTGTGGACCCTCAAGAACCACAACAATAACCCCAAACAGATTCATAATCCTTGTTGTGGTTGGCGGTGACCTTGATAAACAGCCAAGTCTTGGGAGAAAGAGATGAAGAAGCCAAACGAGTCTGGATGGCCACGTGCTGCCTGGAGAGTGTCACCACCTTCCAGATTATGAATCCAGGGTGATGACTGAGAAGCAGGAGCAGAAAGCTCCACCTTCAGCTTTCACAGAGAGCTTCTTCTCCCACTAGTTTGCTTTCTTGGAGAAGTCAACTACCATTTGTTCCACTACACCTACCTACTGAATAGGGAGTGAGGCAGGTGAAGAGGTGCAAAGAGATCTAGAAGTATGGTTTGGGGGCTTTCCCTTTTAAATCAGAGACGGGCCACTTGAGAGTCAGACGCAGCCCCCAGCATCCTATCTGCTTAACTGAAATTTAGGGGCATTTTATAGAGGGGAATGGGAAGACAAGGGCTCCCATGCCCTCTTTTAAAACTCTCTTAAGGTCCTGAAGTCAAGCAGAAGAAGCCCCAGCCCTTCTCAGGGCATCATCATCTGATCTTTGTTAATAAAACAAATATGACCCCGCCTCCAAAAATCATGTTGGCAGCCATGATGGTACAATCAAATCTCTGCCTGTTTGTGACCAGTTTGTGTGGATTTTAAAAATCTTTTCATTGGGAAATTCCACTCCTATTGAATATTGGAACTTCAGTTTGGGACAAATCTTTGCTTTTCTATGAGGGATAGAAGATAGCAAGGACAGGATCCTTCAAGGTTTAATTCTCCAGTTCATGACCTCACATTTTCCCATACCAAACCAGGCCCTGGAAGCCCTTCATTTATTAGGTGGCTATTTGCTAGTTTTTATAGTATTTCCAGACATCACTATTTTAGGGAAGTTACCCACAGAAGCTAGCCTATGGGGAGCTAAACTCCAAGAACAGTATGATTGCTCTGAGGGAACTGATCTCCAAAATGGCCTTGCTTTTTAAACATTTTAATTTGGGGGAGCTCAGCCGCATCTCTTTCAGATAACATCCTGTCACCATTTGAAAGCCTTCCTGGTTTAGTAGGTGGTTTATACATCTGTATATAAAAAGAGAAGGGCTCTCAGGACTGTGCAGATCACCAGTCTTAAAAAAAATCAATAAAGTCTTCTGCATTGTTAACCCACCTCTCAAACCCCAAGATTTCATTATCAAAATATGAAGTACGAATGGTTGCAAACCTTACTGTTAACCTCTAGAAGTTATGATTACTTCTTTCATTATGGAACACAAGGAGGCATGCAGAGAGATGTCTAAGCAATCTACCATCTGGCCTTCAGCGGAGTTCAGACATGCTTAGCTACAACTAGATGACTCCAAATCTTGCTGGCTGAAGAGCTTTCCAGGGGAGACCAAAGGCTGATCTAAGCCAGGACTGCCTGTTAGGGCTCCATCCAGGTGTTTCTGGAAAGCTTAACATCGGCATTTCTAGACTGATTGTTATTTTGACTTTCCAGTCTATGTGTGTAATGAGCTGTGAGAATAACCTCGAAAAGAACCAAAGCCAAGGCAACAGCCAGATAAGAGAAATCTGAGTCCAAATAGACTTAGGAATAGGAAAGTGTCCCAGAATTTACCTCACTACTTTGTTTATTTGTTTAATTTATATGCCACCCAGGGTGACATGGGTGGCTTACAATTACATTCTCTCTAGGATAAAGGTGGAGAGGGGGACACATTCAGAGTTGCAAGACTCTGTTAGTGTAATTCTATAATAAAGATAATTTAATAAAGTCCAGGTCTGGTCTTCTCTTGAAGGCTGACATCAGTCTTGTAACTCTGAATAGTTCTTCCTCGTGTTTCTCAAAGTTACTCTCACAATCCATTATAATACTATGTCCTGGAATATGCTGGTGGTCTTCCATTCACGTAGTAACCAGGTTTGGCATGGTTAGTGTTTTAAGATCAATAAAACTGGGCCAGCTAGTAGGATCCAAGTTCAGATTTTGTTCTCATTCCCAAAGCTTCCTAATATTCGGTCACTTTAGTGATTTTACAGTCCAGCCTGCCTTTCAGGATTCTTATAGGGATAATATGGGAAAAGGAAGCACATGTACTACTTTTTGCATCTTGGACAATGGGTTAAATAAATTGTTTGGAAAGAAAGGGAGAAGAGGAGAGGAGAAGGAGAAGGAGAAGGAGAAGGAGAAGAAGAAGAAGAAGGAGAGAGGAGAGGAGAGAACATTTGAGGAAAGGAGAGGAGAGGTAGGTAGGTAGGTAGGGAGGGAGGGAGGGAGGGAGGGAGGGAGGAAGGAAGGAAGGAAGGAAGGAAAGCTGCCCTAATTATTTGGAAGTCTAGAACCATTAAACCAGGGAGCTTTGACCTGGTTTCAGGTGTGACCACTGCTATGGAGGGCTCTAGGAAAAAGGCACCTCAGGATTGACTATATTTTTCAAGTAATCCCTCCTCTGCCAATTGTTTTCCCTATTAAACCCAGCCCTGTTTGAATTTGTTCTTGCTCACATTGAATCATAGTTTACCAACCTATGTGTTGACTTATGTAGGTTGGGCAAACGTGTTCTCTCTTTCCATTGGAGAGATATGTGCAGTGTAAATACCACCACCAACCCCTGGTACATCAAAGGATTCCCTAGAAATCATTTGATCAGGCTGTGAGGGTCCCCCCCCACACATAAAATTTCTTCTGGGGTTGAGTGAGTGGCTGCACACAAAGGATCAGGTGTCCTTTTTCACCAGGCTGCCCTCTCTGTCATCATGCACCCCCCCAGGAAAAAAGCAAAGAGTAAAAGTAAGAAATGAGTGTTCTACGCACCATCGGACTTACCCCGAAATTGGAAGCGGCAAAACGGTCAGAGGCAGAGACATTGGTGGAGGCAGTAGTATGCGCATAATAAGCATTAATGTTGGCCAATAAAGTACTCATTACAGCAGGCACCCCTGGGCACATATATTTTGAGGAAAGGCAGGCAAAGTGCCTGCAACATGGAAACAGAGAAAAGGGAAAGTTCAGGCAGTTTCTAAGCCAGGGAACAGTTTGGGATTGGTGGACTCGTATGGTATTTTAAGGAAATTTTGAGTTCACTGTTATAGAATTTTGGGTTCATTGTCGCAGAATAATTATTACTGTGCACTTAACCTTTTTGAGGTAAGCCAGGTCAGGAAACAGATATCACAAAGACTACTGGAATTTTATTTTTATTGTTATAGCATATAAAATCAGAATCCTGGAAGCTAACCATATTTTCATTTCCCTCCCCATTGTACCAAAGAGATTCAAGATGCAGTCAAGATTCTTTCTAACATGCCTTTCCAGTCCTAGGCTTAATTTATATTTCACTAATTGCCACATTACTTTTCCAAAATCACCTCCATTAGTTCTCTGCACTGGACTTACAGCCAATGCTGGTGTTGCTGTCTTTACATCTTTCTATTGTCTTTCTGCTCACAATTTTTGACCTTCAAGATCCCTGTAGAAGAGGGATGGGCAACTATGGCGCCCTTACGACCTGTGGACTTCAACTCCCAGAAGTTCTGAGCCAGCATAGTTCAAGAATTCTGGGAGTTGAAGTCCACAGGTCGTAAAGATGCCATAGTTGCCCACCACCCTTGCTGTAGAAAGATATCCAGCCAAATTGCCACCTGAGATTCTTTAATGAATATGCTTGGCCAACCTCCCCAAGTAATGATTCTCTATGTATATGAATTTTATCAACATTTTTTAAACAGGAAGGGTGCAGATGCACTGCCTTTGAATCGCTGGAATTCTGATGTTCTGGAGATCCAAGATAAATATACAATATGTCCTGAATTACAGATACTCACGTCATAGCCTGATAGATGGACTCCACTCCGTATCTCATAGCAAACTCATCCACAATCTCCTGGGCAGTTTCGTCAAAATATACTTTCCAAGCATCGTCCCCCTTTGCATCTGGGATTTTAACAACACCATTGTTTTGGATATCCGTCACAAAATGGAATAGGTTCTAAAAGCCATTTAGAAAAGGAATAAAATTAAATCAGAAGGCTCACATGACTGAGGTGGTCAAGAAAGGAGAGTGGTTTGTATTTGAAGTCAACAGAATGCTGCTATTTTTTTTTTGTTCAAAATTTTTTATTAGTTTATCAAAATATTAAATACAAAGAAAAATGGAAAATAAAAAGAAAGTAGGGAAGGAAAAAGAGAAGAGGAAAAAGTTTAGGAGAAAAGGGAGAAAAGAAAGAAAATCATTGACTTCTGATTTACAGCCTCATTTTTTTTACTTTTGCATAATAATACATAGTAGCCACTTTTATAACAACAAACCTATCTAACTAGCAAAACCCAAAGTCAAAGTTTCATTTTTTTCCACCTCAAGCACAAAGTCCAGAAGTGGTTTCCAAGTGGAAACAAAGTTAGCTGTATTCTTTTCTTTGATTATGACAGTCAATTTAGCCCCCTCTGCTAATTCCATCAGTTTTTCCAGCCAGTCATCCTTTGTGGGAATTAAAGTATTAACTTTAACTAATGTTGATATTATCTTGAGAAAAACTCAGCAAAACCATTGTGCTTAGATGTGTTAAAACTAGGCACCATATCCATAAGTAGACCTACTTTCCTTTGGAACAGAAATCATGCTTTATGGAATGAGAGGCGGGTTGTTTTTTTTTTAGCAAACACTTGCCAGGCTCTTTGGCAACTACTTAAAATGGAATGGCTTGCCTTCAGAAGTTATGGGTGCTTCATCACTGGAACTTTTTAAGAAAAGACGAGACAGCCATTTGTCCAGAATAGTATAGGATCTCCTGCCTGACCAGGGGACTGGACTAGAACAGGGGTCCCCAATACCCAGACCACTACTGGGCCATGGCCCATTCAGAACCAAGTCACGCAAGCAGTGGGTGAGCGTGCGTACATATGCAGGTCAACTAGTATAAGCTGCAGACACTTGCGCTGGCAGTCCCACTTCTATGAGTGGCGGGCGCATGTGCCTGCCACTCTCACAAATGGAGCTGTGTGTGCTCACACGTGCCCGCCTACCCCTCACACAGAATCATCCCTTCTCCCCCCCCCCCGGTGCCAGGGCAACAAGCCAGAAAGGTTGGGGACCGCTGGACCTCCAAGGTCGTTCTAATTCCATAGGTTTTTTCCTAACAGCCTTCCTGTGATCCTCTGAGAAGGCAGGTCAATTGACTGTCAGTAGGGAGTCTGCAACTGGCTGCTTTTTTGCTTATTTATTTATTTATTTATTTATTTATTCAATTTCTATAGCTGCCCATTTCAGTCCAGTTGACTCTTATATTATGGTCTCATGAATCTTTGTCAGTCTGGGAACCAACCATTACATGCCCAGTTCTATAGAAGGATGAGATGGTTTCATGCACTTCCCAGTATATTTGCATATAGGGCTGGGACCCATGCACCATACCACAAAAAGCAACCTCTGAATTGCTATGTGCCATTTCACTCACTTCATGAAGGCAGGTGTACTGCACATGGTAAGGTGCCACTTTCTCCTCTCCTTTGATCTCCACACTAATGTGCAGTCGGATAGCTCCGGATACAGCTGACTTATCTGTTCGCTTATCTGAAACAAGTATGGGATGGGAAGAGAAGAAGGGCATTTGGTGTTGCAGGATTGATGAGGGAAAGGGGATTTTTTTAAAAAAATGAAGTCTGAACAAATATCCCAGAATAAGCAAGAACATAAAGTGAATCCAGCTAATAGAGACAATACGGTCTGATGCCTTTAAAAGGCCTATAAAAATCGGAATACCAGCAATAGCTTCCCCTTCCTTGTAGATTTTAGGAGCAGTCAAATTGTTTCAAGCATTTATCCAGACTTACTTTAGTTCCATCTTTGGTCAAAGCAAATGATTCACTTCAATATTCTTCAGAGTAATTTGTCAATTTTCTTACTGAACTGCTAGAGCTGATAAGGATGTGTGTGTGTGTGTGTGTGTGTGTGTGTGTGCGTGCGTGTGTGTGTTTAACTGCAAGCCTGGCCTCCTTGAGCTTTTCATCTGGGAAGTCAATGGCCAACTACCAGAGCTAGATTTTGTATATCAGACTGAATATATTGCTAGTGTCGATACAATGAATAAATCTAGGTCTCTTTTTTGAAGAAGTGGTCGGCCTTCTTAGGGCTTACGGATGTTTATGACCCATTCAGATGGAAAGCTGCCCAAAATATGTCCCTGAGGCTGGATGACTGCTTACCCAGATTGTACCAGACATCCATTTCTCCACTCAGTGTCCGCACTTCAATGATTGTCTGACCCAGGAAGTCATCAGATTCTCTCTTGAAGCGCTGTTTTACCCTAGACTTGATGTCATCATCTTCATCCCATACCCGAACTTTAATTCGATCGGAGGAGTTATGACATTCACTGGTCGTGGCAGAAATTGGGAAAAGAGGTGAAGTAATAAATAAAAACTGTCACTATGAATGGAGACATAGATACTAAGGGAAGGGCAAGTGATTTAGTGACTCCTAGAACCTACAGGAAACCTTGTAATTACTAAGCCCATTACACATTTTCTTGCAAGATCTCTCTATCCTCAACATTAATTATATCCCTTCCTCTGTCCCTCCCTCTCTCCCTCCCTCCATTTATCTTCATTTTTAACTGCATATTTTAGTATTTTAATCAATGTTTCCTTTAATTAAAAATCCACTTACATTATGGAATTATATACATTATGAAGTTACCTTATTCATTAACTTGCCAGGTAAATTATTAATTTCTAACTGGAAGTAGAATTTTTAATTAATCTTTAATTTTGGGGAAAACAGGTGGTAACTGAGGGGATACTCTGGAGATCCACCAGCAGAGATGAAAAGGAGGGTCATCTACCTGCCATGCAAAAAAATTTACTACAATTATCAATCGTTACCTCTACTCTGTGGGCAGTGAGCCTTACACAAGCCTTCATTAAAGTAACTGGGAGGGGGGAAAAGATAAAAGCCCAAATTGGGGGTAGAAGGGAAATTTCCTTCAATCTTCTCTCTTGAGAAAATTCAGGAATGCTTCTCTGCCACAGATATTTAAAGCGACACCTAAACTGTCCATAATGTCTTGAATGACTCTCTCCAACAACTGTTATTATTAACTAAACATGTTTCAATTCCAGAAATAAGGCTCCAATCCCATATCCTTGGAAAAACAACTTTTTGATTTCTAGGAGCCAAAAGGGTCCTGACCTTACCTACTTCTAACTAATCATGGATTTTGGATTTTGGATTTTGATATTTGGTGCCTGCAGGCTACAATAAATATATTTCAGGTGTGGAAGAATGAAGGCTGTAGTAGCAGTTAGCTTGTATTTTCTGTTTCCTGCCTCAAAATCATGAGGCATATTTTGCGGTTAGGAAGGGGACAAGAAAGAATTTAGCACTGAAATGTAAACCCTTGCTCTGAGAATATAATCCACTGGGATCACATAAAAGATTTAAGCTTGGAAGTGTAAAAGTTAGAGCTAAGCAATCCTTGGGTGTCTACCTTGTGGGATAAATAAGATAGAAATCATAATCAGATAAACTATCAGGACAATGTTTGGAATGGAACACATTCTGCTGCTAAGGGATCTCAGATCCAATTCATGCAGGCTCTTAGCCTGCTGGTGTGAATTTGTGTGTCAGGTAAGGAGGTAGCAGGGCTTTTTTTTGTCATAGAACACCCGGAATGGAGTTCCGGCACTTTTTTTGGATGGAACTTTGTAGGGTATGAAGTGTGTGAGTTCTGGCACCTGTTTGTTTTTTTTTTTTTTTACAAAAAAAACACTGGGCGGTAGCATTCCCATTCAAAGGCCTTAGAGACAGATGCTTTATGATTCACTTACAAGTGGAAGTTTTCCTCCCAGACGGGGTTCAAATTTCCATATATGGTCTTTGTTCTCTTTTTGGTCTTTCCAACCTGGACGGTTACATAGGGGTCACTGGAGCCCGTTTTATCCTTGGCCTGCAGGCCTTGTGCACAAACAACTACAAATATATAAGCCACGCACAAGTTCCATATTGATTAGGTGGAAGGATACACATATACCAGACCCGTCCCCCCAAAGGAAAACAAAAGAAAACAATAAAGGCAACACATGAACAAAGAAAACAAATGAAAAAAAAGCTATGATTAGATAATAGGCATAAAAAGAATTTAGCACTTATTTTTCTTTTCTAGGTTGATTAGAATAAAAACAATGCATTTGCCCATTTGGGTGTGAAATGCTTTTTAAAAAATGTATGCCTTCAAATCAGTGTTTACTCCAACTGATTGCCTGAACTAACCCCTGCAGTATTCTTGGCAAGATTTCAAAAGTGGTTTCCCATTGCCTGCCCCACAGGGTGAAGAGAATGTCTAGCCCAAGGTCATCTAGCTGGCTTCATGCCCGAGGTGGAACTAGAACTCACAGTCTCCTGGTTTCTAGCCTTTTGCCTTAACCACATTGGCTCTTATATGAAAGATGGCTAGCCCTAAGTTATTGGTTTGATTCATATGCTACCTTTCAGATTAAACTGAGTACCAAGAACTTTAGGCAGCTGAAGCATTATTGAGCACTCCCCTAAAAATCACAGATCCCTTCCATCCCAAAATGTGAATAGGGGAAAATAGCTTTATATGCTTTTATATCTTGATCTTCCTCAACTTGGACCAAAATAAATTAAATATGGATGTCTCTATGGGCCATAATTGTCTCCAGAGATAGAAAGACAGTTGCTCAAGTTGACCTTAAACTTAGAAATTAATTCAAAGACAATTGTCCTTTAGTGTTCTCTTTTTTTCTGAATTTTCTAAAGCAGTTTTATGAATATCCAACAAAAAGCATACCAAAAAAGTCCATGGGGAAGAAAGAAAGTGCTCACCCAAATTCAAACACAAGGGGAGAAAAAAATCTACACAAGCGTAGTATAAAAGAGAAAGTTACTCGTACAAATGAATACATTAGAAGTGCATCAAATAATGTTTCGAAAATAACACATTGGAAGGCTTGCACTTCAAAAACTAAAAAAAATAAAGAGAACATCAAACGGATGTGGTAATAGGAGCAAAAAAAAAAAGGTTGGAAGGATTAGTACACCTGCATAGAAGAAATCTAGAAAGTTATCGGCATGGTACCTGTGATGCTGATCTTGGCCGACCACTTTGAAGTGCCATCCAGAACGCTCTGCTTGACTGCCTTCATCTGCTGGGTATGGGTGGTCTTGGAGACTGCAAAGATCTCCTGGATTAACTCAAAGATTTCTGGTTTATTCCTCTCTCGGATCTTCATACGGTCTTTCAGCACCATAATAATGTTCTGTGTGCGATCTTCTGCCCCATGTTTAGAACTTTTTTCTGCTGCCCCTGAGCACCAGAAGTAACACAGCTTTGATAATCTCACATGCACCAATCATGGTTATTATCATTATTGTTTATTATTTCTGTTGATAATATCACAGGTAGGCAAACTGTAAGATTCTAGAGATTCCTGCAACTGAACTATACTCCGAGAATTTCTCACTACTAGTCCCACTTGTTAGGAGTTGAAGTTCAGAGCATTGGAAATAATAATCATAATCATAATAGAGTTGGAAGGGACCTTGGAGGTCATCTAGTCCAACCCCCTGCTCAGGCAGGAAACCCTATACCATTTCAGACAAATGGCTGTCCAGTCTCTTCTTAAAAACTTCCAGTGTTAGAGCATTCACCGCTTCTGGAGGCAGGTTGTTCCACTGGTTAATTGTTCTAACTGTCACGAAGTTTCTCCTTAGTTCTAGGTTGCTTCTCTCCTTGATTAGTTTCCATCCGTTGCTTCTTGTCCTGCCTTCAGGCGCTTTGGGGGTAGCCCCTGAGATATTGGAACACTGCTATCATGTCCCCCTTCATCCTTCTCTTCATTAAACTAGATTGTTTAATGCCATAGGTTGCTTTTCTGTGTATAAGGAAATCCATTTCTATCTTTCATTTTGATAATGAATTGTACCATTTAACAAGAGAGAAAATAAATAACTGCATACAGCAAGTAAATAACTGTGTAATGGATTTCCACTCGATTTTAATTTGAAGATTTTATCTCTGACTCTATTAGTGCTTCACATATAGCTCTACCTTTTCCTTCCTTAAAGTGATTGTTATATGCTATAAAATTGGTGTTGCCTTTTAATGACTACGTAAATAGATATTCTCCATGATGCTCCATCTCTAACCTGGTTCTTTAGGTCTTCCAATAGTACATCCATCACCATACTAACCATGCCTATCTAACTTGCTACTGATCATCCTTGTCCCATTCTTTCCACCTTTCCCAGCATTCAAACCTTCTCCAGAGAGCTGGATATTTACGGACTGTATATCATAAGTAGAATAAATTGAACCTGGTCAGTGAGAACTCTGGGTTGATTTGTTTGATGATCCATTTGTTTATTTCCTTGGTGGTCCTCTGTATTCTCAGAAGTTTTTTCCCCAACACCAAAGCATCAATACTCTTTCTATCCTGCTTCCTCAAAGTCCAACTTTCATTTCTCTGTTGTGCCAAGAGAATACCATTACCTGCCCTATTCTGACCTTTCTGGTATAGACACATCATGGCATCTGTGGCCTATTTCTTACTACCTGTTCCTTTCTTCTGGATGGTTGATCCTAAGAGGTGGGAGCTATCTATCACTTAAATATCTTCACTGTTAATTCTAAGGTTGTTTGTTGTGCCTATTGTCATTAATTTGGCCTTCTTTATGTTTTAGTCCCATCTTTTCATTGGGTTCCTTGACTTTTATTACTAGAGCTTGCAGAACCTTTGCATTTTTGATGCAAAATATTACCATCAGCTGCTTTCAAACTGTGGTGTGAGAGAAGACTCTTCAGAATCCCTTGGACTGCAAGGAGATGGAATCAGTCAATCCTAAAGAAAATCAACCCTGACTGTTCTTTGGAAAGAGAGATATTGACATTGAAGCGCAAATACTTTGGCCTCCTAATGAAAAGAGAGCACTCAGTTGAAAAGACCCTAATGTTGAGAAAGATGGAAGGCAAAAGGAGAAGGGAACAACAGAGGATAAGATGGTTAGAAAGTGTCATCAATGGAACGAACATGAATTTAGGCAAACTCCAGGAGAGAGGGAAGGACAGGGGGGGCTGGCGGTGCTATGGTCCCTGAGGTGACAAAGAGTTGGACACGACTTAGTGACTGAACAACAACAACAACAAATTACCATCAACATAGCATAAGTTCCTGATATTTCTTCCCCCAATTTTTGTTTCAAACAGCACCCCTTTCCTTCTGTCCCCAAAATCACCATGCAAGGGGATCCTCACTTTGCAAGCAGTCGGCGTTGAGCAGGTCTTGGCACTTTTCATGACATTTCACTCCACACTCGGTACACCGCATTCCTTGGCGTGCAATGCCCCAGAGCAGACCCTCACACTCATAACAATAGGTGGGAGTGGTGGCAGTCCACACCTCAAAATTATGGGGGGTTGTACAAGAGATAGGATAGATTAAGGCTTGGAGGGTCTTCTTGTAAACATGGTTTTTCTGTGTGGAAAAAAATAGAGAGTGTACAAATTGGAACAAGAAAGGCAAATGAATTAATATTTCTTGTCAGTAGTGGCTAAATATGATGGCCTTTCCCTGCTTATCCTGGCAGCATCTTTTTGGTTGCTTGTTCTAGCAAGAGCCCTCTGTTACAACCATACTTCCTTGCCATATGTTCTATGATCAGAAAAAAAGAGTAGGCAAGATTTTTTTTTCTTAAGGTCAAGTTTCTCTTGGGCTAATCTTTTGGAAACTACTTGCTGATAAAGGGCAGAGCATTATATACAGAGTAGGGGCCACAACTGGCTGACATCACTCCTCTTTCTGACACTTTCTTTCCCTACTGCTTGAGATTTCCTTTTCTTTTTCTGTCCCAAAGGTACTTTTTTTTTCTTTGAAGATGTCTTGCTTCTCATCCAGGAAGCTTCTTTAGTTCAGCTTTTTGGATGAGAAGTGAAACGTCTTCAGGGAAAAATCAAAGTCCAGTTGCTTTTTGAAAAAAACAGCTTTGGGACCACCATGACCTGGATGACTGAGAATCTCCATAGATATTTACTTTTCCTTTCTGACTTCCTTTTGTTCTCATGCAACATGCTGCCAGACAGCAGAAAAACAGTGCCTTCCATAGTTCAGATTTTTTGCAGAGAAATTTAGGACTTAAGGATCCAGGACTGTGGAAGGCCTTGGGCTAAGATTTTCCAGCCTCTAACTTTCCTGGAGATGTCAAGGACTGAGGTATGGTTTGAGATCATGCATGCCGAAAGATTATCCTTCTGCTAGTTTCTATTTATCTAATTTTAGTAGATAAAAAGGATTTTTAAAAAAAAGCAAAGGGAGAAGTTAGGTCCCAGGTCTAGGTTAACAAGAGAAGTAATATAGGTCTCCATGGCCCTTGATTAAAAATTGGAATCTACAGAAAGCTAGAAAAGGTCCAGATAAATATGCAGAAGACTTTTGCTTCAAGAATCTGTCTTTAAGGAATATGTAAACCAATCTATCTAGAAAATTAGATTAGAATTTTAATTTTACTTTTCCTGCCTCTGCCTGCTATTGAACTTTTATTTATCTCTGATATTGATGATTCTTTGTAGAAGCTCAGCAACTTGTGCTTTCTCTGATTAATGGGTGGGGTCAATGTTCTTGCTTTACTCTGGGGCCCTTCTCCAAATCATATTATCCTTTTCTGCATGGATGCATTTAATTAAGGAAGTTATATCTTATCTTTCCTTCAGCTGCTTAAGACAGTATCAGTACATTGTCTCCAATCCCCCATCCCAATAACCCAACTAGGTAGTCTGGACTGAGAGAAAATGACTGCCCCACTTAAGGAGCTTCCTTAATTGAGGGTGGACTTCAACCTACTGTAAGGTCAATGGTCTTACTCCAACATCTTAACCACTGCATCACACTTCACTCTTAATACAGTCCATCCAATAGGTCACTGATGGCGAACCTTTTAGAGACCCAGTGCCCAAACTGCAACCCAAAACCCATTTATTTATCACCGGGTGTCGGGTGGGCGTGGCCGCAGTGATCATGGCAGACTGGGTGGGCAGGGCCAGGGTGGTGGGGGCCAGTCCCTCACTATCTCTGGGGCACGGTACGTGTGCCCACAGAGAGGGCTCTGAGTGCCGCCTCTGGCACCTGTGCCATAGGTTCACCACCACTGCAATAGGTCAATAAGGCAGCTGCTTCATGTCCTGCCCTGTTTCTGTTTGACTTCAATGGATCATTGTGCTTTCTTTGTGGAATGGTGCATATGATGAAAACTTCTGGAGTTGAAGTAAGGCCCCTCCTTATTATAACTTAGGAGGGGGCTAACACCTATTCACCCAGGCCTTTTAATGTTCAACTGTTTTGCATTACAAGTTTAATGTTTATTGTTTGGTGTTTTATATTTCTTGTTTCTAACACAATTTAATTATACTTCTATAAGCCAACCAGAGTTGTTAAGCAAATGTTCAGGATATCCATTTCCTAAAGGTTCTAAGTAAATAATTAAAAGGCACTTGGGACACTTACTAGCTCTTCATTGTTTAAAGTGCTTGATGCAAGTGCTGACGTAATACCAGCTTTCCTGGACTGGACTAAGGACTGTTGGGAAGAAGCATAAAGAATAATTAATCAAAGTAATAAAGACTATGCACATTCTCGTTCATGAATGATCTGGATGTATCTTCATAATTGCTATTCCCTTTAGAGGCAAATAAAATATTTGTAAATAGAATCTTATGTTTTGTATTTTAAAAAAAGTCTTAGGGGTCAAAATTCATTATGAATTTTGAATCCAGCAAAAGAATCCAAAATAGCAGTCATCCCTAAATTTTAGCAGATGTGTGAACTGGGAATGCATTTACAAAGAATAAATATTAAAAAAAAGAATACTCACCATAGCCTGTAAAGTATTGGAGGATGAAAAAAGCACAAGAAGAGAGGAAAGAAGTTAATATGATGCAAAACACACAAACAAACCCCAGACTTTTCTTTCAGACCTTTCCTATGATAAGCAAAATGGCACAAGATTATTTAAAGTTTTGGGAAACTCATAATTCTTTTCCTCTATCAGAGATAGGGAGCCAGTGGTCTGTGTCTCTAGGGCAGGGGTGTCAAACTCAATTTCATTGAGGGCCGCATCAGCATTGCGGTTGCCCTTGGTGGGTGTGGCCATGGTGGGTGCAGTCTACTGGGTGGGCGTGGATAGAGTGGGTGTGGCCTACTGGGTGGGCATGGCCAGCTCTACATTGTTCACGTCAAGGGTGCCTGTGGGGGCTTGGGCAGGAGTGGGACAGATCTGAGGGTCTCTGGCAGAAGGGGAAGGGACCGGGGCAAGCGCCAAGGCATGGTGCATTTCTTCATTCCTCACAAAGGGTGACATCTCCCCAGCATGCACCCAGGGGGCGGGGCCAACGCGGCAGGAGCTGGTTCCTCATTGTTTCTGGACGGCCTTGTGGAGCTAAAACTGAATGCATTTCAGCATAGATGGCCACCACAAAATTGTACATTGGCTCCCAGCCGGCCTGGGCCAGGGCCAAGGCAGCGGGGGCCGTTCCCTCACTGTTTCCAGGATGGCTTCGCGGACCACATGAAACCACTTCACGGGCCACATCCGGCCCCCGGGCCTTGTGTTTCACATGTCTGCTCTAGGGAATTCCTAATGGTTTATCTCTCATCAGCTTCAGCCAATGGAGTCCATTGAAATGGTGTGACTTGGAATTCAAAAACAGCTTTAAATCCACAAGTTTCCATTCCAATCCAATGTCTATTAAATCCACTTTCTCCAATCTTGGGTCCTCTAGATGTGGTGAGACTTCAGAAGTTTCAACACATTTGAGGGTCATCATGTTGAGGAGAACCCCATGAGTTTTTACTTGATTTTAGACTTCATGTCCATATTCCCTCTTAATCCCACTCCACCTTCTCCACTCACCAACATCAGCACTCTTTTAGTATGTCCCTTAGTTGTTTGGTGGCAAAACAATTCCTACAAACTCATCAAATTCCTAGAGTATAAATAAATAATGCCTATTATGCCATAATACATTTCTTCATATCAAAAGTATACTGTCCATAATACATAAGTCTATCTATAATCCATTGGCTGTTCAAAGTGCTGTTCCAACCCACATGCAAAGTTTGGGACTTGTAAATGCTTCAGTATCCCCCCTCCCCCTATTGCAAAAGACACAAAAGAAGCTACATTATCAAAGAGAAGGAGCAGAAGCTCAGGCAGAAGACAGACAAAGGAAGGAGAATAAAATCCAGATGTTGCAAGCAAGAAGTTAGTAAGAGACAGGCAAGCAAAGGTGCAGGGGTGAGGGGAATCAAACCTGTGGGTGATGGAGACCTATATCATACTAGAACTTAGCTTTCAAGGATTCCTAAACTTTTAATTTAAAACCTACTTGAAACTAATTTTATTTTTCCCTATGTTTTTTTTCTATAAAACTATAATTCCTGAACTTCTTAATGTGACTTGTAAAGCATCCCATCTAGGCTTTCTAGTACCTTTTAGAGGCCTTAGATAATAAGTCTTGGGAACTGTATTTCTGCTTGGGACTTAGAATTAAGAATTCTATCAGACTTTGTGTTTATACTTAGATATAATTCCAAGTATCCTTGATGACATTTGATCACTCTGATCATTCTCCAACTAAGGAGCTTTGGAATCTGAAGAACTTTGGAGCTCTTCACAATCACATATATAAATTTAGTATAAATATAAAGCAATAATTTCCAGCGAAATTCAAGGGAGTTGCTCAAGGAAACATTAGGAAGCCCTGAATGTCACAGACTCACATTCCAAGGACTTTTTTCACTGAATTGATCACACTAATAATAGTTCTTATCAACTTATTGATAAGAACTTTCTGGATTTGCAAAATTTGAATACTTTGTAACATAGAAGTTGTAATATACTGTACACAAAACTGTTGTCCCCAGAATTTCTTGAGTGCAGAAGTTAGCAAAGGGTAGCAACTAGGCCGAAAGATTTTAAGAACTGCATTCTATACAAATTGCTTGTTTACATATCTCAGAATTGAGTGATCTCACAAAGCTTTGTGCAATGGACCACCAGAATTGAACTTTCGAGGAAGAAACTGAGAATGATATTAGGAAATCTCTAGGCACATTTTGTGATCTACAACCATTATTAGGTCTCTTTGTTAGAGTTGGGGGTAGTAAAGCTAAAAGAAAGACAAGTTATTATCTTTTAAAATATATTAAACTTGGTTCTATTTTTAGTATATCAAATATTGTCTATGTCATTTCTCCCCCATCTAGTGCCCTTCAGATATTTTGGACCACAATTCAGATCATCCTTGCCTGGGATTGATGAGAGTTGTAGTCCAAACAGTTGGGAGGGATCACAAGATGGAAGGTTGACCTGAGTTTTTTGTTGTTCTCCAGGCTGAAAGTCAGGAATTGCTCAACACTGTCCCATAAGGCAAGTGATGTCATTGCAGCTTCTCCACTCAGAATCAACTACCTCCTGTTGCTGGTTTCTCTTGGTCTCCTTTCCTGAGGAATCAGGAAACACACAGAGGGTTTCCTGCTTTAATAGCACAATGTTAAAAGAACGAGATTTATCTAAGCTTTGTTGTCCTTGGGTTTTTGAATATGCTCTTTTCCTAGCTGCTGAGTACAGCACTTCATATGGGCAGAGGACACTATTATCCTCTCTTCTTTCTGAAGATTCTGGGGCCCTAACCCGGTTCATTTATTTACCACTGAAGTATGGTTGCTTTTGGCTAACGAATTTATCTTTCCAATATTCTCCACACTAAAATTTTAGTTCACCAGTCCTGCTGAGACAGTTTACCTGAAGAATCTCCTTCAAAGGTAAGTTCTCACTGAACTATGCCTTCCCCGAAAGGCTGATGGTTAAGGGAAGCTGTCAATAAGGGAAGCATACAAGGAAAAGTGCAAGAAATGTGGTGGGTTGAAGGGTAGGCCTCACACAACAGGAAGAGTTGTCTCTTGGGAATAGTGAGGTTTGGGAGTGTGGTGTTAGGAGGAAGGAGACAAAACTGGAAAATTAAAATGCAGGAAGACATTTGGTGTTCTGTGTTGGACAAGGATTTTGTAGAGCATTGGTTAAATCAGGCATTTGCAACCGGTTGTTATTGGGATCCTGGGTTCAGGGGAAGAGGAATCCTGGGTGGATGGGTGGGGGTGTTTCTCCCTTTCACCTCGTTCTCACCAGATCGCTGATCACTAGCGGAAGAGATTTACGTCCAGCCATAATGTCGGGCATGCTGTTAATGCAGTGCAGAAACTTTACTGCGGCTCCCCTGAGAGAGAATGCACCCACAACAGCATCAGCAAGCAGAAGATGGAAGAGAAATAAAACAAGCTTTATTAGCGAAGCGAAGCAGAGGCAACTGAATAAGCTGCAGTGCATGCTGGACCCAGAGTAATGGAGGGTGTGATCTTTCTTTCCTTGCCAATCCTGTTTCCAGGTTTTGTTATGAGCTACATTTTAGGGCAGAAAGGGGATCGTGAAAATTGCGGCAGCAGTTATTATTTTACTGGTTTTCTTCTACGGCTTTGGATTTTAAAGGAATTAAAAGTTATTCTTTGTTATCATTTGAGAACTGGTGCAATGCAATGGCTAGAGACACATTTCCACGGCATGATTTTAGAGCTTGTAGTCTGGTGAAGAGATCTTGCCCTGGGACAACTTACCGTGGTCAGCTTGCTGCGAGACAACTCGCCATGGGACAAGAGTTACACTAGGCTCAAAGAAACATTGGAATAGAACAGTGGTTCTCAACCTGTGGGTCAGGACCCCATTTGGGGTTGAACGACCAGTTCATGGGGGTCGCCAAACAGTGCAGTCCGCCATTTTCCCCCCCTTTTCCTTAGCTGTGCTACTCCCTTTTATTCTGTTGACTTTTGAAAGCCAATAGAATAGACTCTCTTGAATAGAGTCTAATTCTATTGGCTTTCAAAAGCCAATAGGAATTGTCCAGGCTGTCTCTGCCCTGCTGAGCCTGCCAAAAGTCCCATTCTGCAAACGGTGCTGCACCAGTTGAGTAGTCCTCGACTTACGACCGGTTGAGTAGTCCTCGACTTACGACCGGTTGGGGGGTCGCGGCATTAAAAAGGTTGAGAACCACTGGAATAGAACCATTGAAGAAAGGTTGCCAAAGGAGGGACAAAATGAAATGTGGATGACAAAAATGAAAATAATTTTTAATTATTTCAAATCGTTAAATTGAATCGTTGAATTGTCCTGCAGCGAATTGCCCCACGGCGAGCTGGCTGCGATGAGTTGCCCCATTCTGCCACAAGAGGCAGCATCTGGTTGACTGTATGTCATTGGGAAATTAGGTAGGGTTGAACCTGGTTAGTACTTGGATGGGAGACTTCAGAGAATCCCATAGCAGTAGCCTTGACAGGAAGCAAGAAAAAAGGCCATAACCATTTTTGTATTGCTGCCAAATGAATGATATGATTGTGCCCGTGAAGTCACCAGCAGCCAATCTGGATCTGAAGGAGACTTTCTTCTTTACCAGTGTTTCTCAACCTCAATCCTGGCAGATTTAAGATATGTGGACTTTAACTTTAAAATATGTCAATGTCTATTAAATATCTATTAATAAAGTTATTAATATTTAAATATCTATTGATATTTATTAATATCTGTTAATAACTATGATATATGTCCCCACGCTGGCTGGGGAATTCTGAGAGTTCAACTCTGGGAGTTGGTCCACGTATCAACGTTGTCTATGCTAAATTATTGTATTCCAAATAGGATTTACCCAAAGGCTATATTGCTGCTGCTAGGTTCAGTTAATTACAGTGTTTCTCAACCTTGATAATTTTAAGGCATGTGGACTTCAACTCCCAGAATTCCACAGCCAGCAATGCTGGCTGTGGAATTCTGGGAGTTGAAGTCCACATGCCTTAAAATTGTCAAGGTTGAGAAACACTGAGTTATGAAGCAGTGGAACGAGTCTTACTCATTCAAATACTTTCTTGATTCCAACCCAAAATCTCACAAAGGGTTTTGGAGGGCACTAGGCTTGCGATGGCTGATACAGGTTTTGCAAATGAAAAGGTTCATCCGTCTCTCTATATCAGGGGTCTTCAAACGTGGCCCTTTTATGACTTGTGGATTTCAACTCCCAGAATTCCTCAGCCAGGCAGGCTGGCTGAGGAATTCTGGGAGTTGAAGTCCACAAGTCATAAAAGGGCCAAGTCTGAAGACCCCAGCTCTATATAAAGAGAGAGATCTTACCACGGTAGTCAACCCCTGTCTGCCTTCCCATCACTCTCCTCTCTCAACTTGGGAAGTGGGACACCAATGAAATCAAACAATGAATCAGTCAAATGAGGCTACTTAAGACATTTCCAGTTTCAAGAGAATTTGCAGCAGGGAACTTTTCAATTTACTGCCTCAGCCAAAGATTACACCAGATTTCAGATTACAAAAGACTGAGTTCAAGGACTTAAATCTATGTGATCACATTCATCCTTCCATTAGCTGGCTCCAGAGACACATTTAATGAAATTCCTGCTGTTCCAGAGCAGATAAAGCCAGCAGCTGCTGGAGAGAGAGAGAGAAAAGAAAGATGTTAGAAGAAGAAACCTCACCAAATCGCTAACTAGGGGTATGGGTTTTCTTTTGCGAATGTCAGGCATACTATCAATTATGATCAACCCGCCACCAGGCCTGGAGAAGAGACAAAAACAGTCAGATCATACAGGAGGACAGCTGAAGGAAGGGTGAAGGAAATTTGAAATAAGGTTAGGATAGGGAAGCAGAAAAGGGAGAGGAAGGGGAGGCATCAAAAGATGAGCCAGTGGAAGTACCGTATATGCCGGCGTATAAGACGACTTCTGGAAGCGCTAAACTCGGCGCCAAAGACGGGGGTCGTCTTATACGCCAAGTCGTCTTATATGCCGGAAATACTGGTAGTTTCCAGCATATAAGACGACGTTCTAGGAATGCGGCTCGGCGATAAAGACGGGGATCATCTTATACGCCGGGTCGCCTAATACGCCGGCATATACGGGTATTTGGATAGGCACATGCACAAGGCTGAGCATTGCCCTGGAGGTCTCTATGTTTATTCGGTACTTGGAAGAGGATGGGGTGGGAGGAGAGAATTCTGATGTTGTCCCTTGCCAAATGATGGACTTCCTTATGGAAATCTGGTAATACAATGGCTGATTTTAGAGACACTTAAACAAAGAGGGCAACATCATTTTCCAATGTCCCAGCACCCTTTTACGTCATGGCTGTGTCTTCTCAAATCAAAATTGAAAAGAGTACAAAACCTTGCACAACTTGCCAAAGACAGGAGAATTGTGCCCTTTTCCGCAATACTTTTGGGTGAACAAGAGCCGAGGTGGCGCAGCAGTTAGGGTGCAGTACTTCAGGCCACTTTAGCTGACTGTGTTCAGCAGGTCAGCGGTTCAAATCTCACCGGCTCAAGGTTGACTCAGCCTTCCATCCTTCCGGGGTAGGTAAAATGAGGACCCAGATTGTTGGGGGCAATGTAAATATATATATATATATATATATATATATATATATATATATATATATATATATATATATATAGGTCTTTGGTTGTTCGGGTTTTCTCCCGCGTAAAATTGGAAGTGTCTTGGCAACGTTTCGACGAAGTCACATTCGTCATCTTCAGGCTGGTGTTTTTAGCTTCTTGCTTTGAGCAGCAATGTGTGGTTTTAGCTGTTTCTTCCTTTTAACTGCCAGTGAGGGTATGAACTGATTGGATGGGAGCTTGGCTGTGTTCTGATTGGGTGGAGGTGTGTTCTGAATGGTTAGGGGCTTGGCTGTGCTCTGATTGGCTGGGGGAGTGTTCTGTTTGGTTGTGCTCAGGTTAGTCTGAGTTGCAGAGGGGTTTAAGATTTTGGGGTTAGGGAGTCGTTTGTCAATAAGGGCAGGTTTCCAAATGGCTGGTAGGAAACCTGCCCTTATTGACAAACGACTCCCTAACCCCAAAATCTTAAACCCCTCTGCAACTCAGACTAACCTGAGCACAACCAAACAGAACACTCCCCCAGCCAATCAGAGCACAGCCAAGCCCCTAACCATTCAGAACACACCTCCACCCAATCAGAACACAGCCAAGCTCCCATCCAATCAGTTCATACCCTCACTGGCAGTTAAAAGGAAGAAACAGCTAAAACCACACATTGCTGCTCAAAGCAAGAAGCTAAAAACACCAGCCTGAAGATGACGAATGTGACTTCGTCGAAACGTTGCCAAGACACTTCCAATTTTACGCGGGAGAAAACCCGAACAACCAAAGACCTATATATATATATATATATATATATATATATATATATATATATATATATATATATATACATACATTGCTTACTGGTGTACACCGCTTAGAGAGTACTCGCACATAAAGCGGTATATAAGTCTCATAAATAAAATAAAATAAATAAATAATAAATAAATAATACTGTAAAAAATATTGACTTGCAAGTATTGAGTAGTAAGAATATGGGGAATCTTAGTTCAAATACTTTTGTTCCAAAGCAGAAATCATGATGTCTTCTTTCAGAGAAGTATTCCCCCATTTTGGAGGTCAGGTTTGTACTGACACATAGGTACTTTAGTAGTCACAAGATTGACAGTGAATGCCAGAGTTGAATGAGATGTCAATCTATTCTTTCAAGAAGTATACATTTGCATACTTCTATGCACAGACTGTATTTACATCCCAGATACAAAGCCGCCTATGATCCTGAATGTTTTGGATTTTGTTTGGGGATGAGGGCTGTAAGGATCAACTCTGGGATATCAAATTTGACAAATTTTATCAGCAGAAATAAAAAGAGAAACCCCCCCCAATCTGTCAGAACATAAGAATAGCATGCTAATTAGACCAAGGGCTATCTAGTCCAGTGCCCAGGTTCAAATAATGGACAACAATCAGATACTTCTGGGGTGGTCCCAGGTTCTCTGGCTGGAGTTTTCCCATAACTGCAGCATTTTTTCATCTGGAGGTTTATGATTCAACAGGGTAATTATTCATGACTTGGTCTAAGGACCTTTTGAAAACAGCTTAAGTGAGAGGCCATTACTGGCTGTGATTGGTAGACCCTCAAATTATTGATGGATTATATGAAAAAGGAATTCTATTTTCTATTTATTGCCCAACAACTTGACAATATCATTGGTCATGAGAGAAGGAAAAAATATTCCTTTTCGATACTCTGCATAGTTTTATACATATTCACAATACTTCGTGCCTAACTTAATCATATTCTTTTAATTAGAGTTTAATTTTTGATTTCTTTTCAATGTTTAAACTACATTGTGCCCAAGCTGAAGGAACCAGGAAATTACATTTTAGCGCTCAGAATTTTGAAAAATTACTGTTTTTTGAAATCTGTCTTTTACTATTGAAGTAAATCTTGCCATTTTAACTTCAAAAGAAAAATATCAAAGTCTTGCTAAATGTATGGCCATAAATGTTACTAAATGCTTTTCCATTTGTCAAATCCTGCCAAAAACTGACTGTTATTGCGTGCTATATGTTAGATCTAATGTAATCTTTAACTGCTGGATGTCAATTCTTGTGATAAGTACTGAGCATTACAGTAATGTCATCTATGAAATACTGTCAGATAAGGAGATCTGCATATCAGATCTGGTTAAATGGAAACTATTCTAACTCCCTGTTTGTTAAAATCAATTGTTATGTTCTGCAAAATCTTTGCAGAGGGAGACTACATTTTACCGCTATCTGCCATCTGAATGTGCAGATGAGAGGTGGTTACTGATGGCTTTTGGGGGGATTCAGGGGAGGACATTTTTTTTCTCTTTAGTAATACAAAAGATCTATTCGTTCTTCTTGTCTCCACCAGCAGTGAGTCAGAGAGGAAGTTATGGGAAGATAAGGAGAACTGAGAGGCTGCTTCTCAACGTGGAAGTAAAGTCATAGAACAGTGATGGTGAACCTTTTAGAGACCCAGTGCCCAAACTGCAACCCAAAACTGGGTGCCAGGTGGGCGTGGCCGCGGTGGTCATGGCAGACTGGGTGGGCGGGGCCAGGAAGGTGGAGGCCAATCCCTTGCCATCTCCGGGGCATGGCATGCATGCCCACAGAGAGGGCTCTGAGTGCCGCCTCTGGCACGCGTGCCATAGGTTCACCACCACTGTCATAGAACATAGAAACCTAGGGGTGGAAGGGACCTTGGAGGTCTTCTAGTCCAACCCCCTGCTTATATCATCCCAGACAAATGGTTGTCTAAACTCTTCTTGAAAGCTTCTAGCAATGTTCTTTAGTACCTACTTGGAAGGGAGCAGTGTTGAGAACAACCTGCAAGAGAACCTTTGAAAACGGCAATCTACAAGTCATTTGAAGAATGTTTCATTTTTACCCCATTCTCCAGGACTGGAACTCACCCGCCTTTAAACCAGAGGGATTTGGATTCTCCAGAGCCTTCGCCTCGAGCCTGAAAAAAACAGAAAGTGATGAATTTAGCTGAGACTTTGCTGTGACTTGTTGCAACCAAAGATTCTGGTCCACAACTTTTTTTTGCGAACCAATGTGCTCTTGTTGTTGCTATCGGTAGTGGTAGTAATAGTAATAGTAGTAGTTTTGGATTAAAGTGCTACACCACCCCATGCTATTCCACCAAATTTGAATACCCTAGTAGCAGCAGCCAAACAGGAGCAGCCAAACAGGAGGTCTAACACAGAGGTCCCCAACCTTTTGAGCATCAGGGACTGGTTCCGTGGAGAGAGGTTCTTCTGCGGACCAGAGGGGGTGTAGTTTTGTGTGCTGCCTGCATCCCGCGGATGGGCCTCTGTTTATGCGGCCCGGTTGCTGGCATGCCACAGCCCGGTCCTGATCCATGGACTGGGGGTTGGAGACCCCTGACTTAGTGCCATTGTAAGAATGCTTGCTAAATGAATGGTTGTAAGTCAAGGGCTATCTGTATAGAAAGCTCTTGTCTATAGATCAAACAAATCACATTTCTCAAAGAGGTCCCACATATGTCCACGATTTCACAAGGGATACCTGCCTCTTGGAGTTGCATGCAGACTTTGTTGAATGCCCGTAACCAGTTGGCTTTTGCTCGTGCTTTGGGGTCTACCACTTCAACTTCTTCCTTCACCCTGTAACCAGAATGAAAGGTCAAGTGCAAAGTCCAGCATCTGATCCTTGGCTGAGAATTTACAGGAAAACAGCTCTATCAAACTGCTTTCTCTGAAATAATTTCACCCTATTTTTTAGTAACTTTTTAGTTCTACATCATGAAATAACTTCACGTTGTATTTAAGAACCCAAAGAATATTGTTCAAGGGAGGTCAGCCAGCAGAAAGGTGTTTCCCTCTAAATCAGGATCCTTAAAGTGATCAATATTAAATCCCTTCCCCCAATAATTGTTGTAACTATTCAAAGGGCCAATAAATGTCTCGGAATCAATAGGTGGTTGAAAAATTATGGAAGTGTTTGAAATGATGGATGATTGGGGTCAGTTAATCTTTTGGGCCTCTGTAGTGCTAATCCTGAAGCCCCTAGTCCTGAAGATGAGGTCAATATCATCAATTTCAGTAATAAAAATATATCTTATATTTTTCATATTTTAAATGTTGCCTAGTTTTATGAAGTCATTATTGTTCATAGTACTATTATTTAAAGTAATATTTATTAAATTATGTTCATATAATAAAAGTTTGGGGGTTGATAAACAGTCTGAAACTTCATGAAGGAGTCAATGAGCTAAAAAGTTTGGGGACTTTGATCTAAGTGTTAGATGCAGACTCTACACTACCCACCTAAGGATCCGCGGATTAAAAGCAGGGCCTCAATGTTCTCTGTCCACTTTTAATTATGAAATTAACTTATTCTGAATTATGAAATTAATTTATTCTGAGTCTAAAGTTTCAGGACTAATTTGAAAAAAGTTCTCTTAGAGGGAACAGATGCATCTTGAGATTTTTAGAAGTTGATCTGTGTTTTGGCAACTTTTATGCCACAGGTTATATGTTAGAGTAGATAAATGTAGGCCACTGCCAAGTTCAGAGATCATAGAACAGCACACTACTGTATTAATCCCAGCATCACTTACTCCTGGCACTTAGCAACTGAATGGCAACTGGATTTAAGGATCCACAATTTTATTTGTCATATTGTCCCCTATATAATGTTGTTCCAGTAAACTATGGGAAATTTATTAGCATTCCCCATCAGGAATTTAATTTGAGGTAGGCAATAAACTGGCCAAGTTGTGAATCAAAAGAAATTACTTTGGTTGGTAAAAACCAAAATATTGTTATGAACTCCAGATTTCTTTAAATTGAGTTCACCAAATGCCAAATGTGATTTAGTTTAAGGAAGGATAACTTGATGCACACCAGGGCAAAACCTCCTACCTTCGCATATACATGGGGTCTGAGATAGCCATCACTAATCAAGAGAAAGATCTTGAAGTCATAGTAGATAGCTCACTGAGGATATCAACTTAGCTTGCAACAGCAGTGAAAAGGGGGAATTGCATGCTAAAACTGTCAATACATTAATACTCTTATGCAAATCTCAAATATATCTCAGCAGTGTCCGGGAAGGGGTAAAAAATGTCAAGGTGTCAGTCAAAACTATGCAGATGAAGCACTGTTCTTTTGTATGTGCATATACACATATGATCAGGCTTGACCCCACGTTGATTTAATTCAGGATGATCAAAACTCTTCTGAGGACTTCCAGTTCCAGATTGCAGCGCCTCTAGCCGTACAAAGAGACTTGTCCCCTCATTGGCTAGCTTCCCTCCACTGGTAGACCCTTATGCAGGTCAAAAGTCGCCCTGGAGGGTGCGACTTCTGTCGAGGAGGCTTTGCTGGACTGCGGAGGAGCGGCGGCTCCTCCAGCTGTCCGAGCTATCTCTGAGGGCCAACGGAGAAGAAGATTGCCCAGTAAAATGGCCAATCACCCTGCCGCTTCAAACCACAAGTCAAAGAACATCTAAGCTGTAAGAACCCCTGTGGTGAATCCGGGTGAGACTTTTCCTTGCTACTCTCTCTACTCTATCTTGTTTTTTTGTGCCTGTAAGAGCCTTGTTGGAATTATTTCCTTGGCTTGAAAAAGCAGCTTCTACATGTTTGGGAAGAAAGACGTTCTATAAAAATAGAACAAAATTTTAAAGACTATATTTTATTTCCATATTTTGGGGGGGGTACAGAAAAAATCTTTTTTTTTCTCTTTCTAAGAACTGTACTATCATCTTATGCTGGAAGATTATTTCTTTTTTCACATTATACTTTAAAAGACAGAAAAAAGGAAATGGTGTCTGGAAAAGATCTTTTTCTAACCTACTGAGGACATCTAGTGGTGAAAACTTAATACTGCAACTTCTGGTTACTCTTTGAAGATGGAATAGACCTGACCTTCAAATTGTTTTTGAAGAGAAAAGATAAGCTGTGGGAATTGTGGGGATGGACACTGCCTAACATTTATTAAATATAGCCTCCACAAAAAAAGAGACTCTTTTTAATTACTATCAAAATGGAGAAACCTCAGTTACAATTAAATTGTAAACTTATATTGGAAAAGATTTATGAGGCTACTGCAGAAATAATGCTACAATGAAAAAGTTTACTATAGAATTAAGATCCAGAAATCTCACTTCAAACATTCAAACTGATGTCCAGACTACATCTGACTATTCTATAAATTATAACATATTAGAAGAGGAATCAACAGAGATAAAAGAGGAACTTATTCTATCTTATAAACTTTCCATCTGTAACTTTGAGGAACAGAAGAAGCAAAGACTGAGATTTGAAACTACAAAACAACGATGCTTTAAGGATGAGAGAAATAGATGCCTAATACAGAGGATGAGACTTCTATCCTTTCAAAGGCTACTGCAAGCAACAAAAATAGATCTACTGGCTGAAAGGGAAGCTTGGTTATGGAAACTTGCCTGGCACAGAAAAAAAGCCAGAATCAGACCGAAAAGAGAAATTTAAAATTGTGTAATGGATTAAAAGGCAATGTTGGATTTATGGACTGTTTTAAGGATTAAGATTTAGAGTTAGAAGTAAGAAAAAGAATATAGGAGGGTGATTATTAGAACAGATATTTTAAATAGATTAAGAATGTACTTTTTGGAATAATAGGTTTATTTTGCTGAAAATTATTATATATTGGAATTGAAAAAATGTTGGCTTTTTAGATCTGCATGGTTTCAATAATTAACTGAGTATTTTAAATTAGTAAGATGCCCTTTCTGTATGATAACATAGATGTGATAAGGCATGATAACCAATTGGATGAAATTTGAATTTTGTTTGATGAATTGAAATGATTTAAGGTTTAACATTATTTTGTTATTTTAATGAGATTGATCGATTGTGGGATTATATGTATAGGGTAGATTAATGTTTTATTTTAATTAGGATATCTATTGTGTAGTGAAAGAAAAAATAAATGAGATTGGTGATAAAATGAGGGATATGAGAGATTAAGAATTAGAATATATTTGGAAGGGATACCTGAATTGATAACTTGTTGATTTAAAGTTAAATTTGATTGTGGTAATTGTAAACTGACAAAGTTTTAAAACAGGTTTAGCAGTAATAGAAATTTAAATTAGAAATGGAATATTTTAAATGTATTATGCTATTTGAGGGAAATAGAGAGGGGGCAGTGAATGTATTGAGTTGAGTTGTTTATATATGTTTTCACTTTTGAATGTTTGATTACCCAAACACCACAGTGTGTCCTGGGTACTTTTTCTTAAGAATTAAAAAAAAAGTGTTTTAAAAAAAACTCTTCTGAGGATCATTTATTGCACACACTGATTGTTTGCCGCTGAATATATTGCGGAGATATATGATTAGGGTTTGTCTGTTACTTACATTTTAATTGATTTATCTTTACTGTGGATGTTTTATGTATATATTATTGAGTACTTACCAGGGGTGCTTTATGAATTATTCACTATGGAAGTTTTATTTGACAACTGTCAGCCATCGGGAATCTTATGGAATTCAGTAGTACAAATGAATGAATCAATCAATTAAAACTATCTAAACTAGTGGCCATCACCACATCTTGTGGCAGTAATTTAACTATAAACTGAGGAGGTACTTTGGGGGGCAAAGGGGAGATCATCTAAATCTCCACCTATCTACTGTGGTTGGATGACCCCATTTCTAGAGGTGACAACTAAGGCACAACATAGAATGACATAGTATGAGTGGAATGGAAGAAGGGAACAGGGAGGACTTTCCCCTACTCCTTTCAAAACACTGGGATTAGCTTTATTTTCATTTTAATCTCCCGCACTTCCCCAGTATGATGCTATACCAGGGACACTGTAGGTGACTAAAATGGTGTTTCGGGCTCCCTGAATGGAGCATGATGGATGTACATTCGTGTTGCCAAAGGGACCCATGAAGAGCAATGGCTCTCTCAGACTCAAAGCTGCCCAACACATGAGCGAGACTGACCTAGGCAGACGAGGAAACTCCAGCTTTTACCAGTTCCAACAATAAAGAACCTCTTACTTCTCTTCTGTCTTGGGGGGCTCTTCCTGGGGGGTCTCCTCCACAACTGGGAGCTCTGCTGCTGGTTGTTCCTCCTGAAGGACAGTTGGAACCTCGTCCACCTTCTCCTCTTTCTGGACCTGCTGTTGCAACCTCGGTGGCGCCTGCTGCTGCAGCTGTGGCTGCTTCTGCTGCATGGGTGGCAGCTGTGGCTTCTGTAGCTGTTGTGGCTGCTGGGACTGTGGCTTCTGCTGCCCCTGAGGAGGCAGTTTTTGCTGCAATGGCTGCTGCCTCTGTTGCACTTGCGGCACTGGCTGGGCCTGTTGCAGTGGTTTCTGTAGCGGCGGTTGGGCTTGGGCCTGCTGGGGTGGCTTCTGCTGGAGCTGCTGTTGGGCCTGTTGGGGCGGCTTCTGCTGGAGCTGCTGTTGGGCCTGCTGGGGTGACTTCTGCTGGAGCTGCTGTTGGGCCTGCTGGGGTGGCTTCTGCTGGGACAGGGCAAATGGCGTGGCTGGCTGGACCTGTGGGGTCTTCGGCTGTGGCTCTTGCTGCTGCACATAAACCTCCTTGGGGTAGGACTCAAGATCAGCGTCGGCCGCCTTGCCCTCAGGGTAGTACTCTTCATTCTCACTATACTCTTCATTGAACTCATCCTCCTCCAGGTACAAGTCATCCTCTTCTTCGTCCCAGTGCGGGGAGTCCTTCTGATAACTCACAGAGCTGTGGCAAGAGTGGTAGGAGTCGCCGTCCCGCTCGTCCAGGCTGACGTCATCAGGGTCAAATTCGTCACTCAGCTGCGAACTACCCTGGCTCAGCTCAGCCGAGGAGGCGTAGCGGCTGCTCCCAGTGGGGCTGTAGGGATGGGCAGGGGTTGGGGAAGGGACGGAAAAGTAGAGGCAGAAGCCAAGGAGAAAAAGATACATGGAGTCTTATAAATGAACTTAAAGAGAACCCGGTGCAGTTAGCTCACTCGAGCCAATCCTCACATTTATTTCTCTACAGCAGGGATCTTCAAACTTGGCCCTTTTATGACTTGTGGACTTGAACTCCCAGAATTCCTCAGCCAGGCACACTGGTTAAGGAATTCTGGGAGTTGAAGTCACAAGTCATAAAAGGGCCAAGTTTGAAGACCCCTGCTCTACAAGTCGACATAGCACAACTTACTGAGTGTCATCTATCTCTCTATTCCACATACCCCCCCCCCCAAAATAATAATTGAAATTTAGATCTATACTGGCCTTCCTAACATCCCAAAGACTCTGAATGGTTCTAAGCAAGAGGGTAATCAACATTACAGGGTTGCATCCTTGCTCAGATTACATTTCCAAATATGTCCCATTCTGGGCCTCACTTCAATAATCTCTCCTAAAGAGTTACGGAACTGTAATCTCATCAGGGGGCTGTGAATTTCTTCATGTGAGATCTCTAGATTACTTTTAGATCTGGGCAGTTCCGTTCATTGGTGGCCATGAGAACTACTAACAAGCATTATTAGAAGGCATCTGCTTAGTAAAATGACAGATTAGGGATCATGTGTGCCCCATAGGCATTAAATATAAGCAAATGCTTATATTTAGAGTGTTCTATAGATCAGCCCAACATAAAGTTTAGGAATTTTCAATTCTATGTAACTCCAAGCTTAACATGCAACTGCATGTAATCCACTTCTAGCTATTAACAGAGTAAAGTACATGCTTTTGCAATCAGTTCCAACTCTGGTCATACCATTGTGCTGATATTCAGTGCCAGGGGATGAAGGTAAGTTGATAGTGTCTTAGTCCACCACTCTCCTTCAGTTACTTCCACTCACTGAATAATCATCAAACTGGCTAGTCCTTAATTAGAGTCATTCCTCCATGTACAAACTGGAGAACAATTTGTACCAGTTAGCCTGACTATTTTACAATGCCCAGAATTCATTTTCTGCCAGTTTCACAGATTCAGCCAAGCCACCAGAGCAATCAGTCACAAAAAAAGAGACAGCAGCCATAGACACAGAAACATAGAACAATAAACACCAGTCTGCTCTTTCAATGATTCAGTTCTTTTATAGATAGCACTGGATGATAAAGCCAAATAAAGTTTATACCTGCTGCTAGTAAAATGGGAGAGAGAAAATAGGTAAGAATAGGGAAAAAGTATACACCTTTCTAATCAGTGGTCCATACATGAGCATTTATACATACACACATACACAGAGGCCCTCTGTGACAGAATTATCAGGTAGCCCTCGACTTAGAACTTTATTTGAGCTGAGAATTATGGTCATAAGTTGTTATGGTCATTATGCAGGTAGCCATGATACTACACCCTATTTTATCACTTTTTTGTGATGGTTGTTAAGCAAATCTGTTTTCTGCATTGGGTGTTTTTGGCCAGAAACCATTGAAAATAATGGTCACATTGTGTGGACTACAACTCCCAGAATTCCTCAGCCAGCAATTGCTGGCGGGAGAATTTCTGGAGTTGAAGTCCACAAAGCTTAAAGTGGCCAAGGTTGAAACACACTGATCTTAGAGGCAACACATGTGATATAATATTGGACATGGGCGAACTAAAATATTGTCCCCCGTTTATTGTTCTTATTTGTATCTGATAAACCGGGGTGTTCCAGAACCATGATTTAAAGTCCAAATAGGTCAAAGAGTGGCAAATACATTTATATGTATTTATGAAAGAAAATACTAAGCCGCCTCACTCTGTTTCCAATATAAAATGCCCCCCTCTCCAGTGAAGGAGTGTTTAATGCTATTACCTTGATTTCCCGCCCCACCCCAGGTTTGCACTCCTATTCAGTGTTTCAAAAAGGAAGTCCAATTAGCTTTATGGAAGGGTACAGGTAGTCCTCGACTTCCTATCACAATTGGGACCCAAATTTCTGTTGCTAAGCAAGACAGGTGTTAAGTGAGTCACACCCGATTTTACAACCTTTTTGCCACGGTTATTAAGTAAATCATTGCAGTTGTTCAGTGAATCACAAGGTTGTTAAGTGAATCCAGCTTCCCCACCATTGACTTTGTCATTAGCTGGGAAGGTCACAAATAGCGAGATGCTGCAACCGTCATAAATACACGCCATTTGGTAAGCAACTAAATTTTGATCCTGTAACCATGAGGATGTTGCAACGATCATAAGTGTGAGGATGTAAGCCAATTTTCAGTGCTATTGCAACTTCAAACGGTCACTAAAGAAATGGTTGTAATTCGAGGACGACCTATACCAAAGGGGCATTGATGTGTTTTATGGAAATGCGTTGTGTTTCTACTTCTGTGATATATCTGCTCTTGTGTGCAAGGCTGAAATAAAATTTTGATTTCATTCTTCCGAATCAACACATACATACACACACATACATAGACTGTACCTCTTGATCAAATGTATTCATGATGTGTCTAAATGAAGTGGATGAGGCCTAAGGTGGGGGTGGGGGATGTATCCCTTCAGACAGCCTTGGCAATTCCCATCCGCTTAAAAATACAGACCCCTTCATACAGGTTACTAGCATTTCAAGGAGAAAAGAATCAAACCTATTCTCTGGAATGACACTCATACACAGTTTGCACTTATCAGTGTTGATCTTCTAAAAGTCTGTGGAGATTCTCAATCATCCCGGTCGTGGTTGTCCCGAAGGTGCTTTTCAAAAGGTAACTAGACTTTCTTGGTTTTTGTCCTTAAAAAACATTTCGCTTCTCATCCAAGAAGCTTTTTCAAGTCTTCTGAAGGAAGACTGAGGTCTTCTAAGAGGAGCTCCTCTCTTCCCCTGACTGAATCAGACTTGCTCTTCACACATTCTCAAAATATAGAGTAGCAAATTACTACTAGAAGAAAGGGATATAAGGATCAGAGAGGGGGCACAGAAAGAACAAAGGGACAGCTGGATTCACTGTAGGGACAGATAGCTTTAAATCCCAGAAGTTACATTATGGCAGACTGACCAGACTGTCTCTGAGCAAGCACAGAGGCTTACGGGAAGCACATGCAGACACGATATGGGACATACCTGGATTAGACCGAAACCACATTTCCGGCATTGGCAATGGGGGAGGGACCAAGGAAGGCAGACTCACCAAAGAATGTGAATGCCCATTTATTCAACTTTTCGCCTGGTAGAGAAAGGCAGCTAGTCTCAAAGGTTTGATTGCAATTTTGAAGTCTTAGATGGAGGCAGTGCAGCCAATTGCCTTATGAATCTGCACTTCTGTTTTTAAATTTCTGGGATGTTATCAAATGAGGGGATACAGGTATAGCTTGCACAATGTTCAATTCCTCTGCGTATTTCCCTCTTCTCTCAGTCAATGGTAAAACACTGCAAAGTAGTTGGGATCAATCACAGGTTAGAAAAGGTATAGGACCTCCAGCTTGAGCAGGGGGTTGTACTAGAAGGCCTCCAAGGCCCCTTCCAACTCTGTTATTCCAAAGAAGGTCTAGGAGAACGGCTGTAAACATTCCTGGATGATCACAACTCCTGGCTCAGAATCATGGCTAGTGCCACACTTGAAAACCAGAAGAGCACATTGCCAAGATGGGAACCTCCAATCAGGTTTTCGTAATGCATGTCAGGTTGGCTCTCTCATCTACAACTAATGAAATGTAATTGCTAATATATTATGGCCAAATACACCATATTATGGTTTGTTGCAAAGGCCCGGTTCTCACAATATGCTGAGACAATGGATGTGTTTTTCCTGAACACACTGAATGTACAGGCTTTCCAACTCCATTTTAGCCAGCTTAAACACATTGTGCAAACTCGGTGTACCTGCTGATTTCAGAAGTCACACAGCAACGGAAAATGGAAGTGGTGTTGAAAGGGGAATCCACTCAGATGGATCCTCAGATTCTGGCTTTGCATCTGAAGCTTTGATCAGGGAGGGCAAACTGGTTACGGAAGACAGCAGTTTTAGACTAACTCACCATCCCTAGTAAGCAGGCAGTTACCCATGGCTGCTGGGAGTCATAGGAGCTGTATCCAAGTGGATTGGAGAAAGGGAAAATCTGCACCAGACTGTTTCCTTTTTAAAGCAGATGATACTGCACAAACTCATCTCCTTTAGCCTTCTTTATGTTACAATTGCCTGTTAAGAAAATCTTCCCAGAAGAGTTACAAAGTGTGTGCTGGGCGCACGTGTATGTGTGTGCATGTTCGTGCATGTGTGAATTCCACTGAGAACTAGTTAAAGGAAGTTCAAGCACTAGCAAAATCTTGACTTCAAATTCAACCTTGTTTGGGAAAAGAAAAATATTGCAGGGGGCGGAATGGGAACAGGAAAGGAGTCGTAGCAGCAGCCAATGCTGGATAGATGCTAATGGCCTAATCCAGTTTGCAAAAACCAAGAACCACGCGACTCTGCAAAAGGTACACAGCAGAAAAACAAGAGAAAGACCCACCTATCAGATAGGTCTAGGGAGCGCCTGCTCTCGAGCGAGGGCTGGCGGCTTGTGTGCCTGCTTGACCCGGAAGCAGACTCAGCGTCGCTGTGCCCATTTGCGGCAGAATCTACACTACCAAAACGTCTGCCAGGGAGGGGAAGAGGAAAAGGGTCAGCATATAAAATGGCAGAGAGAAAAGACCCCCCCCCCTCCTGTCCTGGGCATTTGAAAGGGAGCAGAAGGAGAGAGCAAAACACAAATTTGCTAGCTACGAACTAAGAGACAAGGAGGTGGGTTTCTATCTGAAACCTGTTTTTTGTTCAGATAGAATATATCCAGGCCAACCTCTGCAACTCAGTGCACTCCACTTAGGCTGCATCGTAGCTCTCATCATTCAGAGCCAGTTTGGTAACAATGGTAACAATGGTGTGGAATAATTGGAGTTTGCTTGAAGAATGCTGGCCTGGAACTATTCAAAGGGTAGACCTGGCATTGGGGAAAAGAGAAGGCTGTTCTGAAATACAGAAAACAATGTTGAACTGGGATGGTTGCAAGTCATTCCAACCCCCATACCCAGCAACCAACCATGATTTTCTCAAAGAAATAAAATAAATCTATTATCAAAGTTAGCTGCCAAGAGAGTGGCCCCTAAAGGCCCCATGATTTGCAAAGGACACGAAAAATCACATTGACAGCATTGTAAAAATGCTAGCCTATGATGAATGATTAATGGCCAACAGAAGATTTGGGGAATGGAATGTAGGGTTTTTTCCCCCTTTATTTAAGCAAATGATTACTCTTAAGGCAAACAGCAATTAGGAGACTGGCTGCTATCCCCTCCTCTGCAGTCAAGGCAACTAATTTTTGTGGAGTGGTCTCAGGATTTCTAGTCCCCAGGCTAGGCATCCTAGCCAAGTTTTAAATTCTTCCTTCTCACTTTGTATACGCAGAGGGTCCTTGGCAAGATTCTCCCCATACATTCTAATGTGCATGAACTAACACCAAGCTGGAGGAGAAGAAATAGCTAAGGATATTAAAGCCAATTGCGCTGCAGGGGAAAGGTCTGTTTGTTAACTATCGTTTGGAATTTGGCTCGGGATCCATTGCAATGTTTCAGCTCTTGAACAATGTCAGTAATGAATGGAGCTGATTATGTCAATTCTTTGGCCCTCGCTCCATTCTAAATATGCCTCCCCAATTCAATGGGAGCTGTCAAAAGACCTTGAGTATTGGGGCTATTACCAAGGACAGATGGAAATGGAACTTTTGTACTCTGCTATATACCTCTCAGTAAACCAGAGGCAGAGATCAAGAGCAAAGGAACTATTTTTTTATGTTTGTTACAGGTAGTCCTTAACTTACAACCATTTGTTTAGAGATCATTTGAACTTACAATGGCACTGAAGAATGTGACTTATAATTGGTCCTCATACTTCTAACCATTGCAGTGTCCCTGTGGTCACCTGATTGTAATTCGGGCACTTGGGAACGGGAAGGTATTTAGGATGATCGCCATTTGTAAACCTTTCCAACTGGCTTCTGACAAGCAAAGTCAGTAAGATGTCCAACAGGGGGAAATTGCGGGTCATGATCACATGATGTCTCATTTAATGGTCGTGGCTAAAAGGGCTGTGAAAATTGGCTGCGGTCATGTGACACTTTCCAGTCCCAATTGTGGTTGTAAGTTGTGAACTACCTGTATGAACATATGTCGGGTGTACTGTGTTTGAGACAGAAGGTTGGACTTGATGGTCTGTTGCTTTATGTCTACCATGACATATCATGCTCTTTTCCCATTTTATAACCTTTTAGAGCAGTAGAGGCGAACCTATGGCACGGGTGCCAGAGGTGGCACTTGGAGCCCTTTCTGTGGGCATACGTGTCATTGCCCCAGCTTTGCCTCCCCCCATGACCCCCTCCTCTCCAGCAGCCCCCCTGAAGGAGAGTCACCCCCGAGTGTGGCCCACACATGGAGCAGCGCAGTCAAGGACATGGCAGCCAGGCAGCATAGACAAGATTCTGCCCTCACACCCCATCATGCAGTTGATGCTGCAGGGCGTGGGCAGAGGGTGTGGCCGCCATAGCGCTGCTGGGCTACCTGGGCGATCCGCGGCGGGCCCTGGAGGCGGTGAGTGGTCCTGTGGGCAGGCGGGGCAGGGGATGGGGGGGCAGAGCAGGGGCAGACCAGGGAGGTGGAGTGAGGGCAGGGCCAGTTTTTGGGCCCTCGGTCTCTAAAAGGTTTGCCATCACTGTTCTAGGGGAAGGACAAGAAACCCTTCCCTACCAGTCATAGATACTTTTTCCAACAGTTCCAGGCTGCATCCACTCTACCTGATTGGCCGATGGTTAGAATAGTCCATCTCATAACCCTGCATAGAATCTGTATAGGAGTCTCGGGATACTCGCTGTTGATGGCGTATGGGGTACTGGTGGACCGAAGCATTGGGCTGGGAGGTTGTATAGTAAGGGGGTGGGATGCTGTTGCTGGTCTCACTGCGGTAGTCACTGTCCCGGTCATCCACGGTGCTGTCAGGGTCATCATCTGTAAAAAGGGATCCAATACCATTCATGATATAGAATCACAATGGACAAAACTTTCATGATTAGAATGGGATATGTGAACATTCTTTACATGCGAGGGACATGGGAGCACATGTGTGTACATCTGTGTGTGTTGGCAAGGATCTATATTTAGAAATTTAAAGTGTCCACATGCATAAGTGCCAAAAGGATGCAGTGTTCTGACGTGATAGAGAATAACAGAAAAGGGTCTCAGTTGAAGAGCAGGAAAATTGGTGGTTTCCAGAGGACAGGGATATTTGATAACTGAAAAAAAAAGTAGGGAACAGAGAAAGCGATAAATGGACAAATAGAGTATGAAGGCATCTCACAAGCTGGTTGAAGAAATTTAGAAACAATATAAGGGCCTCCCCAAGCTGGTACCCATCAGATCTAGTGGATTTTAACTCCCACAATGTTCAGCTTGGATGGGCATTTTGGGAGTTGAAGTCCAAACTATAATACATTCAGAGAACATGATCTTGGAGAAAGAAAAGAAAGAAAAGAAAGTCACATGATTGTTTAAAATAGGTGGGTCAGGAAGCTGTTTACAAAGGTCACAGTATAGCATGAATTTCCTTGCCACAGGTGTAAGTAGGATGGAGTGGAGAGAGAAAGAAAGGGCATGGGGAATGTACATTGGGGGTGCAGGTTGGAGGCTGAATGTTTCCTTGGCATGCAAACCTACTTCTGCATTCAGATATTGTTTCTTGACCTTGCTACATCTGTAAGCAAGCCAGAACATGATGCATTGCATAACTATCCATAGTTCCTCTCTACTTTTCTCTCACTGCTGGTTGATTTTTCAGTTTCCTATAAATGATCCTGATCATTCTTCAATGATCCTTCTTTTTAAGATCTAAATCAGGGGTGTCCAACTTTGGCAACTTTAAGACTTGTGGACTTCAGCTTGCAGAATTTCCCAGCCAGCATAGTCCACAAGTCTTAAAGTTGCTAAGGTTGGACACCCCTGCTCTAAATCAATAATCCAATTAAAGCTTACATATATTACAAGCTGAACCTTTAACCTTTTTAAAAAAGAAAGTTGATGTCAGTGTAGAAAAACCACCTTCCCTGGCATTTTGGGCAGCCCTTGTGAAAATGTTTTCATTAATTAACTTTCCTCCACTCTCAGTGGTTGCCCCAAGTGATATTATTTTACAGCCAAATTAATTGGCTATAAGATCTGAACAGTCCTTCTATGCCCTATGTGATTCCTGATTGGAAGGGATTAGCTTTCAAATTGGTCCAAGGAGAATGAAATGCAAGCTAAAAGAGTGCCAAACATGCATATTTTTAAAATAAAAAATAAGTGCTCTCCCAAAGTAACACCTGTCCCATATGGTCCTTATAGAGATCACAAACTAAGATATCAACTTGGCCATGCTCAATCAAACAATATACATTGGAATGGAAGTGGACAGGAACATAACCCCACCTCAAGAATTATGGTAAGCCATCTCTTTTTCACTCTAAGTGCCATCTCACTGGTTGGATTCACAAATGGACTAAACAAAATTCCTCTCATATTATTTATTTATATCCCATCTTTATTATTTTTACAAATAACTCAAGGCAGTGAACATATCCAACATACCTTCTCCCTATTTTTCTCACAACAACAATGCTGTGAGGTGAGTGGGGTTGAGAGAGAGTGACTGGCCCAAGATCACCCAGCTGGCTTTCATGGCTATACCCCCCTCCTCAATAAACATGACTGAAAAAAAGGCCGAGTTCCCACAACTTAGCTACAATGGTCCCAAGCTGTTTTAGCTTAGTCTACTATGAGGTATAATCTCAACCCAGCTGACCATATAACACTCTGAGCCTGGTTTCTGAATTAATTCATTTTCTAGGTTCACATTATACAGTCAACTATAAGCTTACCAAGCAGACTTAGGTTGCATGACAACCTAAGTCACAAATAAAAGTAACACTGTGGAATCCTTAGTGCTCTCTGAGTTTGGCTGTGTGTGCTTGTAGATGTTTCATTACCCAGCTAGGTAACATCACTAGTGCTAGTGAGTGTGGGGTATGTTCCCTGTTATATAAAGAGGTTTGGCTTGCCAGTGTTGGTGTGGGTGCTGTTTTCTCCTTGGTAATTTCTTAATTAGGTTAGTTCCTTGATTAGTTAAAAATAACTATTTAATATGTTGTGTAGATGTACCTCCTACATTTTTATCATATGTTATGTGAATATAACTGTATATCTGAAAGAGAGTGTTTGACCATGACCACATATTTTAATAAATTTATCTGGAAAAAAAATAGTGCTACTTAGCTGGCATTGTCAGAATGACTAAGCATGTACACAAAACACAATAATGTATTTTTGGGTGGACGTCACAATTAGTTAAAAAAGGGTAGATCACACAACTATACCCACCCATTTGATGCCTGGCATTTAATGAATGGTTGGACTGTTCTTCTATTAAAACATTGTGTTAGAGTCTGTGAGAACATTTTATCTGTGGTCATCCCTTGACATTACAAAACATCTCTTAAACAATGAGCAGCCTCAAAATAATGGGTGGATACAAGTTAAGGAAAAGTACTGAGTTCATCCAATACAGTTAAAGAGTATATATATTTGCATATCAGACAAGACTCAAATTAATATAGCAAATGGATTAATGCCATTAATCAATCAATTAACTAATTTGAAAAATGTTGGCTAAAGCTAGTTCTGGTTTCCAGGCACCAATAGTTTTTAGCTACAGACAAGCTGCCGAGGAGGAACGACTCAAGTCTACTAATGTCATCCTAGGATCAGAAAGTCCCCAGTTCAAATTTAATCATTGCATTGAATTCACTAAACAATTTTAGATAGTACTTCTCCAGTTCACTGTCTTTATCTGGAGTCTAGTAAGTAATACCAAAGGCTTCTGGAGGATAGAATTTAAAGTCTCAAGAGCCTAAATCTTAAGTGGCATGTGAGGCTATTCTAGCTTTAAAGGTATATACTGTAATTTGAATATCTGCTAACTATGCAAAAAAAAAAAAATCTTGTCATTATTGCTCCAGCTCACTACCTCAAAATATCTGCTTCATCTCTTGATCTCCAGATGAAAAGGTGGGCCATATTAGATTTGACCCATACCTCCTCCCCCTGGAGTAGAAATAATAGGAAAATATTTAAGAATGCCACAGAGTGAAGTGGTAGAGTACAGGATCAGAATCGCATACTTACTTTGTTGATCTCCCCAGCCAAAATAATTCCAGTTGCCTACAAAATAAAAGCCAAGAAGACATGTCCCTTTAAGAGACAGGCCAATTCTAAATACTATATACTTAGTCATTCCAACCCTAGAGGGAAGGGGAGGTTGTAGGGAAGGGGAGGTATAAATTCTACATCCAGATGCACTTTGGAAGCTAACAAACATATAAAAGCAGGCAGGGACAATCTGCAGTTTGGGGTGGGGTGTTGACCCCCAGTTTTTGCAACCCTGCTATCAAATTCTGATAGCAAATAGCCGAGAACTACAATTCTCAGGAATCGTTTTTATTTAATGTGATGAAATTAGCAGATTCAGGAGTATGATTTACTAAAGTTAAAAACTTGATTTGCCGCTAGATTGGGGTGGAGTAGAGAAAGAAGTATGCAAAGAAGTATTTTGAAGATTAATAAATCATACTCTTCAATCTTACCATATTAACAAAAAAGTTCCCTGCCTCATTCATTTTGGCGGTGTCACCTTATCTTTATTTTGTCTATTAGCCACATTTTCTTTTTTTAAAAAAGGGCACTGGGATGTGGCCTGCTCTTAATAGACAGGGAAGAGCCTTTCCACATTATTCTTATCTTCTAATCTAGTGTTTCTCAACCTTGGCAACTTTATACTGTGTAAATATCAATCCCAGAATTCCCCAGCCAGCATGGTGGCTTGGAATGTTCTGGCCACCCAGTTTAAAGTTGCCAAGGTTAAGAAACAATGCTATAGTCTTACAAGTATCTTGCTTTTGAACAAGGAGGTTCCTGTACCCCGGTATTTCTCAGCCTTGGCAACTTTAAGAGGTACTGGCTGAGAAATTTGGGAATTGAAGTCCACACATCTTAAAGTTGCCAAGATTGAAAAACACTGCCTTAATAGCACCAACCTCTCCAAAATTATTCCATTCATTTTTTTCCCCCAAATGTATTGAATCTGGGATGGGAAAACATCAGAATTAATGGATCTGTGGATCTGCTTTATTCTTTAGCAGAATTTAAAATCTGCCAAACATAGACAGATCCAAAAAGGCATATACAGTACTTAGCATAGCTGAACAGAATATCTTTGAGCATATTTTGAATCTAGGAATTTGCAGCATGTCTACCACATATTCCCAAGAGATATACCAATAGATTCTGACCGATTTCTCACTCACCTCTGTCTTCAACTATGTGATATTATCTGCCCTCTTAAGAACTCTGGTAAGAAATGCATGCAACTTGTAAGAGATGAAGAGCGCTAGTAGCTTGCGAAAGCTTTAAAATAAAATAGGGCACACAAATAGAAGAGGAAGCAGAGCATTTTCAGGATGGGCAGTAAAAAAAAAAAATCAAGATGGCTGCTGGAAATTCTAATAGCATTTGTAACCAGCATTATCTACAGAGGTGGTCAACAAAGTACAAGAACCTCCCTTTTCAGTGTGCTCCAGAGGGGTGGGACTCTATCCTAATCTTTGTCTGCTCATCAGAATTTCTTGCCCCATATTATTGGAGAGGCAGGCATCCTTGAGATACGCCTGAAAGGAGCAGTATTTATAAAAAGGCTACCTGGTTAGCTAACCTTTTAAAGTAATTTTAAAGTAGAACTATGGAAATTTGTCAAGAAGATAACGGTGTGTGCTTCTTTAAAACACACTTTGTTCTCACATGTCTCAGTGATGTCACTGAAAAATCAATTTCACAGTCTATATTGTGCTTTAAAAGCTCATTTATGAATAATAGGATCCCTGACTGAGTGGATCTGAGTTTATTGCAAGAAAGATGTAACAGAAATGAAATGAAATTACATCCTGTTGGTTTACAACCTACTTACAAAAAGTGAAGAAGGAATAAATTGTGGGATTCAGGCACTGAGGAGTAAGATTTTGGGGGACAGCTTATTCAGTATTAATAATAGAAGCAAGATGGCTCCTTAGCCTGATCAATAGGGGTTGAGTTCACATCTGTTTATATATTATGGATAGTACATCTTCCAATAGCTATTAATCATAATATATAATGCAGTCTCAATATACAAGAGCAGTTCACCTCTCCTGATTAAAAGCTGAGGATTAGAAAGATTGTTGGGCTTTAGTGACTATGGGCTAGACTCTAGAGAACAGATTTCTTGATATTTTGCTGACAACTGTGGCTGGAATCTTTGGATTCTGTGTCCAATCCTAACTGGTCCAACAAAGAACCAATCAGAGTTCTCACCAACTTGCACCAATTTGAAACTAACTCAACTGAAAGCCAATCAGAAGTCAGAACATCTGGCTATATCGCTTTCTGCTCAGATGTGTGTAGTCTGTATAATGGACTACACTGCCTATGAATATACAAGCCACAGGTGTCAATGAAAGGAAGTAGGTTGTCTAGATTACGGACACTAAACCCTGAGGTTCAACACTGTCCAACTGGCTGTGAAAACCTGCACCAATATATTACTAGCAAGATTAATCTGTTTCCACCCTGCCTGTGGGCTTCCCATGAGGGTATCTGGCTATCAACTCTCAAGTGCTTGTTTGATGAGCTATTTACATTTGATCTAGCAGAGTTCTTCTATAGCAGTGTTTCCCAAACTTGACAATTTTAAGGCATGTGGACTTCAACTCCCAGAATTCCACAGCCAGCAATGCTGGCTGTGGAATTCTGGGAGTTGAAGTCCACATGCCTTAAAATTGTCAAGTTTGGGAAACACTGTTCTATAGTCTAGTCTGGTTCATATTGGCTTTCCTTATATTCTTGAGTTGTGTTGTAAGCAGTTCAAAGGTTCCATTAGAACTCTTTTTCTAACTAAGAGAATAGGCTGTTTTCCAGGATGGAGTTAAATGGGTTGTTTTTCCTTAAATGGTCTCTGGAAATCCCTTTTACCTTTCAATCCCCAGCATCTGGGGCCATGCACCCATCACCCAACAGATCTTCTGAGACTTATAAGGGTAGGAAGACATAAGGAAGAAATGGTATTAGGAAGACACAGAGGGAAGGGATAGGAAGAAAGGATGAAGCTTTCATTGACCAAACTGTAAACAGCTCTGTCTTGGGCCAAACCCTCATTAATCTTGGAATGAAATATTGGTTTCCAAACACTCCACCCAAAAAAGGAGGGGGGAATTCATCTTGCTCGGAAAAATGTGAAGGAAACATTTCATATGCCAACCCTAATTTGCAACAGACATTAGGAAATTTCATACACCCAACCTCCCCAAATCAAAGAAACACTTACAGCACTGTGAGCCGGGGACTGGAAGCGGTTTCTCCTGCTTCTCCCAGGATGAAGAGGAGAAGAAAAAAGCACAAAGATTAGGATCTGTCTGAGAAGCATTGACATCCTTTTTCTCAAACCCCTCTGATTTGGGAGCTCCAAAGCAAGAGCTGAAACCAGTGACAGATGTGGGAAGATGGAGAGGAAAATAGTTAAATAAAAAGCACTTCATTTGGAAAGAGAATTTTTGACAATGAGAGCCAAGGCACTTGATTCTATTTTGGACTTCACCAGGAACAGCACATGTCTGGTGCACAATATAAAGTTGTGCAAAGGCCCTCCTAGACACAACTTCCACCTGCTCTTTGAGCAGGAATCATGAATCCAGGAGGATCCACAGATTGTGCAGGGGGTCTGCTTGGGGCAGTGCAGCCTCACCCAGCACCAGAGATGGTATAATTCTAGGACAGGGGTGTCAAACTGGCGGCCCACCAGCCAGATGCATCATAGCGAAACCACATTCACCCCATTGCTGGCAATGGCAAAAAAAAGTCGCGATACATCACGACACGTCACGTGATGTTGCGAGTTTGATACCCCATTCTAGAGGTATCAAAGGGCCCTAAAGCCCAAAACCACTTGGTCTTGCCAGGGTTCAGCTGAAGCTTATCCAGACCCTCACAGTCTCCATATACTGAGATAGGACATTCACAGCATCTCTTAATTCACCAGGAGCAGAGATAAACAGTTGGGTCCCCATGGCATCACCAAGGGTCTCATGTCGATGTTAAATAGGAGGGAAGAGAGCACCAATCTGTGTGGCATCCCATATAAGTAGTCCTCAACTTATAACCACAGCTGAGACCAGAATTTCTGTTAATATGTAAAGACAGTTATTAAGTGAGCACACCAGATTTTACAACCTTTTTTCCCATGGCCGTTAAATGAATCACTGCAGTTGTTAAATGAACCACACAGTTATTAAGTGAATCCAGTCCCCCCCCCCAGACTTTGCTTATCAGAAGCTGACTGGGAAGTCATAAATGGCAATCACGTGACACCAGGATGTTGCAACCATCATAAATACAAGCCAATTGCCAAGCATCTGAATTTTGATCATATGAACCTGGGGATGCAGCAAAGGTCGTAAATGTGAGGATCAGCCATAAGTCATTTTTTTCAGTGCTGTTATAACTTTGAACGGTCACTAAATGAATGTTATAAGTGGAGGACTACCAGTCGTGGGGGGCAGGATCTCTCCTCCCCAATCACCACCAGTTGGAATCAACCCAGAAATGAGCACAACACCCTCAATCCTGTGAATCAATCCAGGATACCATTTTATGCTGTTACAAGGGAAAAGAAATGTTTGCATGCACCAATCGACTTCAGGCAGAAATTAAAGTGTGACGATTTTTAGAGGCAAAAATAGAACAGCTGATGCACTTTTCAAATTCTCAGAAATACCCATCCACTCATTCACGCATACTTACATCATCTTGGTCTCGCATAGCATTCAGCCGCTCCAGCTCCTTGACCCAATACCGTGCCTCTTCTTCAGGAATATCTGCAAGAAGTGGAAAAAAGGGGGATATTTTTCAGGTTAACAGAGCCCTCTTAGCACAATCAAATGGTCTAACTTATTTTTTTAGAGCCACCTAATATTAGGCCACATTTATGAGATCGCATTTTTAAATACAGTCCCATTAGTGAGATTAAAAAAAAGACAAGATGGCGACAGTGCCTGGGTGAGCAAAGCCACCCTTGACTTTTTTTTTTTTTTTTTGACCCAGCCTGCTGCAAATGCTCTTGAGGGGAAAAAAGTAACTGGATTTGTATATGTGGAGAGTCAGTATCATACCCCCCAATCTTTTACTGCTGGGTGTAAACACTTTGAATTTGGAGAATGCCCTGTGGGTGTTTTCTAAAAAGGCTCCTGATGGGAACAGGCCTATCCCAAAATGGCTGCTAGGCAGAATATCATTAGTTACAAACTGCAGAGTTTCCAGGATGCTGCCTGTTCCCTCTGTTACAATTCTTGCCCTGGTAGGATGTCAGGTCTACTTGTCTCATCCCATCAGGCAGGATGGGCATGTCCTTGTTACACCATCAACCAAAGAAAGATGGTTGGCATGGTCTAGAAGACATTTTTTTCTGCTGTAGCACCCACCTCTGGAGAACAGGATGGTGGCTAAGAATCAGCTCTATCCCTGGGCCTGGGGCTCTGATGGTTTAACAAGGACCTGGTTCATGGTTATACTAGTGATTTGGGTGATGTTGCTCAGCTACTGTGTAATTCAACTTTTGTAATGTTTATAATTGTTTTTATTTTATTTTAGCTTTGTTCACTACACAGAATCACTTGAATAAATAAATAAATAAATAAATAAATAAATAAATAAATAAAGGTAGTCCTCAACTTATAACCTTTTGTTTAGTGACCATTCAAAGTTACAATGGCACTGATAAATGTGACTTATGATCGTTTTTTTATACTTATGTTCACATCAGCATTCACATGGTCACATGATCAAAAGTCAGACACTTGGCAACTGGCTTATATATATGATGGTTACAGTGTCCTGGGATCATGTGATCAACTTTTGTGACCTTTTTCTGATAAGTAAAGTCAAAGAGGATTCACTTAACAACTGTGTTACTAACTGAACTGCAGTGATTCACTTAACAAATGTGACAAAAAAGGCCATAAAATGGGGCAAAACTCATTTAAAACTGCCTCACTTAGCAACAGAAATTTTCGGCTCGATTGTGGTTGTAAGTCAAGGACTACCTGTTTAAGTTCAAATACATCCCAACTATAAACTTTTTTCCACTACTATTGCCCAAAACTATAAGCTTTTTCCAATACTGTTGCCCAAAACACTGCATGGAGATATCCATGTAATTGCACCCACTCATCTTTGCTCTTTTCCAGGCACCCAACATTCTTTTTCTCACAAAATGGGTGGGGCTCATTTTTGGAAAAAAAAAGATTATTCTACAGCATTCCAATTTCTTATTATTTTTTTAAAAAGCCAGGAGGGACAAACAAGCTATATGTGCCCAAAGAAGTATGGGTGAGCTTGGCTGCCTCCCGTGCTATTAGTGATGAACTAAGAATCAGGAGACCTTTGAGGCAACAATCAATACCAAAAAAATCAGAAATTGCATTGATATACCGTATTTTCCGGTGTATAAGACGACTTTCTAAACCATCAAAATCTTCTCAAAAGTCAGGGGTCGTCTTATATGCCAGAAAATACGGTAGTCTTATACGGTGAGTATAGCCCAAATTCTATATTTTAACTGGAAAAGTTGGGGGTCGTCTTATATGCCCAGTCATCTTATACGCCGGAAAATACGGTAATACATATTTCTTCTGCATCCAAAATTCTGCAACAGGAAAAGCAGATGTTTGCAAGCTGAATACTACATCTCAGATAATCCTATCCATAGATAAACTGACCCTTTAATTTTTAATTAAAATATTGTGAAAAATGCACTAATTGTAGACAAGTCAACCTAATTTGGGGGTATATTTTGGCACCTAAAATTCTCACCTTATCTGAAATATATAAGGTATATAGATTTATAAATGTGCTTTAAAAAACTTATTTTTTATAAGGCAGGAAAAAATTGTATTCTGTCACAAACAGACACCCACTGCTTGTAACATATCCTACCGAGTGGGAGTTCAAAGCGGGTGTCCAAGAGGATACGATGGAAAGTGGGGTCTTTGGTCCCAGAGATCTCATTATCTATCATGATGACATGAAAATCAAGAGTCAGCCACTCTCCTGGGCCATCCTAGGGGAAGAAGAAGGAAAGAGACAAATTGTGCTTTGATCAGTCTAATCTTGCATCTTCCTGTCCAACATGCTTGCTATGTTTCTGAGAAGGGTACAGTAGCATCTTTGCTTCTTTCCCCTTCAACCATATTTGGCCCATCAAATAAATACTGGAAGTAACATGAAACCATCATGTCTCTCAAACACTGATATTCTTCTCCTTCCTGGTAGCCTAGCAATTGCAGGAAAGAAAAGGGAGGGGAGGGGAGGGGAGGGGAAGGAAGGAAGGAAGGAAGGAAGGAAGGAAGGAAGGAAGGAAGGAAGGAAGGAAGGAAGGAAGGAAGGAAGGAAGGGCTACCCAACTGACTTTGTTTCCTCAACAAATGCCTTTATTTTTCCTTATGAAGAAGATTCACATACTTCCTAGATCAGTTGGGACAGCACTGTTCTGTATTTTAACCTGCTTGGCAATTCTTTTTTCCAAGATGAGGGTAAAAAAATAGTCAAAAAAAGATTCTGGAAACTACAACCCCCCACATCTAGAAGGCACAAGGTTGAGGAAGCCTGAACAGGAAGAAAGTTCTTTGCTATCATTGTATTGTTAGCTTTTCTATAAAATCCAAACACTTTCTGTTGAGGAGGGGAATCAAATTTACTCAAAAAGCAAGAAGATCTCCAGAGATTTGGCTGTATACGTACCTCGTTTGATTGGCGGATTGTGCTTAAGGGGATCCAAACCGTGCCCACCATGGTGTCCCAGATAAGACCCTTGTTCCACACTTCCACTGTCAAACCGAGGTCTAGTCGATTAATCTCACTGCAAGAGGGAGATATATCTGTTAGACTAGGCTAGAGCGACTTTCCCCAAAGCTGATATCTACCCACTCCATTTCCACCATGCCTCCCACCCTGATTCTAACTCAGGTGTTCCCAAACTCTTCCACTGATCAACCCGCTCATGAAATTTCAGATTGTTCATCAACAAATAGTTAATCATCATCACATTGACTACTTTCATTGACCTTTGGGGGTTGATATTGACCACTTTGGAGAACCCTGGTCTAACTAGAACAAGCATTTCCTTAACCAAACTGTCATTGATGATAATGAAAGAACTGAAATTCAAACTGATGAACTTGGCTCTTAACATTCACAGAACATCGCTTTGGATTTAGCTCCCAAAAGTCATCAGCACAAATGTGGCACAGATCTACTGCTCCTTAACACAGCCATATCTTTTCCCTGGATTGCATGGCTGGCCTTTACAGCTGCTACTTGATTCCAAGAAAAGATGAGGCTGCTTTGCAGCAAGCTGTTGTCCTGAACCCAACTGCCTTTTTCAAAATTAAATCCAAAGGATTGCACAGACTTAGCCATCCATATCTTGGACACTCAGATTACTGGAGGAATTACTGATCCTGCTGGTAGATTCTGAGATTGATTAGTTTGGTTGAACCTTGGGAATAGGGCTTTCTCAAGAATAACTATGATTTTGAGGTATGCTGTCTTGATATAAGAGAATAACAGAATAATGGAGCTGGAAGGTAGCTTGGAAGTCTTCTAGTCCAACACCCTGCACAAGCAGGGACTGAAATTTTGCATAAGAGCTTTTATCACAAGCACAGCTAAAAAATAACTATTATTGCTGGTGAAGTAACAAACCTTAGCTCTGCACAAACTGAAACCTTAAAAATGAGGTTTTTTATAATTTTATTATTATTATTATACATCATCTTCAAAAGCTTTGTCCCAAATATGGCTGACTGTTTAAAAATAATTTACTTACATAAATAGTGTCCTTTGGCACACCTTGGTTTCATTTTAAATAAGCGTATCCATTTAACACCAAGCCCACTAGTACAACATTTCTAGTACCAGACCTAATTAGCCTAAATTAAGTGGATTTAATCCTAGATTCAATTAAATGTTCATTTTAAATGTGCAAGCACTCAATATAACTGAATTTTGTAATAAAGTTGAACAAACAAATTCTGTAAATGGCATATATTAGTAGCTTACACAGCAATTTCACATCATTGTCAGCATTTACCCCACCACCAAGATTTGGGAAGGTGAAAACATTTCCCATCCCAACTTACAACATGAAATCTTGTTCCCAGCAAGGAAGATTCCCTCGCACTGCAATTGTTGTGCTCTTTACATTCTGAACTTTGAGGGTCACGTATGTGTTGAATTTTTCTACCAGAGAGAAAGCAAAACATAGAGAATATAAATGGGATGTCACAATTAACAGCATTGGGGGAAAGCACATGGAAGATTCTGGTTTAGCACATTTTATCAGAATATTACACTGTCCCCATTCAGCAGCTGGTTTTCAAAATGCTTATGAATTCTGAGTACTTCCTCTCTTTTACTCTCCCCTTTTCCCTTTAAATCACAGCATTTCAAAGTGTACTTCCTAAAATGACCAACTAGATGCTTGATGTGAAGACCACAAGGGGATCATAACTACAAACCAAGAGCACTTCCCCACTCATGTTCCTCAGTGTCTACTACTAAGATACCTGATCATGGAATGAATATTTAATAATGATTTTGATGGCATTATTCTCTATGACTATATCTAACCCAAATTTGGCATCTATTTTGTTCAAAAACTAATCCCAATTAGGGGCATCTATCTTGTGGAAAAAGGATCTTGTGAAAAAAATATTTTTCTTTTTTAGTCCTTATCTTTTTCCATGTAACTCCTCTGCATAACCCAGGTGTTATTCCAACTTTTCCATACTTTTTTTTTTCTAAATGATATAAATTTAATATAAATTCTTTAGCATAATCTAACAAATAAAAATGCAGTACTGAAATACCCACTTCCCTACTTAGCTTTTTCTCACCTCGTTGGTCTGTACTACATAGCTCTATGTTCTGGTTCTGTCACCAATGAGTATTTGTCATCTGCTTCTCAAGGCTGTACATTTTTATTATTTTTATTATTCTGGGTTTGTGTGTGCCAGTTTGTCTCCTTCAGAGGCTATTTCCAGTTGGATGTTGCTAGCCATAGCTATTCACTGTCAGGCCTGCCATTCCATTGGAATAGTAGTCACCGAGGTCAAAACTCAGAAGATGCTCATTGTCAGTAATTCTCTCTTGCTTCACCTTTCACCCTTCTTCCATGCCTGCAAAAGTCATGCTATTTTGTGCTTCAATGTTTGGGCTACTTTTGGACATGAGTTTAACACTTTTTCAAAAGTGCCCTAGACCTGTGTTCAGAAATAGTCTATCATGTCATAAGAATTGTGATAGCTAATAGGTTGTGTTCTAGGCGACTTAGCAGGTGGCTAAAACCTGCCATTCCAAGCACCCACCAATAACTTGTTCAGCCCCCTCCACCAGAAGTTAAGAGTTGATTTCCTACTGGCACATGATGTTCAGTAAAAAGAGTCTCTAAGTCAGAGGAATCCACTAATTGCATTCCTTGATTGGTTTTACTTCAAAATTAAGGATAGCACTATTTCCACATCTTATTACTCAGACAAATTAGGTCTTGGTTGTCAGCATATCAGATTTTATGCAGATATATTTTTCTGCTGTCTTGTACATTGAAATAACTTCAGAACATACCCAGGTTACATACTAATGTCCTGCCCACCCATTTCTTATCCTCAGGAGTGCTCAGAAGCCACACTTCTAGCAACATCTCAGTAATAATTCCTTGAGTTTTCAAGGACTGGCTGGTTGTATTTAATCTGGTTAATCCCTTTGCTGGGTTTGCTCCAAAATCCAAGGTAAAAGCTGCTTTCTAAAAGTTTTGTTTTCTTTCTCTAACCATTTTAGCTATTTCTTCTCAATATTAGAGATATTCTCCCACCTATTTTATGGTTCTTTGGCTGACTGCTCATATATGATTAAGTAGGTCATGCAGAAATAAGATTCCATGAAGACAGTTAACAAAAGGGTCTACAAATGAAGGGATTATTACTGAGATGTTGCTAGAATTGTGACTACTGAGCTCTCTTGAGGATAAGAAATGTGCGGGCAGGACATTAATATGTAACCTGGTTTCGTGCTCTGAAGTTATTTCAGTGCACAAGAATGGTGGAATGAAACTAAGGGCAAGCACACACTGTTAATGTTTAAATTTCAATTGTGTAGCAATCTGCCCATCCACAGACAATTAATGGTCTTAAACACATGCCTGTACTGAAACTAGCAATTGTTTCAGAAAAATGTCAAAAAATTTGATCATTCAAACACCTCCTATCTCTCCCACATTTAAAATTCTGTGTTTAGAAGAATGCTTTGTGCACCATAAATGCCGCATGCTATTAATTTGCCATTACGTTTTGAAGAGATTCTACATGATATTGTATGGCATATCAACCAGACTGCAGGATCATTTCTATCCCATTTGCTACCCTGAGATAATAGGGGAATTATAGATGCAGGTAGATCATTTGTTTAGTGGCCATTTGAAGTTGTAATGGAACTGAATGACGGGTCCTCACACATAAGGCCATCATAGCATCCCCACAATCATGTGATTAAAATTTGGGCACTTGGCAACAGGCAGGTATTTACAACAGGCATGCATTTACAACAGTTGCAACAGCCCAGGTCATATGATTGCCATTTGCAACCTTCCCAGCTGGCTTCTGACAAGCAGAATCAAGGCAGGAAGCTGGGTTTGCTTAATAACTGCATGTTCACTTAGCAACAGCACTGATTTGCCTAACAACCATATCAATAAAGGTTGTAAAATCAGGAGTGACTCACTTAACAACCACCCTAGCAACAGAAATTCTGGTCCCTATTGTGACTGTAAGTCAAGGACTACTTGTATAATAAACACATTGCATAATTAATAGAATATGAAGTTGGAAGGGACCTTGGAGGTCTTCTAGTCCAACCCCCTGCTCTGGCAGGAAACACTATACCATTTCAGACAAATGGATGTCTAGTCTCTTCTTAAAAACCTCCAGTGTTGGAGTACCCACAACCTCTGGAAGCAAATTGTTCCACTGATTTATTGTTCTAACTGTCAGGAAATTTCTCCTTCGTTCTAGGTTGGTTCTCTCCTTGATTAGTTTCCATCCATTGCTTCTTGTTCTGCCTTCAGGTGCTTTGGAGGATAGGCTGACTTCCTTTTCTTTGTGGCAGCTCCTTAGATATTGGATATTAAATATTTTATTGTTTGGACACTCTTAAGTGGGAAGTAGCTTTACTTGGAACCCCAATTTATATTTATTTCCCCATAGAAAAAGGGGAAATAAATTATTTGTTTTAACATTGGAAATTTTATTGATTCAGATTCGGGAATCGAAGTTAGTTAAGGGTGTAAAGATAAGGAAGAATGAGTATAAATTGCGGGCATTTGCGGATGATTTGGTTTTAATTTTGGAACAGCCGAATCAGGCGATTGATGGTTTATTAGAACTTATAACACAGTATGGGAATGTTTCTGGTTTTAAAGTTAATAATTATAAGACTAAGATATTATCTAAGAATATGTCAGTTAAAGAAAGGGAAAGTTTGATTAAAGCCACAGGTTTTCAGATGGTAAAAAAGGTTAAATACTTGGGAGTATATCTAACTGCTTCAAATGGAAAATTGTACAAGAACAATTATGAACCACTATGGGCAAAAGTCCAAAAGGATTTAATAGATTGGAAAAAATTGCAATTGTCATTGTTGGGGAGAATTTCAGCTGTAAAAATGAATGTTCTACCAAAGTTTCTTTTTTTGTTTCAGATGATACCTATTCTTAAAAAAGAGGCAAATTTGGAGGAATGGCAAAAGGGTATCAATAATTTTATATGGGCCGGGAAGAAACCAAGGGTTAAATTTAAGATATTACAGGATGCTCGAGAAAGAGGGGGACTTAAGGCACCCAATTTGAAATTATATTATGATGCAGCCGCCCTAACTTGGTTAAGTGATTGGCTTAATTTAACAAATATGGATATTCTTTTTTTGGAAGGTTGGGATTTAATATATGGTTGGCATGCATATTTAATTTTTAATAAGAAAGTTGATCGGACTTTTAAATCACATATTTTGAGGAATGCCTTACTTCGTGTTTGGAAGAAGTATTATTATAGATTAAATTATAAAATACCTATCTGGGGGATTCCCAGACATGCAATTGAGGGAACCTCTAAGGGGACAAATTTTGATAAAATTTCATATAAAGAATTGTTAATTTGTTCTGGTTCGAATTGGCATTTGAAATCCCTAGATGTATTAAGGCAGCAAAATATTCTACAGTCATGGTTTCAATATTTACAAATAATGGATAGATGGACTGTAGACAAGAAAGAGGGAATAACACTAGAAGATAGACAATTGGTTATTCAGATTAAAAACCAAGGTCCGGCTCATATAAAAAGAATATATAATGTTTTATTAGAGTTAGATTCGGAAACAGAATTGGTTAAAGATTGTATGATTAAATGGGCTCAGAATATACAGGAGCCGATCTCATTGGATTTATGGGAGATAATTTGGATAAGAAATGTTAAATTTACACAAGCTCAAAATTTGAGAGAAAATTTTTATAAAATGTTTTATAGATGGCATTTAGATCCTAAAAAATTATCTTGTATGTATTCCAACATACAGCCCAAATGTTGGAGATGTGGCAATAATGATGCGACATACTTTCATATTTGGTGGAATTGTAAAAAAGTAAAGGCTTTTTGGATTATGATTTGGTGGAACATTCAAAAGATTTTTAGAAAGAAGATAAAGTTTACTCCTCAACTATTTTTACTTGGTATTTTTGTTGACTTAAATGAAAAAGAAACTACTTTGATGTTGAATTTATTAACTGCAGCAAGGTTACTAGTAGGTCTATATTGGAAGAAAGATTCTTTGCCTACTTTAGAAGAATGGATATTTAAAGTATCTAGTTTTGCAGAAATGGCAAAAATTTCTGCTTATTTAAAGGATCATACACAAGAAAGATATATTACTGTATGGGGAAGGTGGATAGATTATATTCAGAAAAAATATGGAATTAAAAAGTTTTATTTATTTTATGAATAAATATCAAATATTATAGAGAATTGTTTTATAAGTTATGGAGTTAAAGGTTAATTATGATATTTTTTTTCTTTCTCTTTTTTTCTTTTTTTTAAATTATTATAATTTTTTTTTCTTTTTTTTTCTTAACCCTGTATTCTGCTCTGGGAAGTGAAGGGAGGGGGGGTGGGGGTGGGAGGGAGGGTAAGGGGGGGGGTTTCTCTATTTTAAAATTTTATTGTATTTTTATAAATGATTGTATGTTTTAAAAAATAAAAATTTTCAATAGAAAAAAGAATTAAGGGATAAAAAAAAGAAAAAAAGAAAAAGGAGAAAAGGTGGGAACTCACCTTGTGGGCCATCAAACTTGGCTTTCTTGACTGGAAGAATAAAGAGAAAAGAAAGCAGTTAGTGCTCAGCCCCAAATGAATAAAATCTGCACAGCCTGATTTGCATAACCTCCAAGGCTAGGTCTAGGATGTCATGCAAACCATACCATGAATTCCATTGTGGTTAAAAAGAATTGCATTAGTGACTGTCCGGCTTTGATGTCGCAGTAAGATAGACGCAGGAAAGCAGGGCTCTGCCTCCTGTGCCCGATTTTTTCCTGCTGGGGCCCCAAAAGGGGCCTGAAGTCATCCTGGAGAGGCGACAAAGCAAGACGGGACCTTTGTAGATCATGGGAAGAGGATGGTCAACCCACGTGATCCAAGGAAGCCCTCAGAACCAACAGGAGAAAGACTGGCCGCACCCATGCAGCCAGTCAGAAGCTGCTGATCTCCAGAGAAAAAAGCGGCATCTAACAAGCGTGAGCAACATGTTTGAATCTGAGTGAAATTATTTTCTTTCCTCTATGATTTCAAAACCTGTTCTTGGAAAAAAGCGACCTGAAAGCAAGAAAACTCCCAGAACTAAAGGGAGGGGTTTTTCCTTTTTTTACCCCTTCTCCCAAAATAAAAGCAGCAGTTTATGCTTTCTTGGGGGAAAATAGAGAAGACTATAAAATTAATTTGGACACAACAGAGAGAAAAAAGTTTACCTTCCTTGGAAAGTATTGGAGTAAAATCTTATAAAAAAAAGCCTGCCTGGAAAATTACAAAACGGATACCTAATGACATCTAGTGGCAAAAAAGAGAGAGATCTACACTAAGTTCTGTTTATATTTTGTCTGGAGTGAGGGAACTTGGCCTGAAGCTCAAAACTAAACAGACTAACAGACTAAATCCCTTGATGTCTCTGAACTTCATAGCTTTGGAGATTGCAGCTGGAAAAAGAGAAAAACTTCTTGGGCTGTCTTTTCTGCAGGATGGATTACAATTAAAATTACAAACTGTGTTGAAGCCATCTGGCTTCTTTGAATTACAAATACTGCTTTATCTGTAATTTTACAAACCATTCAGAGACAGAGTGAATGGTAAGGAGCTATCAACAGTAAAACATTTTGGATTATAACCTTGGCAGATTGTCAACTCTGGATTTTAGGATAATTGGTTAGAGTTGGTATTGGAAGATAGAAGTGGATTATAAACTTTTTTCCTCTCCCCATTTTTTTCCTCTTTTTATTCTTTTTCTTCTTGTTGCCTGGGGAGCCTATTGGATTATAGATTTTTAACCTCAGAACTATTTAAGGACAGTGGAAGCTCAACTGTTGGTGATTTCCCTTGGAAAAGGCCCTATGGACTATTAATTTTGAATAGGACCTTGCAGATTATAAATTCTGACTGAGCGATAACCCTGGATTTTGGACAACTGCTCTGGAAGTGAGCCTCACAAACAGAAGTGGATTACAAATCTTTTTTCTTTGTGCTCCCTTTTCTTTTGGGCAGTGTATTGGATTACAGAGACTATAGACAAGAACTATAAGAGTTATTTAAGACAAATTTAAATGATATTGTGGTATGTGAATATAAGATTAATGGTTTTGTTTAAGGCAGGCATTTGGGAAAAGTATTAGAGCTGATAAAAGATTTGGGGGGTGGAAACAAAAATGAGTGTTCCAAATTTAACTAAAACTGGCAAGAAAACACCCTCAGCCCCATCCTCCACTTCTGCAAGCACTGTGTATCAGAGATCAATCGAATCAATGCTTCAACAAGAAAAATCTAACAATTTTCAGAAGGAGATGCAAGTGGCATTACAAGCAATCCAAGAGGCAATCTCCTCTCACAAAGAAGATACAAGGAAAAATCATGAGGAGACAAAAGACAACTTTGATAAAATGAATCAAGAAATTCATAACATAAATTTCCAACAGATGATTACAAAGAATGAACAAAGAATTCAGAAACTAGAAAACAAGTCAGTAGAGACTGATCAGAAGATGGAAGAAATAAAAGATGAAAATCAGAGGCTGATGCAGGCAAATAGAGAATTGGAGGATTCAAAGGCAGTTTTGGAAATGGAAAAGGCATCTTATTTTTTAAGATTTCAAAATATAACGGAAGACAAGGAAGAGTACCTTGCAGACCTGATGACCATAGCTATTGGCTGAAGCACTGAAAATTGGGAAACAGGAAATGGAAGGAGAGATAGACCAAATATTTCAAGTCAATTCAAGCTATGCAAGGAGAAATAAAGTCCCTAGAGAAGTACATGTTAGATTCGTCAAAAGATCTATAAGAGATGAGATATTGAGAAGAGCGAGAGATGATCCTCTGTGTTACAAAGAAAAGAAAATTTTAGTGTTGAAGCAGCTCCCCAGGAGAATAAGAGATTTATGAAGAGAATACCAATTCCTGACCAGAAAACTAATTGAAAAAGGAGTGAATTTTAGATGGCTGATTCTGGAAGGGATTTTAATTAATTGGGACATGAAAAGATACAAATTGGACTCTGTACTCAAGGCAATAGAGTTGTATGAGAGTTGCAGAGCTTTTTTGGAAGGGGAAAGTCCGGAATTTTGTGCAGAGAGAGAAGCGAAAAAACAGGAAGAGGAGCAGCCAAACCAAGGGAAGAAATAAAAACAGAAAACACAAACATAGATGAAGGGGCAAAAGCAAGAAAATAGAGACAGATAAAAACAACTAGGAGAATAAAACCTAAATATAACTGAAGAAGATAGAGAAGGAAAATGGGATTCTCTCAATGAATATAAATGGATTGAACTCCCCTGCAAAAAGAATTTTTTTATTACATGATTACAAAAATTAAAAATGGATATAATTTATCTCCAAGAAACACATATTAAAAGACAACACTATAAACTATTGGAACAACCAAAAATTGGGAACCTCCACTTCACACTAGCACAACAAAAGAAAAGAGGAATAGCTTTATATATTAAAGAGACAATGAACCCCAAACAAATCTATGCAGATGAAGAGGGAAGAATATTAATGGTGGAAATAATGATAAATCAAAAACAGATATTGATGGTAGCAATATATGCACCTAATAACAAACAAGAAGAATTCTATCAAAAATTATATTAAAAAATTGTGGAATTGGAATATCAAAATATTTACTTAATGGGAGACTTTAATGCAACTGTAGACGGGAAGCTGGATTACAGAAGTAGTAAAATATGGAAAAAAAGAGGGAATATACTATCTAAGACTTTCTTTAAAATGGCAGAAGAAATCTGTATATAGGATATATGGAGAGAAAAGAACCCCCCCAAAATTACAATATACATTTTACTCAAACAGGCACAAATCATGGTCCAGAATTGATATGATATGGATATCCCCTAAATTAAGCATGATTATACAAGAGATCAAGATAGAAACCAATATATGGGCAGACCATAATCCTATAAAAATGACTTGGAGAGAAGCTAAGAAAAACTAAGATGGTCTCTGAATCAATCTTTACTGAAAGAGAAAGAATTTATACAAATAGCAACAAAGGAAATGGAATTTTTCTTTAAAATAAACAAAAAAGAAGAAACATCGCATCAAAATGGGATACAGCTAAAGCATATTTTAGAGGTCTGGCTATAACTTACATGGTGAAAAAGAATAAAGAAAAAAGCAACAACAAATGAAGTTAAAGGAGGCATTTATAAAATTGGTATTGGAACCCAGACAACATGTTGCTGATAAAATATTAAGGATTTGTGATGATAAAACAATTAATAAAATATTGTTAAAAAAAAGAATTGCATTAGCCATAGTTCCTAACCATGGCTTGTTGTTAGCCAAGTATCATTTGGAATGAGACTAATATCTACTTTAAGCAGCTGTTAGAGACGGCAGGGAGAACAGCACCCATAGAGTAATACTGTCCTCCAACAGCAGCATTGCTGTTCCCCAAGGGGTGTGTGTGCATATGTGTCAAAATCTGCAAAATGTTGCACAAGGCATTGAAATAGATGTTTCAGTCATCACGCTGTCGCTGCCATTTTGCAGATTTTGACACTCCCCCAGATGCACCTGTTGCTCCTCTTCATTTTCCTATGTGCTCCAGGAAGGAGGAAGGTTATTTTTGAAAACTGCAGAAAGCATTATTGGATAGCTTTCAGGCTTTCTTTAATAGTTTTAAAATATGTAAATATTAAAGAAAAAGTACCAGGCGAGCAAGCCCACTATAACATGTATGGAACTTCCCTCAGATTTTTGCAATATTGCATCTCAAAAATTAAACTTTCATGTCGTGAGGAAACAGGCCTTAGCTATTCCTAGTAAATATAACAGACTTCAGCTTAGAAAATATTTTTTTCTACCTTTCCAGCTGTACTTTGGACTATAAAGGTAAAGATAAATGTTGCCCCTGTCCAGTCGTGTCTGACTCTAGGGATGGTATTCATCTTTGTTCCTTAGCCAAGGGTCAGTGTTGTATGAAGACATTTCTGTGGTTATGTGACCAACAGGACTATATGCTGAGGTGCATGGAACACTATTATCTTCCCACTGAAGTGGTACCTATTTACCTATATGTATTTTCTTGCTTTCAAACTGCTAAATGGACAGGAGCTGGGGTAGGTAATGGGAGCTCACCCTGTTGTGTGGTGCTTGGGTCTCGAACCTGGGCTGTCAGCCAGCTGATAAGCTCAGCATCTTTAACCACTGAGCCATTCTGCCCCCCACACACTTGGACTATAGCTCTCACATCCCACATAGCTATAACCATCAGGCTGGGCATGGTGGGCTTTGCATTCCCAGCACAGAACCAGTTGAGTACCAGATGGGAGAAGTCTGGTTCAGAAGAACTCCATCACTACTCTCATTATTCTTCACAAATCATATTTCCGGTGTGGCTGGAAAATTGGACTAAATCCATTTTCCTCGCTCTTGGAACACCATTAACCTACTTCTGAGCCATGAATGACATTGTTTGCAGCATTGTGATGAAGCCTGAGGCAAGTAATGAGGGAGAAGGTGTATTTTTTCCTCACTTGCCCTGAATTGCTGAACTCCTACATTCTTGAATGACTCAGGAC